TGCACCCACGACGCAAGATGCGCAGATGAGTGAGGCCGCACCGGAAACGGCGGCCGCGGAAGCGGCCGCCGAACCCCCTTCCCCGGTCACTTCCCCCGATATCATTTCTCGTTCTCCGGGAAATACGGCGACCAACCTCCAGGCGTGGCAGTTCCTCCGGTCGATCTCGACCCAACCGGGGGGTTCGGGGACCACGCAGGCGCGCCGGCCCCAGGTGCACGCCCCGGGGACTTCCTGGGCGTGGCTCCGAGAGCCGGCCCGGAAGGCCGCGCCCCGAGCGGAACCGGACTGCCCCCGGACGTGGTACATGTACCGGATCCTGCCCGGGGGGCGGCGCAAGAGCCACCAAGCGGTCCGCATAAGAAGCCGCAGCTGGGGGCAACGGGAACGGCCGAGAAAGGGGGGGCGGCGCGCGCTGGCATACGGACGGGGGTTGGTCAGCTCGTCGGCGGTGCTCGACCGGCGGAACACGAGTTGGAGCGGAACGGAGAGCGATCCGGAGACTTCCGTTTCGCCCGTTGGAAAGCGGCCGGAGCGGCGAGGGGACTCGCCGGACAGAGGCGGGCCGGTAGAAGAAGCGGTCGGTTGCGGCGACCGGGATGGGATCACAATCGCCGGATTGAGATTGTCGGCGGAACGTGACGACGGTTTGGCTGAGGCGCGCGCGGACGCTTTGAAGGATGCGCGCGCGGACGGCACGGGGGAGGAGACGATGGAGGTGGAAGAGGAGCAGACGGCGCCAGGGCTGCCGAGCCCCGGGTTCTTGAGGCCGTTCCAAACTTGGTTCAATTTCTTCTGACGGACGGAACACTTGTAACGAATGCCCGTAACGGAATATCTGCAACGGGACGAGAAAATTGTAAATATGTACAGCCGGCGCTGCTTGGGGAGCAGCACGGAGAGCAGGAGTAGGCTTAGCTGTGTGAGACGTAGGGAATCGGTACAAGCACGCATAGGAAGAGCGCTAGGGGCGGCTCAACAGCCGTGAAAATATAACGTGTTGCATACTCTGCGCCGGCGCTCGGTGCGGCAGCCATTGCTGGGCTTAGGGATGATAAATGGCTGGTATTCCAAAGGGAGGAATACCAAGCTTCGACGGTGACGAGGTGTCTAGGATCGAATTAGACGGATGAGTTATATACGACGGGACCACATTGATATACAGACATGCCTGACAGAACGAGCGCATTCAGGACGGAAAATGACCGTTATTGCACCGCCCCGCCGGGTATCCGATTGGTTCCGGGTTCTTTGGTGTACCGTGGTGCTTTCTAGCTATTTAAGACTACACTTGAGCCAGATCGCAGCATTACGAGGTCAAGGCCCAATCGACAAAGTTAGCATGCACCCCGCCACATAATGAATGCTTGCAGAAGTTGCAACGCATCCATGGCTTCTCAAACTCGCTTCCGTGAGCTTGAAAACAATCAACCCTGGATCATTATTTCATGGCTTGCTTCAAGTTGCTCGAAGGCGATTACAGATGTTTTTGCGTGTATACATCGTGATCGGCGGCCTTGATTCCCTTCTATTAAAAAAGGTTGAACCAGTCAGCATCTGGCCGACTTGCCGCGCCTGTCTTGCCCTCACAAATCGTGCAGCCGCGCCAGCTGGCTTGGCCACTGACTCATGCCGGCGCAGCTGCTGCCCCGCTGCAGTGCCGCAGTATTTATGCAGTGACGCTTTGCAGCCTTTGATTGTCCATCAGGATATACTTACCATGACACGAGTATATGTCCAATGGTCATGCTTGTTCTCAAGCTAGCTATGCTTGTGCTCGAGTCCGAGTCACGGATACCCGCGTCGTGCTCGATATATTGGTCATAGTCTGCGCACGTTGCATGGATGGTTGATGTTACAGATCGACCTGTATATCAGGTTTCTCAGTTGATATCAGTGGTCGATCATTGCATCGTTAAGAATCTGTGTATGTGACGCGAATAGGCCCGCAAGTTAGCAAAGGTATGGGTTCGGGGTTCTGATCGTTCAATCGTCGAAAGGGCGCCACGTAAGCTAGTGTAAATTCAGCACAATTACCTTCAAGTGTGTAATTGTATATCCAGGCGGCCTGCCCTACATTCCCCACACACACAAGAAATCAACGGATGCAATGTGCTTCCAGGGGCGCTTCAAATTCACGTACTTGATCTATCTACCATGCATCATTCCAGATCCAGAATGGCAAGCTGAATTGCAAAAGAGAACGACAGATCGTAGATCAAAACACCGGCGACCCTTCGACAACAACGGATTGTCTATCGGGCTCACTCAACCAGTGACCATGTCGAATGCAGGCACATGCCATGGCAAATGCCTCGAGCGAATTAAGTCCCGTCCTTGCTACCACTTTCCACTGCTTTTTTACTCCAACCTTCCAAATCTTCCGCTGTGAACTCGTAATCGCCTTCCGCGCCTTTCCGAACGTGGTCCCCGCGCTCCGCTAAGAACGTCTCTACGCTCCCCGGCTTTCCGAACCATCCCAGGTTGTCTGCCATGAGATGCAGGTTCTGACAGCCTGGGCACCGCACCAGAACGACGCCTTTGGTGTACGAAGCTTTGCTCATCGTTTTGAAGCTCCGGGTTTGACACACCTGCACGAAGGACGCGTTCGCAACCGGAGTCAATCGCTTGGCTCCAACGCAGTCAGCGACTGCTCTTTCTCCAAAAACAAAGTGCGTGCCAAGCCAAGCGGAAGGCATAATGATGTACGGAGTTCTGACCCCCTGGTACGGGGTTCAGTCCGCCGTGGCTGACCGACCCAGTGCGTGGGATGAACAAGCACTCTTCTGAAAGTCCAAAAACCGAGACACTGGATCCTTGCAGATTTCGAAGATGTGGCAAGCGGACAAGGTAGCCAAAGTCGTCAGATCCGCACCTCTTTTATCAAGATTGATGCAGTTTCGGTTGGTCGGCTGGAAAACAAAAAGTAAGCGGAAAGGAGGAGTGCAGGACACTGGGCCTACGTTCAAAAGATCGGGAACGCAACAATTGGCAGTGCTTACATTGCACGTAAACAGCATGGCCATGTCATGCGTGGCTGGCCGGCTGCTGCCCGTCTCTACCGCCGCTTTCGATCCTCCCCCCGATCCTGAAGGGCCCGGGAGCTCCTCTTCTTCCCCGTCCGCTTTCAAAGCAGCTCCTGACGCGTCCCCTCGCGCATCTTCGTTTGGCGCCTCGGATGCTGCGCCATGAAAGTAGTGGCGCCGCAGGTTTTGGGCAAACGTCCTCTCAGTCAGGTCCTGGGGGCCGCCTGCAGAGAGGTTTCGGTTCTGGTTAAGAGCAGTTTGAGTCGGTAATTATATTTTTGGTGCTGGTCAAGGGCAAGTTGAGTAGGTAATCCAGCTTTATGTGCTGGTTAAGGGCAGGGTTAAGTCGGTGATCCAATTTTTGGTGTTGGTCAAGGGAAGGTTGAGCCAGTAATCCAGTTTCTAGTGTTGGTTAAGGGCAGGTTACGTTAGGAACTACATAATAACGAATTTGAGAAGGTTCCGATTGAACTTGGTGCATCACTTGAGATGGCGGTCGACCAAAAAGATAGGTGTGCCCCTCTTGATGCTCACCCCCAAGAACTTTAATGTCAAGAAGCATTGCTATGCATTGACGCTTAGGGGCGACATTGCGCCAGAGAGTAGTTTGATTGGCGGACGAGATGCTAACCTCCTTGCTGACTATTCCTGATTGAACTCACTTGTTTCCAGTGAGTAGTGTGCTGAATCTTACCAAAAGACCTAAGAATTAACCACTTGGTTTACCTCTTTCTCAACAATCATTGAAGCCACTCGCTAGAATCACAACTTTGCTAGAGCCACAGGCTCATAAATGCGGCCAGCCTAGATATACTCAGCCACAGTATCAACCAAAGAATCAGGTCAGGAAGAGTCGAGTGCCAATCAGCGCGTTCGAAGTGGAAGTCTCTTACTCCAAAAGCACGGCACCATGGCCGATCGTATCGACAGAGGAAACAGAGAGGTGTCTTGACTGATATGGCAAAAGGGAAAGAGGGAGTCTGGCAAGTGGAAAAGACTGTGGACTTAGGCTTCGAAAGACAATTTCCGGCGCCATTGGGTGGCAAGACTTTGCCCTTTTACTTCCTCAATCCCGGTATAGACTGGTAATCTGAACTGAAAGATTGCGCCCTTTCGCATAACCGCGTGCTTCAGAGACTGCAGTCATCATGCACAAACTTGATGGAACTGGAACGATCGAAAAACCTACTTTACCACCAAGCAGGATCATAACACTGGATAGGGGCTAACCGGTTCGACAATTTAAGCTCTTCCTTACGTGACATCTGAGAAAAAACCAGACAGGACACTCTTGATGAAGAGAGCTAGTGCTTGGAAGCAACAGACGAAGCAAAAAGTTGCTCTAGGATCTTCTCTGTTCAGTATTCTTGAAAAGCAGGAATTCAAGCTGCAGGACATGTGACCCTTCAAGATGCCTGTGACGATCTTCAACTGGCCAAGACCTCTTTTCCTTGAAGCCCCTGGGCTATTATGCCCTCCAAGAGCAGGGAACTGAAAAGAACTCAGGTCTAGCCTGGGCGCCAAAGACCTCGACTCAGGACATCAAAGAGAGCCACCACTCTGCCAGATTGAGTAAACCGAAAGCATCAAGCATGCGATGGGTGTGGAGAACTGGGCGATAGTGAACACCCGGTAAGCCATCATTATATGTGCAGCCAAATATTGCGCGTCTTAAGCCCAGCCCCAAGAAACTTTGAACTCTTCTCAATCAGAAAGTCAAACAACGACAGGATTGCCCTTAGTCAAATGCGTGGAATCCCATGTCTCATCACTTTCGACTGGCTCAAACAAACAGCATTCCTTTTCAAAATGGTGGCATGACACCCTGTTGCCCGCTTCAAAAGCAACAATTTTCCTGCCACCTTTATACACTGGAAAGCACTTTAACAGAACTTTGATCAGAAGACCCAGGATTGATGTTGCACATGGCCCACCTAATCGAAGTCCACTGATGGAATCTAGGTTGTGCTCAGCCGCAGGCTTAGAAGCTTGCTTCGCCGCTTCTCTTTCCAGTACGACCGCCAGCCCCCGTCTTCCCGGCGCCATGCCCTTCATTATGCCCAATGCTCTGGATGCTGCTAGGCGCAAGGCCATGCAGGTTTCCTCACGAAGAGACAACACGAGCAATGCTGCCAAAGACGACCACCCAACGTCTATTTTACCAGGTCAAATAACTTATTAAAGATCACAATCTTGCCAAGTTGGAAGTCGCACAGCTTTTCCTTCACTGCAAGGGAAACTTTGCCGGAAGCGGTGTGAATCTGCGCTTCAAGGGAAGGTTCGTTACCCTACATGTGGCCCGTCGGAACCTTACAAAGCGTCGATCCACATCTATTGGTTGTTTCGCACCGTCCATCATCATCTTTCTTATTAGGTAGATGCGTTTTCACACTATCGGTTTTGCTCAAGGTGGAGTTATGCAGGCACTAGCCTTCATCAGGCCTACAGGAAGAAAGTCGGTGGTCCTCCAGCTCGTTCCCCTAGACAGCCAAGGGCAAAGCGCCCACCCCTCCTACCATCTGGTGCGTCTTTGTTCCGCTGCTGTTCATGCTAGGGGAAAGTCCCCACGATGCACTCCACGGCCCTCTGCCAAAGAGGAGGAAGGTTCGTCAGGAGAGTATCTTAGCGGACTCGACACCGAGGCCGATCATCATGGGGGATGACAAGAAGGTAATGGTTGTGCTGTTCGGATTTCTGGTCAACGAAGCCTTGTTCATGCGCATGTTGTGTCCCTCGCCCGTTTGTACATAGGGATGCTGAAGAGGAGATGTTTGCATGCATCCTTGCCATGTATTTAGCGATGCAATTTGAAGGAGAGGCAGGACTATCTTTTGTTCTCCCAATATTGCTGTTAATGGTACGTCTTTCTGTGACACTGAGCTGCTTCTGGCGGATCTCATTTTGAAACGGCATCAAATTGGCATGTCTGCGCACTGAAAACCCTGTGTGTTGCATTTTGTGCAGGCGGCAGAGTCTGTGCTGGAGCGGCAAAATCGTCTGCTGACCGGCCAGCTAGAAGTCAACAAGCAGAACCTGAGCAGCATTGACGCAGAGCTTCAGGAGACCAAGAAGAAGCAGGCCAACTTTGACAATGTGCTGAGCAGTGTCAACAGGACGTGGAAGGAGCTTATTGATGATCTGGAACTTCTATTGCTTAGAGCAAATGGGAGTCTCAATGGCTCCCACATCTTTGACGCCACGGCGCACATTGAAAAAGGTGCGACATATTGTTGGGTTTCTGTTTGGACACTGTTGGCAACAGTTTTTTGCAGAGCTTGCGGCATGTTGACTGTATTGAAGATGCATCCAATTGCCTTGCTGTAGCTGGCGACGGTACAAGTGCCTGGTAATAATGTGGTCATTGCTATTCATCACAGGAACCAAGAGTTTTTGCTGCCTTTGGGATGGTTTTTGGTCACGCTGATTGGTAATCTCCAAGTACAGCAGCTCTACATAACGACACATTCTGATTGCACCAATTTCCACTTTTCAGACGATGACATGGATGGAGTGCCAGCAGAACGGATCTTCCTGCACAAGCTTCTTCATGCTCATGAGAGCGACCAGAAGCCAAGTACGTCCAACGGCAGCGATGACGATGAAAGGCAGCATCTTGAAGCAGCACTCCGGTCGCGCAAGGCTACTACGAAGAAAACGCTGGGCCAGGTCATTGCAGCCATTGACAATGAGCGGCAGAGAAACGAAGAGTTGGCGGCTGTTCTGCGACAAAAAGTGTCCTCCGATGGTATGTGGCTATAAATCTGTTTTCTTCTTGCGGTTGCGTTGGAATCTCAGTCCTATTTGAGCATCAAAGCTGCAAGCATGTTCTGTCTTAACAACTTTCTCGTCCTTGGCCTCCTGCTTTGCGATGCAGCGGTGCCTGTGGTGGCACCGTAGATCTTGAAGTCTTGCATGAATACGTCCTGCTCCAGCGGTTTTGTTTTGAAACTGCTCTGGGTAATATTAGTTTAGGGTTAGCATCAATCTGTCGTTCTGACAGCACTTTGGACCAGCATCTGTGTTCGCCGACGCCTGCCATTGACAAAGATTTTCCTGAATGAATCTTCAAGCCATTCCTGCAGAATCAGTTGCAATGCTGTAAGAATTTTTGAACCTGTAAAGCTCTGTACGGTAGAAGGAGTCCTTCACGCTTATTGAGTGCTTTCCTTACCCCGGATGGTGACACGCCATTGCAACAAGTTCGCGAGGGAAGCACGCCTGACAGCAGAATTTCGATGTACGATCAGATGTTGGACAAGTCTTGCGGACTGAGGATGAGAGGGTGCGGAAGGAGGTCAAGAGGCTGCGCTCGGACATGGACGAGCTGCATTTGTTGCACGACAAGCTGTCCAGAGAGATGAAGCGCTTGCAAGATTGTCATGGGCGGGATCAGGCGAAGATCAAGCACCTAACCGGTAAGAACTTGCCCGTCCAACATCAGGCCACCCTGCTTTCGGCAGCTCTTTCTTCTTGCGCTTGTACTTCGACTTTGACAACATTTGGCCAATTGCTGCTCATTGATATTTTGACTGATTACCTGTCTCTGGTTTTGGTGTCTCAAGTGATCTGCGGAATGAAGGAATCAGCCGGCTCTGCCTTCCGCACTTCACAGTCCTTGACATCTTGCTCCTTTCTTGATGGTTGCAGAGGAACTAGAGAGGGTTCGATCTGACCTGGACAGCTGCAGGCGGAAGCTGGTCAAGGAGGCAGCTGCCTCTGCCTCTACACCAACGACTCCCGTCCATGCAAATAACAACCATCTGTCACGCACCGAAAGCAAGACGGACAGGAAAGAGCTGGACCAACTAGTGCGCCAGAAGGCAGATTTGGAGAGCCAGTTGCAAGAAGTGGAGGTAGATCACGCCCTCTGCCGTTCTCCAAAGTTTGTGTGCTCGTTGCTAGGTTGCTCACCATCGTAGCCTCCTTCAAGCCATCCACGCGTCTCAAGTTTGCTCATTGGTTGTAAGCCTTTGGATCGCGCACATTAAGTGCGATGATTGTGGAGATTCTTTCTGCTGTTTGCTGTTTGTGGAAGTATGCGCGAAATGCGGAAGTGTGGCCGATTGTTGGGTCCATACTTTGCCTAGGCTGCCATGTTTCAAGGGAATAAGGAGCGGAACTTCCTTGTTTACCACCACTGATGCAAAGAGGACATGTGCGTCCTGTTTGCCAGGCTGTGTCCTTGTTCTTCTGACTTGATGAACAATAATCTCTGCAGAGGATCGCCCAAGGCCGCTTGGAGGAACTTCAGAGCAACCACCGGAAACAGCTCGAGCTCCAGAGGGAGTTGCAGAATGTCAAGGTGGGGTTCAGTGCCGTCTAGCTGGCACCAGAAAGGATACTGGCTCCCTTAGTCAGCATGACCGGCGCCCCCGTATTGTTGAACCCCACATCTGATTGCGTGTACTTTAGCTCCTCAATGTGTTCACTGTACGTGGACAGGTGTTCAGATTGCATCTTTGATATCACCTCTCCGTTTTTTCTGAAAGTGCAAGCTTCTGTGCTGAGCACCATGTGGTGAGGGAGCCAGTGCTGCTTATCAAGGTATATTGTGAACGCTCTTTGTGTGCTCTCAGCCAACCACCTTCCAAAATTATCGAGTTCCATACTTGTTAGAGGCGCATCAGAACTTAGAAGCCTTCCTTGCACCATGTTCGCAGGCCCATCTGGACGATGAGAAGCTAGCGCACAAGCCGCGACCGATCCACGAGATGGAGAACCGGGTCAAGTCGTACTTGGAGGAGCTGAACAATGCCCAGGCAACAATTAATCGTTTACTGGTAAGAGGAGACACAACACTTCTTACATCACTAATGTTGCAAGTCAGAAGCGAAAAAGCTGGACAAAGCAGAATTGACGTTTCTCAGTTGTTGCTGAAGCCAGGCAGCACGATGCTGGAGAGAGAGTGGCATGCAATTCAACCAGCACTTCCAAGGGCGCTGCACTCCAAATCCATCAATGCTGAGGGACTCTGGCTTTCAGTGGGAGCATCAGTAGGCTGTTCACCCTGCCCGTCTTCAACTGGTCTTAGGGCCACCCAAAGCCTTGCCTTCCTTTATTTTTGGCATTCTCTCTGAAGCTCGCGCAGAGACGGGGCTGTTAGACTGCAGCAGTGGTCGTTTCATGGCTCATTCTGGCCCATTCTCGCCCGTTTGATTTTTGGAGAAGAGTGTTCGTCTCCCTGCCATTCGGTCCGTTGAACGTGCAAGTTCTGATTGTAAGCTGGAATGTTTGCAGGAGGAACGAGACATGGCTATCCAGCGTGAGCGGGAGACGGTCATTCGGGCGGAGGCTGGGGAAACGGCACGGAGGGCTGTCATTCTAGCAGACAAACGGATAGAGGATCTTGAGGCGAAGCTGCAGGCAACACGGAATGAAAAGGACTCTCTGGAGAGGCGCCTGACGGAGGCCATCCATGGAGCAGGTTAGTGCGACCTTTGTTTCGGATTCAATGAGTATCGGATATTGGGACATGAAATGGGGATCGTTTTCCTGGTAGCTGATAATCTGCAGAAAGTGTGTGTGGAGCCAGAGCGCACAAGGCAGCATGAGGTATTGAGTCGTGTTACTTTGTGCTAGCAAGAATGTGCGGGAGTGGACGTCACCGATGGGGAGTCTGATGGCCCTTTCCAGTTGTTACCAGGAAACAGTACAGCACGTTGTGTTTCCGAAGTGATTTCTTAATCCTTTTCGAAGTACATCTGACCTTTCTAGTGCTGGGTCTCTTCACCGTTAGGCACTTAAGCGAAAGCATGCACATGTTAACCACCGAGTCTGTATGCAACTACGGACACCTCATGTCTCCGCTTTACTTCTGGCGGGTTTTGGCACAATTCAGACCGCTTCTTCTCCTACGCTCTTCTGAGGCTTTTGAGGCTTCGAACACACAATCGACTTGCTGAGCATGCGATTGTGTCCTGCAGGCCCGGAGACGGTGGCGGAGCTGCGGATGATGCTTGGGACCTTCCAGAGCGAGATGCAAATGCTCAAGGGTCAGGTGGAGCGTTTCAAGCTGTCGGCAGAAGCGGTCCCCGCGCTGAAAGCAGAGGTCCACGCGCTGGGGGTTCAGCTCAGGCATAAGGTGCGAAGGTAGAGCATCCTTTGATTGCTTGGAGTCGAAATATTCTGCCTTTGTTCCGACAAAGCCTGGGCGCTTTCCTGGTCGCTTGAATAGGCGCGGCAATGTCCACGTGACGCTGCAGGTAGTCGCATTTTACTGGGGAAGCCTGATGAACATCGTTACGCAGTGCTTTTGTTGTCGAGTTTCTTGTTGGACTACCTTGATTATGATTAAAGAAGCGACTCTTCAGATTCCGGCGCGTGCACATGTTTGCGTCAACCTGCCATCTCCTTCTGGCGCTTCCACACACATCCACCAATCCCTAGCGGAATAAGCCCTTAAACAAACCCAACCTTCAAACTCGCAGGAGGAAGATTGCCAGCGGTTGTCAGAGACGGTGTCGGGCCAGCTGACGGAGCTGCGGGAGCTGCGGGAGCAGGTCAAGGCGCTGCGAACTACAGAGCTCGAGCTGCAGCAGTTTGTCGAGATGTTCGAGCAGGCCGCGACGGACCCCCGGGACGCCATCGAGGCCAAGAAGGCCGAGCGGCGGGCGAGGGTGCAGGTGAGAGGACCAGTGGTAGCATAGCGCTTGGCATGTTGATGTCAGACGCCTCACTCGTACAGATTTCCTCTGCGGCTTCTTCTTCAGTCCACACGTTTGTCAGCTGCTCGTTCCCTTTGTTTGTGGAACCGTAATTCCTACCAACTTCTTAGAGAGGTCTTCCTGTGCCCATCGTAGCAGTGTCTCAGATGCAAGGTATGGTTTTTCTAAGCATCCTTTGTTGTTTCTAGGCATCCCAGTCCTAACCATATTGGACGATGCTACTTGAGCCTTTCAGCTTTCTGAACGCAAAGACTCAACTTCTATACCCCTGTCTTGTTCAGCCTTCAAGTTCCTGAATACTCTCTGTTGTCCCACAGATCATGGAGCTCAAGCGGGAGCTGAACGATCATGCCGTCGAGCAGCGGGTGCGCGACGCTCGTGCAGCGCAGGAGAAGGGGCAGCAGAAGCTGGCCGCCGCGGAGGCAGAGTCGGCGCAACTCAGGAAGAAGGTGGAGAACATGGAGAGGTGAGGCGGCCGGCTTTGAATCCTAACCAAAGTAGGGTGATGCCCGTTGTTGTTTTTGGAGAGACAGGGCCTTCGCCTGTATCTGTATCTTTTCTTGTCTGACTGGGTTCGCTCTTTTACTGAAGGGCAGGGGCTTTCGCTGTCTTACTTCGACTTGAGCCTTGTGGAGGCAATGTAATGGTGCAGGCAAGGATGACACAGGCGGACCTGTACTCAGCAGAACGGCGTCCAAAAGGCTGGTTGACGTCTGGATGGGCCATCTTTGCCGCATGACAATCTGGACAGAAAGCGAGGTTCAAGACGGCTTGTAATCAGTTTTCTCTTATCTTCGCAGAGAGCTTGTGGAGCTGCGAGAAAAGTTGGCAAAGAAGGACGGCGACGGGGAAGCACTGGAGTCGGAGATCGAGGTGCGCTTCGTGCCTATCAGGTCGTCGTTTACTGAATTCGAAGAAAAGTTGCAAGGCCATTGCACGTATCGCTCACATGTGAGCCTGCAGATTGAGATTATGATTAGATGTAAATGCATTTTGGTCCCTCTGGAAATTATCTCCTCAGGGTTCTGAAAGCCTGATTGTCTTGCCTCTTGCAGACCATTGCGAGTGCGGTGGGGGAGTTCGAGGCGCAGAGTATGCGGTTGGAGAAGAAGCTGGCCGAGCAGAGGGCAGAGAACACAAGGGTGCGACTCCAAAAGCTTCCTCTGTCTATGAACGACGATTTGGAATGACGCCTCCCAGTCGCCCTCTCAGGCCGTCATGATGGGGTGCTGCCAGTAGACTGGTGTCGTCAATGCAAATTCTTGCATCATGGGTCTCGAAAATTCTTGCCGTCTTCATTTTTGAACTAGGAGGCAACACTTAGACAGACACGAACAATCGCGCTCTCCCTCGGCAGACTGTGACTGAGGGCCTGGCGGCGAAGCATTGGCCGTTGATCTGGACATGGAGGCATGACTGAGAAACCCGTTTACACCTAGAAATTTCCGTTGAACAGCATTCTCCCTAAGTGAATCCGCGACACGTAAGAGTTTTTGTAAACGCGGCGCTCATTTTGTACGTCCTTCTCCCTGCAGATTGCGACCGAGGGCCTGGAAGCGAAGCAGCGGCTGCTGGCTTACGTCTCGGACAAGGAGGCGACGGTGACGCAGCTGCAGCACGCCAACACTGCGCTGAACCTGCAGCAGCAGCGCGTGAGCCGGCTCGAGGAGCAGCTCCACGTGACCAACCAGCAGCTGCAAAAGGTGGCGGACGATGCGCGGCACTACCAGATGCAGGCCGAGGGGCTGCGCCGGCAGGCGCAGGGCATCGACGGCGCGCTGCAGGAGACGCGAGGCGCGCTCGAGCAGGCCGAAAAGGTGGGGTCGGTTCTGACAATGGTTTTTGTGGTGACTCGATGGCTGGCTCGCTTGTTTCTCTTTGAGGGTTCTGGGAGGCGCCTGTGCGCTTGATTTGGAGGGAGCCGATTCATTATTTTTGGTGTGTGCACCAGTTTTGTCCCTGTCGTATGAAGGGATACCCAGCTTTTATTGCAGATTGTCCAGGCCCATTAGTCTGTCTGGATTCACGGCCTGATTACCAGGCTTGGTCGTGGGCCTGGGAAAGAGATGTTTTATCCAATTATTGCCAATGTGAATTTGGGAACTTGAGCGGTTGCAAAGCAGGTGTGACAAAATTGAAGCCGCCAGCATTAGGTACTTATTGCTTCGGGTCCCTCTCTTTTGGAACAGTCTGATGTCAATGAAGTCATTGAGGTCATGGCAGAAGGATAGAGCACCGCAGGCCTCCGTTCTCCTTGTTCTTACTACTGCCCTGTCGATCAGATCGCAGAGTTGCCTATTTACAGGGAAGTCAAACAGTTTCCCACTCTTCTCAAGGTGCTAGTACGCCTTTCCTTTATTACTGGAACAGGTCAAGTCGGAGCATGTTGCAGATTTTCCAAGGAGCCCGTTAGAAGAGAGGGATCCTTTTACTTGAGGCCCCTTAACGCTTTTTCTCTTGTTGAAAACAGGTCAAGTCCGAGCGTGCCATCCAGTTGGAAGCTGCTGAGAAGGAGCTGGCGGACGAGCGGTTCAAGCGGAAACGGGTGGAGGAGGATCTAGAGCGGGAGCGCAGCAAGTGCGCGCGGCTCGCCAAGCACCAGGACCGGGGCACCGACTCGGAGGCGCTCAACCAAGAGATCAGGACATACCGCAGCATGCTCAAGTGCAAGATCTGCGACACGCGGCAAAAGAGCGTGAGTTACCTCGTGGAAATGTCCAACAGAAAAAAGTGTGACGATGTCCCTTTCGTGTCAAGAGTTCCTGCCGTTCGTAAGTTGTGCTTGTAGTCAAAAACTGCGAGGAGCTCTTCGAAAGATCGGATCTCCCGAATTTTCACCTGTCTTCCTCTTGTGCTGGTTCCTGTTCGTCTTTGGATAGGTTATGTTTCTGAGCACGATCATGTGTTCTGTTGCAGGTGGTCATCACGAAATGCTACCACACCTTCTGTCAGCAGTGCATTACTAGTCGCATCGAGAACAGGATTCGGAAGTGTCCAAGCTGTCAGCTACAGTTCGGGGTCAACGACGTTCACGAATTCTTCTTAGTGTAGACTTTCCTAGAAGAGCACCGAGAGAGCGAGAATTGCTGAATTAACGTTTCTTTTCCACTCGCGCTCTGGCCGCCAATTCTCTGACAGCCTCTAACCTCTGTCTGGTGGGTTCGATAGCTTGAAGTCGAAAGATAGTGTAATATAGACGAGCTTACTTGGAAGATTCTTGGTATGGCTCAGGCTGTTTGCAATGAACAGAAGGGCATGTCTTTGGGGACGGCTTTTCTTGTTATGCGAAATGTGTCTGATCCAACACCCGGAAGCACCATGATATGCACCACTTGTTGTGTTGAGAGCTCCCTTTTAAGTGAATTTGTGATCTCATGAGTTGGCGGCGTCTGAATAGGTTGTCCTTGCACATGCTACCTAGTTAGCCAGACGATCACCTGACAGTCTGACATGCAAGGCCTGAAGTATCACTGGGAGCTAGTAGGTAAGCATTGTGTATATGAGAACACGAATGGCAGAGCCGGAAGCATCCTCACCACTTGCGGTCCACAAGATAGCAAGAACGATTCTATCTGAAGAACAAGTCAGCTAATACTTGTTCCGTCTTCCATGCTTCATAAATCAGCTCTTAGATATCGGGCATGGTGATCATACTATGAGAATCAAAAGTAATACAATCCTCATCAGTGTAGCAAATTCATGACCTGCAGCCGACCATCTCGTGTAACGGAGCTTGAACGTGACGCGATCTAATGGATGTCGAGACTGTCGTCATGGGCACATAACACTGATCGAACATGTAAAACCCCATGCTGCATGCAAGTCACATGCAAATGAAGTATATTGCCACGTGCAACGCCACAGTCTCTCGGCCTCTGCCTGTTGGAGACGCATGCAGGAACGGATTTTATCGCGGCTTGGTTCTGTACGTGCGTTTGCACAAGTAACGTCCGGTCAAGTACTTTGCCGCAGTGTACATAAGTTCAATCGAGAACATGTGAAAAATTGTCAAATTCATATGTATGCAATCAATATCCAGGCCATGATGTAGTGGAAGTGGCAGCGTACGTGAATTGATGTATTAAACGTAATTTGCATCCGCATTAACACAGTATACCTCCCTAAAGTTGTGCCTCAACCTATTCATTCAGCGGTGCACAAATGTGTTCGGATTCCAATTTGCGTTTGCTCGTCTGCGGGCCTGCCGAGATTGTAGATTTGTAACCTATGGATGTTAGGCTTGATTGAATGTATCAATGTGTGCAGAGGAAAGGGATTCCTTGGCTGATGTCGCATCTCTTGAGAGGGGGCTGCGGGCGTCTAGCTTTTTCACAACTATTCCACCACCTCCTCGCAGAAGATGCAAAACTCGTTGAACGCTGCGCGCATGAGCGACCCCTCCGCCGCGCGGTGCTTCCGCGCAATCTGGTTGTACCAGTGGAAGACACGTGTCTCGTTGCGCATGCGCGCCCAAAACGTCGCCTGCTCGTCGGCGCTCTTGGCGGTCCCATTCACACCAGAGTACGCCCAGATGTTCTTATAGTAGATTGGGTACATTGCCATGGTCGGCAGGACGGTGTAACTGCCCTCCAGGTCTTTGCGCGAGAGCATGCGTCTGAGAAGACCGGGGCCGTTGTATTCCCACTTCTCCTGCGCCCAGGAAAGAGTGACGTCAGGCTCCAACCACGTGAAACCGTACTGGCATTTCGGCGCTCGTAGAGCTTTGAGCTGAGGAGGAGTGGCGTCAGCGTGCGGGCCGGGGACCCCACACTATTTTGCTGTGGCTGGATCCAGTCCTCTTTGAGGACCGAAAAGAGCAGTTGCGCTTTCAGACAGTCGCTAAATGACGACAAACCTTAACACCTCGACGAGGAGCGTCAAGTCATTTGAACGACTGATGGACGACAAAAAAATGGTGTATGTCATAAATGCCCCGGAGAATATCGACCTGCTCTCTTTGACGACCAGAGCGCATACCGCGGCAGAGACGGAGCTGAAGAAAAGTCTCCACTCGAGACCGCGTTTCGTTTGTCGTACTCAAATTAGCGCGAATTGACCATTTGATGATGCCAGGCGCGGAACAATGATCAGTTCCTAAAACACGAGGACTAGTCAGCCTCACCTGGTTGTAGTTGCCGCTCGCCTCGACCATGCACTCGTACAAGAAACTGCTGCCTCGGTCAAATATCAGTACGGCTCCTGCGAAGTCACAACAACAGTTTGATGATTCACATTGCCAAGATGTAAGAGAGCCTGTCTGTCAGAAATGCTTTGTACTAGCTGTATCTTCACCCACTACTGGTGCGTATCCTCACAATCTATCGACGCAATCGAATTCAACCATGGAAAGGACAGTTTCGATTCTGATTGAGCAGCCACGTTTCGAAACGTCTATTCTGAAGTCTCGTAAGATCGCTCGCAAGGTTAGAAAGTTGCAGCGACGATCTCACCATTCACTTGCTTAGGCGTACCCGTTCTGCGGTCAGTCATCTGCGCGCCGAAGGAGTTTCGGACGTCCGTGACGTCATTCATGACGATGCAGTCCGTGTCCATGTACACGCCTGCGGACAGGTCAGGAAACCGTCAGCCAGTGTCCGAATGTGACAATATCTCCAGAGAGTTGGGGGCTTGATTGCTCTAAGATTTCGGAGATGGTTCTTGTACCATATCCTTTTCAGGGGCTTGATTGCTCTGAGATTGCGAAGACCATCAGCCGGTGTCTGTCCCAGCAACATACCTTACCGAGCCACTGTTCAGAATAGTCAAACTCCCGTTCGAAGGATCTGCTCATCGAAGTATCAATCAAGGAAATAAATATCGAAAGATGCAGACGGAGACAGCAAAAAGAGGGAGAGCAGACGGGGATCAGTCGAGTTTTATGTCGTCCGAAGTCCCAAGTCCCGTTTCTGCTTTGAGCGGCCATAGTACGAGATGGCGGTCCGCTGGTAACATGTTTCCACCGCAAAGTATTGAAGCCATATTTGCAGCAGATTGGATCTCTAAGACTAAAAGTTCATGAAACAAAATGGAGAAGATCCAAAACGAAAAAATACTCCATCTGTGGGCTTCCTAATTCGCTGGTGGATTCGCTTCGAACTAAAAATCCAAGAGCGCTCACCTCCAAACTTGTACACAATCGCGAGGCGCATCAGATCTGTGAAGTGCGAGAAAAAGTGTTTCCCTTTGCGCCGCTCGTCCACCTTCTTATACCACACCTCCACCGGCGTGTACTTCACGAGTGACGTCACGTCGAACTCGTCGAGAATCAGTAGCCGGAATCCGCGGGCCTGCAGCTCGCTCATGAACCGGTTCTCGAACTTGAGCACCGAGAGGAAGATGACGCAAGCGCGGGGGTGCGTGACGAAAGCGCTCTCCACCGACCGGAGATGCCGCATTTGGAACCCGCTGGATTTTAGGGTTTTGTTCGGCGCGCTGGTCGTCGTCCAGAGCATGAAGAAAGTAACGGGACAACCGGTTTCTTGAATATAGTCCCCGATCGATCTCTCGACCCCCGTCGCAGGGTGGTGAAAGCAACCGGGCTCTTCCGCCGGCCAGTTCTTGCCGGGCAATGAATCCCCAACCGCTTTCACTTCCACATCAGGCATGTCCAATGGATTCTTAAGCTGAGAAGAACCGTTCGCGAGGATGCTTTCCTCCCCTAGATTCCCTAATGAGACTTCCGGCTTAGAGACGCCTTCTCTTCCTTCTCTCACCGAGCCTTCCATCGCATCAAACTCTTCGGCCAAAGCATTCGATGCCATGATTTCCCTCTCCTTTCTGGTCCCACTTCGTGAAAACTCTGGGAATCTTGCCTCTCCGGAAACTTCTGCTGCAGCTCCCAGCTCCCATGGACTCCCTCTCTCTCCCCTCACCCCGTTTCTGAAGCTCTCTGCTGAGCTGCTTTTGGCCCCCTCTGCGATTCGGGAGCTCTTTGCGATGCGGTCGGTGATATTTACCGGGGGAGCCCCACTCCCCGCCAATTTGTTGCCAAATCTCAGGAAGGGCTCCGACGAGAGCCACGTGTAACAACAAGTGCTCAGGATGACGAGCCACAGCACCAGATGCATGGCGCTTAGCGGAGGAGGGTTCATTTCCTTTGCTTGATTGGCTCAGGGGAGGAAAGTTGATCAGAGGAGCTCCGAAGAAGAGGCTCATGAGAGAAATCAAACCCGTTTCGAGAGAATGGCCGAAGGAGGAAAGAGATTGGGTATAATGGAAGCAATAGGAGCCTATTCGATTGATCACAGCTCCTTGAAGCAAGTGCCTCCGAGATCTATTGCCAAAAAGGGGAGAGCAGGAAGGAGGAAGATCTCAGTACACAAATTTTGAACAGGTGGAAAAAGTAGGTTCTATATATGGTCTTGATTCCAACTTCTTAGTCCAACGTTTTCTTTGAAGGAGATTGTGTTTTTCAATGTGGTTTGCTTCAGAAAAATGAAACAAGCACCACTAGACCGTGGATCAGATCCCAAGATTGTGAGGACGACAGATCAATTTCAGCGGTCTCCGCTGTACAATACTCCCCCTCGGAAACGACAATCAGGGCAGAGGTATTTCGTCCATGTGGAAATCGCGAGAAGACTCCTACTCAATGCTGCAGCTCAATAACTTCGGATGTTGGAAGAGACACTTGCTGCAACCACGTCATCACTAGTGTAACTAAACAGGTTTTGGCTGCTAACCAGGCTGAATAATCACAATTGATTCTCGTTCTTTCACTACTGTAGTCACGGGGCTCTTAAAGCATCTTATAGTCTTGGTACTGAGTCCCGTCATTTGACATATAACCACCTTCTAACGAGCCCGGAACCGCACTTGATCAACCGCTAAAAACCATTTTGGGTTCGATCGAGGTAGATTGAACTGCATTCAAGGCACGTTATTGTGAACAAACTGAGCTGCTAGCAGTTGGATCAGCTTAAAACCAGGCATCATTTATGCCTGCATAGAGAAGGTGATGACTGAAGAGACTGTTTCAAGAACACGACAATCTTGTTGGCTTGACAAGTCCAACTTTGACAGGCGGTTTAGGTGAATCGTACAATCACTGGCCCATCGATCCCCAAGCTTAAGTTCGTCGATTGGAAGGCGTCGCCGCAAAGGCGACTTCACGAGGTTCATTGCACCCCCACATCATGTACCCTAGACTGTTTTGTCTCGAATCTATCTCGGTTCGTGACACGACCGAGAAGTTCAATGACGAGGCGACAAATGTTAAAATAACCACCGGACAGCTGTCAGAGAAGCTTTTCTTATCTGTACCGTTTTGAACGGGGCTAGCGATACGCTCCAGCTGATCCTTGGGTACCAACTTGAAATTCTTCGCGATAGGATCAGGATCGCATGAACCAACGGTTGCAAGCTACAACAGCAAAACGGCATGGCCAACGTTTTGGTTGTGCGCAATGGCCATGAATTTGTGGCATATGCATAGGAAATTTGGAAGTAGGGTCTGGCAGGTTTGCAAGTTTTGGTTGTGCGTATTGGCCATGAACTTGTGGCATATGCATAGGACATTTGGAAGAAGGGTCCGGCAGGTTTGCAAATTTTGCAAGACCTTACGGCTTTCCTTCCTGATTTCAGTGCCTTTTTCGAAGAGGAAGCAAGGGCAACATCGTGGCGGCACGTACGATCTGGAGCGCCACGTGGCGCGGAATAACGGGCTGGAAAGAGCCGGGCGCGAACGCGCGCATGGGACTGCGCAGCGCGCGCGGCCTCTGGTACGCTGCTCTCGGCGGCTAGATCTTCTCACCTATCTAAAATGCGGAACAAAAAGATAAAAAATTATGCACTTCAACCTCACATAAAGGTTCAGGAGGCCTTCTCGGGTGGTTCTGGATACGATCGAAGTGTAGGATCCGAACTTGTGAGCAGTATTGTGAAACTTGATGATTCAACATTCTACCTGATACGTCAGGAAGCGCGGAGATCATGTTCATCCGACAACATGTTAGCTATGGCTTTTATGTTTTCCCAGTCTTGCCAAGCACATGCCCATGCATGATGCCCACAATCCACATGATCAGGCGTGTTCAAGACGTCATCGTACTTGCATTCAAGCTTGAGGTACTGCCAAGGTTTTGGAGGGCGAGACAACATTGAAGGCTTTGCACTCATTGGAGGCTTCCTCAAACGATTTCTTCTGCACGTCGGAACTGGTATCTTGCGCAAAGTGGTATGTATCGAAGAAGTTAAGCACGCGTTTCAATAAAACCCACCTAACGATTTTCGAAATTGACCCTTGATACTCAATTTATACGGTCCGAATATCAGTCCGATACGCTCCTTGCCTCCCCCGCTGAGCATCCAATCCAGTGCCGGCAGAAGAGTGACGTGGCGCCAGGTGCTGATCCTCTTCATCTGCAACTCGTTTCCTTGTCGGAACGATTCCCCTCCATGCTGTTAGCACTAACCATTGTTAAGCCCCAACGCTAACCCTAGCATAACCGTTCCGATCGCCCTAACCCACATAACCCGGTACGAGCCGGCACCGACCGGGAAGCCGTTCGCACGCTCGTTGTCAATAAATCCAGGCGCAAGCGCGCTGACGCCCACGTCGGCAAGCCAGCTCATGCTGACGTAGGACACCGCAAACTCGAACATGAGTGACGTCAGGCTGAAGCGGACGGCCAGCCAGAAGAAGCCCGCCACGCGAGCGACGACGAGCGCGCGCTGCGCGAGCACGAGCGCGAGCACGGTTCCCCGCGCCGCGCGACATTGCGCGGCCGCGTGGCGTGCGGCCTGCGCGAGGGTCTGCTCGCGATCGCGCGCGTCCAGGAGGAGGAGCGCGCGCGCGCGCAACGGCAGCCAGTCGCAGAGGCAGAAGAAGGCGCCCAGGAACAGCAGTGGGAAGACCTGTGCAAAAAATCTGCTCAACTGTCAACGGTTTCAACACGGCGACTCTATGCCAGTCGGTTGCGAGCTGCTTAGCCCGTTGGTTACTTGCTCAATAAGTAGACGTAACAAGGTCACAGCCCGGTTATGTATTGATTTCCGGGCTACGGCTGGTTAGCAGCAAACCTTCCCGTGTCGTGGCCGCAGAGAACCCAGCACCCCGGCTTTAAAAAACACCATAAGCGCTTGAGCTACCACAAAATTTTCCGGAAATGGGCAATAATACAGAATTTTGTAGAGGTACTGGATGACATCTTGATATCACCCCCGGGAAAAATACAATCTGCTGAGAACGTGCTGTACTGGCCCATACCGAATCCAATGTGATGAAGAAATTTGGAGCTGAAACGTAGGGTTCCATTTCCCATGCAGAAAGATAAAATCCTTTCTTCGTGCGAAAAGGAAGTGTCTCGAAGTCTTGCGCAAAATGTCGGCTAACGGTTCCAGAAAAGACGTATGCTGATCATAAGTGTTTCCAGTTCCGGTCCACTGATTCCGGCTAACACACCAGAGGCGAAACACTCCGAACAACGTAACGGAGACAATCTCCCCCACCTGGTCCAGCGCAGTCAAGCCAAACGCGTTGAGACCGCAGCAGTCCCCGACCAGCATCGGCACCAGTGCCCACGTCGCCGCTGACGTCACCATCACCCCGAAGCTGACGCCCACCAGAAGGTACTTGCCCACCGGGCGGCGAGCCGCACCCGGGGGATCCCCCTTCCCTCTCCCGAGCAGTTCTGTGTGCTCCGAAGATTTCGCAAACTCGCGCTTCTCGACGTCATGCAGCGTCAGTGACCGGTACTCTCGGGCGGGCTCGCTTCCTTGCAGCGCCGGTCCGCTAACCCCGTTAATCAGGTTTGGCTCGTTAACCAGGTTTGGCGCGTTAACCGGAACCGGCCCGTTGACCAGATCTGGGCCGTTGACCAGATCTGGGCCGTTTACCAGACTCGGCCCAGTAACCACCTTTGGCCTGTTAACCAGACTTGGCCCATTATCCAGAATTGGCCCGTTAACGAGATACGGCTTGTCAACCAGACTCGGCCCGTTAACCAGATTCGCCCCGGTAACCAGGTTCGGCAAGGTGATCAAATTCGGCGGCCTTTCGACGTCCGCAATTGCCCCGGGGCTTTCCCCCGGGCTTTCTAGGTCCCACGGGCTTTCGGCGCCGTCCTCTATCTCATCCACCGTGGACAGCTCCACGTGCTTTGCTGTCATGGTGCCACGTGTCGGATCGTAGAGGCAGAGGCACGTGCCCAATGCGCCCACGAGGATGACGTAAGCGGGAGGAAGCGTTTCCGCGTAGCCGAAAAGGTGCGCGAGCGGGGCGACAACGAGGGTGGCGAGGAAAGCGGCCAAGGATCGAAAGAGGGCGCTTGGGGAATGCGAGGTCAGCACGCCCTCGCATAGATCTGCACGAAGGGAAGGCGGTGTTTCTTTTTCTGCTCTGTGAATTTCACTGGGAGACTCGTTCGTTTTGATCTGACGAGAATTCACTATATTGTCAAACGAATACACGCCAACCGCTGGTAAAGCAGACGTCTATATTTCATGCGAAAATGCGGAAGACGGGGCAAGAAAGCTATCAAATTGAAACCGTGGTTAAGCGTCCAACACTGTCTGTGGAAGTTTGGAGCGGCATCTCCTTGTCTTCTTTCTCCTTTTTCGTGGTATGTTAGCCGACCGAATTAGTGAGTCCACACAATCTCGAGCCCGCGGTTGACATCGATCTGGTGAAGAATCCAGGATTCGCTACGCTGAACTTCAGAGCGAAGTTCAAAGGAAAGCCGTCTGCTTCGACGGACTCCGGGTGACGTGCCTCGAAATTTCGTCGCAACTGATATTGATGAGCTGTCTTGGGCCCGCAGAAAGTACAGGTTCTTATCGTCAAAATGTTTGACCTCTTTTGGAATGGCTCGAAGAATCCAACATGTCGTCGAAACCCGAGACGTCTCAAAGAGAGCAAAGCAGACTGGCGCTCCAACATCTTGTGATTGCGTTCCGCTGGCCGTCTTATTCTCAAGAAGTTCTAGTATGGTTATAGGTTGTTACTCCTCTGTACAAAAAGCAAAGAGTGGAGTATGATCTCACTTACAGTCGACGATCGCAAAGAGCCCCAGAAGCAGCAGCGCTGGATGCGCGCCGATCGCGCCTCCGATCGTCGCCGGACCCTGGGCGGGGCAATCTACCGGGGAACACTCCTCCGGCCAGACCGCGCAAAAGGTTCCGTCTTTGCCCGGTAAACCCGCCAAAACCTCGCGGTAGCACTGCGCCACGCGGCCGCGCGCGACGAGCCGGCCGGTCCCCCGGGGGAAAAGAAGGGCACCGAGGGAGCCCAGTAGAAGGACGAGGAGAGCAGAAACGGTGATGCTGACAAAGTGCAGTCTGCACGCATGAGAGGTCGGCGTTAAGCGAGCTTGGTTTGTGTGGTTCGATGCCCTTCAATCAATCGTGGTTAAGGGGGACAGCTTCCTGTGACGGGGAAACAAAATGAGTCGGGGTTGAGGGAGGGCAGCGGACAAGATGAAAGCGGGAAGTTCATAGATTCGCAAGCTTTCTTAAGGTGAACTTATTTTCGACCTTTGCCCCTGCGGAATTCGATAGGACTAGATTTTGGCACAATTCAACTCCATTTTCTCCTCCGGTCAAATGACTCAAATCGCTCCTTCGGTGTCTTTTCTGAACTGATCTGAGGGGATTGCATGCGAAAAGGACATCTGAGATCAAATACAGTTCGAAGATCAAACCCAGTTCCCCCGCTTTCCAAAACTGGCGGCAGTCGGATCAGAATAATAAGTGCTCGTTTTGATTAGAAGTGGAGGTCTATTTTGATTTTCGACTAGAGCAATCGGGGGCTAACTAAGATCTTGCAGCGTGCTTCTTTACGGAGAGGAAAACCCACAGATACCGGTTAGCTGCAGGGTCAAAAGTCTGTTAGCGCCAGTCTGCGATGCATTAGGACTTCGACAAGTCACTAAAGTCTCCGCCGGGACGTTCCGAGCACCCCGTCGAAACAACAACCTTCCCTGCGCGCTTGAAGTTTTCTCCGAGACAGCTCTGCTCACCGGCGACTCGACCCAAAGTGCTGCCGCGCCTTCTGCCCGAGCAAGTCCCCGGTCACACTCCCGAGGGCCAATAGCGCCACGACGAACAGCGGTGGTGCGCCCGGTTGCTGCTTCCCGAGACCCATGAGCGATTCTGGTTCGCCGGTTGCGGCGGAAGGGTCGATCATGTCCGCTGTCCACAGCCCCATCTGGAAAAGAACGGAAAGGGCGCTGTCAAGTTCTTCCTTCGCTCATTTTGGTTTCTCCTTTGCCGGACAACTATTCACTTCGCGTCGGCGCTCCTCGGTAAAGGTCGGACTCTAGCAACATCAGCCGCTCCTTGCTGCCAAGACACTCCTCGCGTTATGAACGTCTATAAATCTTCGAGTCTTGTGTTCGTGGTTCTTTTTCGCCTTCTTGGAAAGCGTGTTCCAACTTTTTCAGCGCGACGTAGATACTCATATTTGTATCCTTGAGCATCAGTACGTTACACGACCGCTGAAAGATTCCTGCCCTTAAGAGAACTGTTCATCGGGAAAGACCTGTTAACTGCATTGATGAGCATTTATCAGTTTGCAGACTGTGTAGCTAATGACTGTCAGATAAAACCAAAGAGATTGCGAAGCAAGGTCGCCGTCAGACTTCAATCGCAGACAACCCTTCTGATCCCACCTGGAAGGACTCCTTGTCGGTCGACAGCACGCCCTCCAGCCGCGCGCGCTCGCGCGCGCCGAGCGGCTTCTTCAGCGTCGCGTTCCCGGGCCGGTACCGCGCTAGCACGCCGCGCGCGCAGCGCGCGCGCGCGGCGTTGATCTCTGCAGCCGCGGCGCGCCACTCCGGGAGCGCCCGGTAGAGCACCCCAACCGCGGGGATCGTAACGTTCGTAAGAACGTGGTACGGCTGCGGGCCTTTTGTGGATTCGCACCGGGGATAGAAATGATTGTTTTCTGGAAACCAGTCGGGGGCGCACTCCACGAAGCGGCCGGCGGCGTCTCGGTCGGCGCAATGCACCGGGTGGTCCAGCTCCTGCAGATTCGCCGCGAGGGGGGGTAGGTTTGAGGAGATCATTGATCGGATTTCGATCTTCCCGCAGATTTTGCCGGGGAGGGAGGGGTAGATTTGAGTGAGAGAAAGGAGGGGGGCTGAGCGAAGTGTTGAAAATGGTAGTCCGGCTCCTGTAGATTTTGGCGGAAAGGGGGGTGGATTTGAGCAAGAAAGGGGGCTCAAGAAACTATCGAGATGATGACTTTCCTGTAGATTGCGCCGGGACGGGGAGTAGATTTGAGCAAGAGAAAGACAGGGGGAGCTCAGCAAAGTATCGACGATGGTCGTCCGGATCCGGCTCACATGTCCGTCTCGCGGCAACAGTATGAAGCATATCCGAATCAAGTTAAAAGCTGTCGGGAACTCCGTGTTTGCGGCACAGCAGTTCAGATCGACTTCAGACCGGGTTCGGACACAGGGCTTCTCGCAGTGCGCGCTTCTGGGCTATGGTTCGGACAGGTAGACGGCACACAGAAAAGGGCTACTTTCAGATTCTGGTTTGATGAAGCATTTTGACGGAGGCCTGTGCTCGGGTTTAAGAACAAGATCTGAATCCAGAATAAGATTGACATGCTCCGCTGATAACGTACCCACTCGATCCTAAACCAACCCTACCCGTCCCCTGGGCACTGTTTTTAGTCGCCACCTGGCTTTTGGTCAACACAAAATCGCGAGAACTGGGAGATGTTTTTCAGTATAAATACGAATTCAAATAATAATGGAAAAGGGATAATGCTTGCGACTGGATCAAGAGCAACGGCGTGATCGATCCACGCGTCTTCCACGAAGAATAAGGCCCATCCAATGGCCTTGGATTGGTCTCCATTTTCGAATGGAAGATTCCGGCAGTCTCGAGGCAGAAACGAAGGAAGGGAGTGACCAAATTAATTTCTGTACTGAAAACGCCACAAACCGGATGCTCCCGTTTTCTACTGGGCACAAAACCCAACCCTTGCTTTGCCCTTCGCTTTCAGTGCACAATCTTCCTACGGCCTTGAAACGGAAGGGTTTGGAAACGGTGTCAAAACTGTTACCTGCGGCCCGAGTATGATGACGTAACGAATACCGGCGTCCTCTACCGGGAAGAGGGCCCATTCGATGGCCTTGTAATGTTCGTGCGGGTGCTTCCGGTTCTGGGACTTTTTGTCCCACGTCAGCGCCTGGTAGCCCGCGATCATGTCCGGGAACTGCAGAAGGATCAACGGTGCGCGCGCAGAGTTTTTAACCGTGTGACTGGGAGACCAAATCGAACAGACTCGACTCGCTATTACTTCATTTTGTTTTAGTGAAAGCGATAATTTTCCCGGTAGTCAAACGAGTCGGGCAAGAGAACGGAGAGGTACCAATTCGCCCTCAGTAAGTCAAGAAACCGCAGGAGAGATCGACTCCGCTGACACTCAAAACTGCATGCATTGAGTTGCGTTGCGGGGAACTCACGTCAAAACTCACGCAAGCGGCACCTCCTAAGAAAGGAACGAATCTCAGGACCCTGCGAATCTTTGGCAGCAGACAATCGTTCAGATATGGCCTGATCAGACGCTCGTTACAAGTTCGATAATGAGACTTGGGGGATGACAAGAATCTAAGAAGGTCAAAGACCGGTTATGTGGTCCGGTAAGTAGACTCGAAGGCTGGTTATAGAGCCTTTGACCTGGGTTGCCTCCGAGAATGACGTCACAAAAGGGTTCCTGTGACCTCACCCGATAGCCCGGCGTCATCACCTCGGAGTAGTCGTGCGGATGTGGGCACGGGTGGTTCTGGTAAAAGTTGAGATCCAAACCACGTTTCCTGGTCACCAAAAACACGGCAAAAGAAAGCTTCAGAGCTTTGTCAGCAACAGAACGGTTTATCCTGAAACCCTCCGTCGCTTGAAACAATTGGGAATGCATTAATAAGCCCTAGCGTTTAAAAGAGTCCAAGCAAATAGGAGTAAAAGTCGTAGCCCGAACGGTTACGCGCTCCGCACTCAACCCACCCTAACCACCGAGCTAACCCCACCGCGGTTTCCCGGGCGCCTATCTAAGGCAAACAACGGTTAGGTACATTGGGTTAACCAGAGTGCACTGAGGTTTACCTGTGGTCGGGGTTCATAAAGACGACATCCGGCCCGTAGACTTTGTTCGTCAGACCCTGGTAGCAAGAGGAGTACTGCACAAGGCATAGGACAAAGTTCTGTCCATCAGTCCCGTCACCTCTCGTACAGCCCAGATTCTTGCTAGCGGTTTGTAACGGCTTGGTTTCTGTGAAGATTAGTGCAATTCCTTAACTTTCTTCGGAAGCAACTGGACCGCAGCGTACGAGAGTGCATCGGCGTAAGCGGCCGCCTTTTTACATCCTCGCTTCTGGACAGAGAACACTGAGGCGGGGGTGGCAAGCATCGCTTTGCAGAAGAACATGTGGCTCCGGCTGACAATCTCCGAGCTCATTTATAATTTTGCGTTCAAGCCCTCGAAGTACTATTGTTGGGAGAGCGCTCAGAACCAGCTCAACAGATTAATCCTCCTGACCACTTCTCAGGAAACCCCATGACCCTATGACCCTCAAACTCTGAAAAAGGGTGTATTCTCACTAGAGCGTCGTACGGGTCCTCCCCCAGATCCACCCCGGCCCCCCCCAGGTACACCCGGTCGATTTGCCCCCGGGTCATGCCGGAGAATCGGTCGTCCAGCATGCGCTTCGCGCGGCAGACCGCCTGCGCCTCGGTGAGCCCCGCCCCGATTTGAACCAGCCCCGAGCTCTTGAGCGCGGGCACGATGTCCCAGATGAGCTCCTTGAAGAACTGCGCGCGCGCACAATGAGAAGGTTACGGGCTGGTTAGAAGCTGGTTAGTTGACCTATGAGCAGCCGGCCCGGGCTCTTGAGCGCGGGACAATGTCCCGATTGAGGTCCTTCAAGAGTGCGCGCAAGCGCAGATTTCGGCTGAGCAGCGTGGGCTTTACGAGAACTTTCGGCAGTAGATTACTCGGGTTACGGGCTGCATAGAAGCTGGTTATGCGCTCGATGAGCAGACTTGGGCGGAACCAGACTCGGGTAATACCCAGAACGATAACGAGGCTGAATTCCCGTGATGTGTCCGATAACTATACCCGTTATGTATCCGTTAACCAGACTTTATGCTGGCGATAGGTCTGGTTAGCAGCAAACCTTCCCCGGAGATTGACATGACTACGGAGTGCTTCGTTGAACCTAACGGCTTCAAAGCATTGCTAAGTTTGAGGTGCCCGGTGGGCGGAACACGGTGGAATCGAAGGAGTAAGGAAAGCTAGGGAGTGGAATCTGTGCTTTGAAAAGGATTGCGTTCACATTTCGTCCCCTAGCGGCACGTCAGCTCTTTCAAGCCTGAAGGTCTACCATGATAAAAGAGCGGAGCTTTGAGTAGCTCTTTCAAGCCTCTGTCAAGTGATGAAATGCCTCTTCTACCTTGATAATTTGACCTACGCGAGACCAGGTTATGTGTGCAAATAGGCTGCTGCCACGTGGCACGCAGGTCGCGAGATTTTGAAGGAGGGCAGCGAGCGACGTAGAGCTTTTGCAGGCCCTTTGATTGTCGGTTCTGCCTCTGGTTGAAACCTCTGACACGCCTGAAACGAGTTGCAAGTCTTTCCCTTACGAATAAGTGCCAGGTGTCCTTGGGTGTACGACAATATGGAGAATGGTAGCAAGCTGCTACCAGCTGTTCCAGGCCTTCCTTACACCTTGATTCGAGACTCTTTGGCACGCTCAGAAAAGCTGGGACACGTTCTTGTTGAAGCTTCCTTACGATGACGTACCTTGTACTGGGGCCAGGGTCCCTTGTCGTCGGTGGGCCAGTGACCATTGTTCCTGCAAAACATTTTCACATAGCGAATGAACAAGAGAATTTGATTCAGCAGAGCATTAGCGAAATAAAGAAAAGGTTAAGTACTACGAAGGAAGAGGGAAATTTCTAAAGACTGGTCATAAGCACCCGTTTTGGAAGAACGAGCATGGAACTGGATTGAAAGAGGTATGAGCAAGCAGCCAGCATGAAGCGGGTGGGTTGTGAGCTGACAAACTTCAGACTTTTGCAAAGCTTTATATTTTCATCTGGAACAATTTCGCACGGAAACAAAAGACTAAACTTAAGACGATGGGGAGTAAGGAGACAAACGTCGACGAAGAACCAGCGCGTTGCTATTGGATCTCGAAGCTCATCTTTCACTTAAAATTTCAAACGGATTGTCTGGGAAGTTATCCGAAGCACTCTCAGAACGGAAAATACCTATCTGAACACCTTCACATGTCCAAAGTTCCAAAGGAAGCTGCATCCACCCATGATGTAAGCGATTCAACTGACGGGATTGCAAGATTGGGTGGCCCGAAGTTCTCGCACCAGCCGGTATGGATCATGTAGGGCAGATACTCCGACTGGTTCAGCAGCATCATCTTGTAGACCGTAAACAGCGCCGTCTCAAAGTACGCAAAGGGATCCCCCAGCATCGCGCGGGCCGCTTGCGTCAGATTCATGCCCTGGCTATTCCACACTGACGTCCCGGCATACGTCATCTGGTGGATCCCCCGGGGGACCGTTCCGTTGTAACCGGGGAACGGATTCCGGGCTTCTAGGTCTTCCACCAAGGGGCGGAAAGTGGCGATTCCGCCCGGGGGATCCAGACACCCACCGGGGGAGAAGTCGGGAACAGCTTGATCCGAGGCTGCTGATAGAGAGGTGAGAGCCAAGGAAAGCGCCAGAAAGAGCTTCAGAAGGGGAGCCATGAGAGATAAAATCTAGCTGCGTCAGCTTTTTCTTAGAGACGACGAAAGGGTGGGAACCTCCAGGCCTCTGAAACAGACTGGGTGCCTTTTCTTGCGAAAGTGCGGCGGGCCCAAAGGGCAGAGACAGCAGCAGAAGACAGAAACGCAGCCCACAAGAAACCCAAAGCGGAAGGCCGGAGTTCCTCCTCTACAAACTATTGCCTCCAAAGAATCTGTTCTTTGGTCTGCTAAGCAGTGCGTCTCTTTGATCCGTGTTGGGAAAGTGATTGACTGTAGGAAAGCAGAAGCCTAGATGGCACCGCGCACGTTCTCATGCCTTTTCAAGAACGTCAAGCATACTTCACCTCCATATTACACGCGTTGCCCAGGGCTTTTCAAGAACGTCAAGTAAAGGTTCATGTTTTTTTACGTTGGGAACCTCGAAAACTGCTCCGCGAAATGTCTGCCGCAAACTCCCATGTCGTACTTAACGAGACTCGGAGCTGCCGACGGCGGTTTGGTTACTTCCGGAATACCCATGTTGCGACGTTTCATGGTCGCCCAAGCTGGTCGAATTAGAGCACCTGACAGTTAGATAAGATGGCGACCACACATAGAGCCAGTTGGAACCTAGCGACCGCGGTCGCCGACCGCGCCTCCAAAGTCCGCGCGGATGGCAGACGTGAGATAAACCTGAATCAGTTTCCAGGAGTAGCAATGTAGGCTTCAACTTTACTGCCTTGCATAGCTTAGTCGACGCTTCGCGGGCATCGGGCTTGGATCTAAAGCAATGGAGTAAAGGCCCCGTACTTGACTTTCATACCCGTTGCCATAGAACCGTTGCAATGTACCTTTGCTAAAGACACGTACCAATGCTTGAAAAGCAGTAATCGGGGGAAGTGCTGAGACCGTGCAAGGCTGGTGCTCAGAAACCCATACTTCAGTGCATCGTGCAGGCGAAAGCACAAAATGGATGTAAAAATGTGTGGGTAAATATGGACGTTGGCGTAATGGCATGATTTAATGTTGTATTCAATCTGTGAATCCTGCTCGCAGTGTGGCCCGTTGGGGCCAGGGGCACTAAGTTGTTTCAAACTAATTTGCGCTACGTTTGTTTGCACATCTGTAGAGTCCGCATTCCTGTAACTTTTGTCTGTACGACCGACGATTGAGCAAACCTGGTAACTGAAGATGGCGGGGCTCTTTTGGCCTCATGCAATGTTTCTAACTTACAAGCCACGTATTTTCTATTCCACCACCTCCTCGCAGAAGATGCAAAACTCGTTGAACGCCGCGCGCATGAGCGACCCCTCCGCCGCGCGGTGCTTCCGCGCAAACTGGTTGTACCAGTGGAAAACACGTGTCTCGTTGCGCATGCGCGCCCAAAAAGCCGCCTGCTCGTCGGCGCTCTTGGCGTCCCCATTCACACCGAAGTACGCCCAGATGTCCCGGTAGTAGATTGGGTAGATTGCCATGGTCGGCACGACGGTGTAACTGCCCTCCAGGTCCGCGCGCGCGAGCATGCGCTTGAGCAGCCCCGGGCCGTTGAACTCCCAATCCCACTGAGCCCGAGGAAAAATGAGGTTAGAAGTCCGTCACGTGGATTACCTTTACCGCGCTCTTAATCCGTGAGTCGAGAAGAAATACCGGCGTCAGCGTGCGGGCGACCCAATTCTATTTTGCTCACATTGTTGCCTTTCGAGAACGGAACATGAATCTTACTTTGAAATCACTGGCGACACCATTGACAGACCGTGATATCGAGGTTTTTCAAACCATCGGAACGATCAGGGGGTCGAGACAGAATGGATTCCTTACGTAAACCGTCCCCTGTATCACGACCAGAGTAGAAACCCGCGTTTGGGTTGGCCCTTATGAATAAATTCCTTCAATCGAAACCCTTTCTATCAAGTGCGGTTCGGCGGTTGCCAGACCGCAGAATGTTTCCAGCAGTCGAGAAATGATCAGCTTGATCAGAGTTACCTGGTTGTAATTGCCGCTTGCCTCGACCATGCACTCGTACAGAAACGTGCTGCCCCGGTCGAACATCATCACGCCTCCTGCAAGTGTGAAGGACGAAATTAAGGAGTCGAGGGCCAAGGCTTGACAAAAACCTTCTGGACGATTCCTTTTTATTCTCCTATTTTTTCACCGATCAGACTTGCTCCCCCTTTCGTCCCTCGGGGAAGTACAACTTAAATAGCGGGGTGATCACCTCTTGATCGATCAAGCATGTTCGAGCAAATGGGCACACTAATTAGTCAAAATATAGATGCAGCTTTTCGAGATCCGGAAAAGACGCAGTTCTATGTGCAAAGTTCGAAGGAAAGCAGTCTCACCGTCCACTTCCTTATGGGTGCCGGTCTCGCCGTCCGTCAGCTGCGCGCCGAAGGCGTTTCGGACTCCCGTGACGTCATTCATGACGATGCAGTCCGTGTCGATGTACACGCCTGCGGACGGGTGACGTCAAACTCTAGATCAGCTATAGACTTTAAAAGCAAGCAGCAGATGTCTGTGAGCGTCTCTAATCAATTGGTCAATTGTATCTGCTCAGGATCCACCCATGGTGGACCGAGTAGCCCAGAAAGAGGAGCGAAATCCATAGACGCGAACAGAATGATGAGACGGATGAGGGATGGGGAGAAGGAAAAGGTTCTGATCGTCTGCAAATCAGACGGGCCTCATCACTTTGCTCTGAAAAGCTATCATAACCTTGGCAGCCCGCTCAGGGGTACCGCATGGTGAAATAACGACATATTCTTCCTGAAGTTCCACGTGTTGCATAATATCGAAAACGAAAACGAAAGCTTTTCGTTCGTGGATTTCAAAATCTTGGTCACTTCTAAATCCAACAAGGAAAGTTCTGAATCAGTGCTCACCTCCAAACTTGTACAGCACCGCAAGGCGCATGAGATCGGTGAAGTGCGAAAAGAAGTACTTTCCTTTGCGCCACTCGTCCACCTTCTTATACCAGACCTCCGCCGGTGTATACTTCAGCAGTGACGTCACGTCGAATTCGTCAAGAATCAGTAGCCGGAACCCGCGGGTCTGCAGCTCGCTCATGAACCGGTTCTCGAACTTGAGCACCGAGAGAAAGATGACGCAAGCGGTCGGGTGCGTGACGAAAGCGCTCTCCACCGACCGCAGGTGCCGCATTTGGAAGCCGTCCGATTTGGCCGTTTTATTCGGCGAGCTAGTGGTTGTCCAAAATACGAAGAAAGTGAGCGGGCAAGCAGTGTCTCGAATGTAGTTCCCGATCACATTCCCGATGCCGGTCGCGGGGTGGTGGAAGCAACCGGGCTCTTCCGCCGGCCGGGTCCCCTGGTGAACCCCCGGGCTACCGACCATTTCCAAAGCCGGGTCAGTAACCGGGGTTTCCACGTTAATCTGATTACCGATCGTCTGCACATCCAATCCGGGCTCCTCCGGAGAATGTTCGGCTGTAGAAGAGCCATCTTTCACTTTTTTTCTCTCCCCTTCGAGACCTTCTGCAGGGATTGTTTCCGCCTCCTGATTTTTTGAGGAGACCTCTAACTCAGAGAAACTTGCTGCCCCTTCTCTGTTTGAGCCTTCCGTCGTATTAGACTCCTTCCCCAAAGCATCTGATTCTTTCATCTCGGACTTGGAACGTCCTGCCCTTTTTTCTCCAGAACCACTTCCTGAATCCTCTGCGGAGCTCATTTCCTTCTGAAAGACCTCTCGTGAAACTTCCAACTTCACAGAGTTCTCTCTCTCTTCTTTCACCCAGCTGATCTCCAAACCCTCTGCAGATTCGCCTGCAGCCTGCTCTGCCAGTGCAGGATCCTCTGCAACCGCGGAACTAGGGATGGCGGCGATGTCTACCGGGGGAGCCCCATCCTCCGCTGGTCTGACTCTGAAGTTCAGGAAGGGCTCCGAGGAGAGCCACGTGTAACAGAAAGTGCTCAGGATGACGAGCCAGAGCACCAGCTGCATAATGCTCTGCGGAGGGGTATTCATTTTGTGAGTTTGTATGGCTCTGAAAGAAGGAAAACCTCCGCAGAAGAAGCTGATGAAAGGAAGCAGCCAAGATAAGAGACAAGGAGCAAAAGCAGAGGAGTTTCGTCAAAAGGAGCGTGGAAAGTGCTTCAACGCAACAGGACTCGGATACTATTGCGGCTTCTCGAAGCAAGTGCCAGACTTTTGGACTTTGATCACTGCTAAGAAGAAGGAGAGGAGCGGAAGAGGAAGGTAGATTTACTGGCACTTGCTTTGAAGCCAGTCTTGACTCGGACCTCAAAGCCTTATAAGCACTTCCAGCGGCAACCCTATCTTCGCAACCCCTATTTCTGAAAGGTGTGCAGACAAGCACCAGTAGAAGCTTCGTCAGACCCCGAGGATGTGAGGACAGATTTGGTACTCCTCTTGAACCCGATTCAGCCTCGAATGAACAACCAGTGACTTTGTCCGGTATGTGACGACCACGAACAGGGTCTTATCGCTGTGACAGCTCGGCGAGAGACATATGCTGCGAGTACAGTGATGGTGTAGATTAAACAAAGCGACAACGAAGCGGTCAAGTGCTTTAGTCGCAATGCTTCGAAAGTACTGAAGTCGCTAGTAGTAGGACAACTAGCTTACAAGGCAACATGCGCCTAAAATGAGGACTTTTCAGCAGGTGCCCCGCTTCAAGAAAGTTTTTTCGCCGGTTGCCCGAAGATAGTCCAAAGTTAACAGGCCGTTTGTACTCAAACCCATCGATCCTTCGACCTCGAAGTTTCTCGATCAGACGCGCGCAAATACTTGGGAATTCGTTGCATCCCCACACCATGGCTCTCAATGACTGTCATCTATACAAAGAGTACCTTGTTCGGGTACAATCGTTCGTGAATAACGAACCGATACATGACAGCAAAGCTACTAAAGAACTTTTAATGAACGTTCGCGCCCTTCTTCGCATTAACGCGTCTCTACTTCACCATTGCCGACTCGTTAACAGCTAGCTTGAGGAAAGACAGCACAACTGAGCAGTTGCAATGTTAGCCGCAAAAGTTGGCGCGGCAGGCACTTGCATCTTTGGAATGAATTCTTGGCACTTGGAAGCTGGACTTCGGATCTGGTAACTCAGCAGGAAAAACCCCAAAAACTCATGGATGTGCTGTCCGACCATCCGTTCTATTCTTTTCCCGGTCGACCTTGCTTCTGCCGACCTTGGCTTTTTCTATACAGTATAAGCTGCGCAAAAAGCGAACTGACAGCATCGTTCCTGATAGATGCAAGCGTTTACCAAGCGACCCATGGCCTGGCGCTCCAGGCTGTGGTATCGACTCGACACAAGCTTTCAGAGTGTAGAACCGGCTTGTTCGCAACTTCCGACTAAGCACCCCCTTCAAGAGCACGTTTTGCGATTGCTACGAACGCGTCGGAGTCAACCCGGTTCGGGATGGAATCCATGCTCGGCACGCTGCACCCGAAGCTCTGTAGCGCCTCTTTGCACTGCACGACCAATGATACGAGTTAACGCCCTTCTTTGACTTGATTGCCTCTACTTGTCTATGATATCGCTCAATAGTGCAGAAAAACTATGATACGTTTGTGTACATGAATACTCCTCGACTTTGTGAGATGTGTGAAGCCTCGAAGAACGAGCCTTTGAAGACGCGTTGGAAGTCGAGTAGAGGGAAAAGCACCTCAGTAAGCGTGACATTCCATCCTCTTCCTTTCTCAAGCTACTTCACTGCTAAGATTGGCAGTCGTCAATGGGCCTTCGCATTAAGTACATGCAGAGTGCCTTACCTGGCTTGCATTTATTGCCCCCGTTGATGTCACGTCAAACATACGAAAGACGGCAGAAACGTCGGCGTCTGTAAAGAAGTTGTCCTGCAAAAGGGAATGTTATTCGGACTGTGTGTGGAAAGCTTAAAATGTCGTTATTGCAACCGAACTGCTACTGCTTGTGCTTAAGGAATCAGTCCGTGCACAGACGCGCCCTGTCAGCGGTGATATGGACACGCTCGTTGCCTCTTCTCGACTTGGACACATTGACGTTGGCATGGAAGAGATCTTAGGCCCTGATGACGTTGTCCTTTAATAAGTGAGAGAAAGAGAAGAGATGAGCCTGACTGCAGGACGTCGTCTCGTGCAAGGACAAACTGCAGTTGCCGTGTCCTTTGTCTCAGTACATAGGGGTCGAAGCATCACCAAAATTGAACTTACGCAATTACAAAGCTGCACAGGCTACCTGGTGCAAAGTGATCCAGAAGACAGGAAACCTGTTCCAAAAGGGATTGGACGTTGTAATTGTTTGCTTCCTCTTCTAGTTCCACCAAGTGACCTCCGACATTTAGTCGTTGACTTGCTTCGGTCAGTGCAACTGCACTTGATTGTAGCCGGGCTTCATCGTCTAGAAGTGCAAAAGCTTACTTTTCGGTTTGCCGCTTTCAGCTCTGTCAACTTTTCTATCAGAAAAGCCTTTGGATCTTTGGGCTTGAGCAACAAAAGCAGGCGTGTCGCTGACTGCAAAGACAAGGCAAGAAAAACTAAGTGGTTGATATCAAAGCTGCAAGCTGAGTTTACAGCAATCGACATTGTTACATTGATCTATGACGAAAGGGGAATCATGCAATGTTTTCAAACTTGACCGCTGGCAAGCTTGCTCAATAGGCTAGCGCAAATTGTGTCACAGCTTCACCACCTCTTAAAGATACATAAATCACATCTTTCCCACAAGCAGCTCATCCTATGAAGCTGTTTCTCTAAAGCGTCAAGGGGAAGTGCTTGTGTGTGTGTGGTTGGAGTGAGGAAGTGCCTGAGTACTTTGGCAATGAGGAATGCAGATAGAGCAGCAGGTGCACACGGCCCCAGCGTGGCCACAATGCATTTAGAGGCGATCAGTGCACTTCGATCCACTTAGAAGCTCTCCATCTTACCTGGAAGAGCTCTCCAACCTTATGCTTTTCCATGTACTCTTCTGCTTTGATCTTGGGGTCCAACATCCTCACTGAAATATGGAATACTGCGGTCAGCTGTGCCCCTCCTAGCTATCCTGTCAGATTGTTGACCTCAAGCAAAAAACAAAGGCGTGGGAGCTGGTGTTAGCTAATCCGACCACAGCTGATGCGCTTGCTCGCAAAACACCAACGAGCTCCACTTTATGCTCCTATAAGTGACAGATTCACTCTTCTTGCTGTATTGCTTATATACACCATCTAAATCTGCTAAAGCTCTTTGCTGCTGCTGTTTAAACGCTAAGCTTCTGACAAATTTGGAGCTCTTCTGATTCATTGAATCGCGAGTAGAGCAATCATGCAGCTTATGAGAAGCTTGACCTGCGTTCGCGCCTTCCTTGACCGCCAGCTGGTCCACCGAAGTTACAAAATAATGAAGTTGGATGTAGAAACCAAAGATAGGACTACTCTCCCATTAGGACTAATAATCTTAGAGATTGCAAAAAGCTGTGCAGCTTTCACTTGTCTGTCACAGGAGGCCGGGAATCTCTAACTCAAAATCCAATGAAACCTAGTCCTGGTCCATACTACATGCTACAGCTGTACTTACGTCAGTACGTCTGCTAAAAGTGACAACTTCAATACAGGCTTTGTATTGTCACCTAAGCTAACCCCGTAGCGCGCGAAACCCACTGGTCCCCCGGGTGCTTGTCATATTCACGATAGTCATGTAGTGAAGATTACTTCGTCAAAGCTGGGATACGAACGCTTGTGCTCATAACAGAAACAGTGTGGTTGCGCGCGCAGCTTCTCTGGAAAGATACTGACCGTGGATGAGTTCGACCTGACAAACTTGGACGTGATCGAGCAATGCAACGTGGCCAATGTGACCTATCATACGTGATGCAGGCCTGATGCTCAATGCACCCTGGTCCCTGCGCATTGCCCTGCATTTGCTTTGTTCAGCTGGTTTTGAAAAGCCATGGCGCACGCATTGCAGACTTCCCCTTTCCTGGGTTCCACTGGAGCTTTCCAGTCAGCAGCATTGCAGCAGGTAAGCCCAGTATGCTTGGTTGTGAGGGGATGCAGGGCCGTCACGCGCGTCATTGTGCCACTGCATTGTGGACTTTCTCAAACGAGCATTGTTGACATCAAGCCTGCAGTCGCCGTTTCAGGTGGCAGGTGCCCTTGCAAGCGTAGGCGTGAGACTAGTGTTGCAGAGATGAGCAGCGCTTCAAACCAAACCCGTCAAAAGAACTTCTGGAGACTAATTTCTAGAGAACCAAAGTCTTCTACATGGACAGCAGGGTCGCCAGTGAGGACCGCTTTGCTCCACAGATTGTCACCTCTTGGCAAGTCTTTTGAAGCCAATTCCCACAGTGGAGGATGCTTTTGGTGACCTATCAATGTCCAGGATTCTTTAGTCAAATTACCTGCTCGGCCACAATATCTTGTAGGAATGGCACAATCCTGAGCATGCCTCTCATCAATCTTCAATGTGCAATGCTCCTAAGTCTTGGTGTTCGCCAAATTTGCTTTCAGGGCTTAAGTGTAAAACCCTAATGCACTGGCACCACCATATTTGGATGGCCAGAAGTTCTTGTGGCAAAAGTGCATGATTTGAAGCAATGCAGACCATGAGAGCGATCAATCCAAAGCAGGCGCCAGCCTCTCCTTAATTGAAAGAAAGGAAGCGAGCACGAACGAGGGACTTGATTACAGCGAGAAGCTCGACATGTTTTTATCTGGATTCCGGGGGTAAACAGGTGCAGGCAGGACTGTTGAAACGGTGCGCAGAGAATCACCAATTCACCTCTCTTTTTGCAGAGGTTTGAGAACACCGCCAGAAGATGCCCGCTTATTAGCTCCCACCAACCATCAAGCGCCAGGTGTCAAGCTGCAAGTGGTGACTCCGCCAGGGAGGCACCTGCTGTCACAAGGCGAGCTGCGTTGAACCTCGCTGCGGCTGCGGCCGTCCTTGCGAACTCACCGCTCAGGGCTCAGGCGGCCAGCCTGCCGAAAAGCGACGATACGCAGATTAGGCTGGTGTCAAAGGACGAAGAAGCTGGCATCGAGAAGGTAGGCAGGCCTGCCGAGTCTGTTGTTCGACGCGACCGGGTGAAAATGGATGCGGCAGAGCGACTTTTGACTCTGAAGTCAAACGTTCAGCTTGCGTGGAGAATTGGACAACCATGATCCATATTTGGGGGGTGTTTGAAGGGGCCTTCTTTTCAGGGGCAGTGCATGAGAGGCCGCTGTTGTTGCCGCAGAAGGCGCCACACTTTTGAGATGTGTCTGCAATCTGCCCCTGAGTTGGTAATTTTATCCAAGGAGTGGTGTTGCTGATCGGTCGAGATGAAAGCATTCAATCGTTTGGTACTTTGGACCGGTTGAGGGGTTCTTCAATCAGTGCCCCGGGCACCTTCTTGTCCAAAGAACAACAATTCTGAGATCCTCCGCTGGCCCTACTGCTTCGCCTGTTGGTCCTTGGACAAGCTTTGACCAGTTTCCATCATGTTCTTAAAAAGAGAGCAACAAGATAGTGTGTCGAGCCAAGTTCAAGTATGTAAAAATGATTCGCTGGAACAAAGAAACGCATGCCTTTCTTCTTGCTTTGCAGTTGCCCCTGCAGACGACCTCTTCAGGCCTGCAGTACCGAGACCTGGTGGCAGGGGAGGGACCCAGCCCGCCCGTCGGATTTCAGGTGAGGCCGAAAGGCACAGTCTTCGCTTCAGTTTTCTTGTCTGTATCTCAAGCCTTGATGATGACGTGGATTCTTATTGGCTTAGCATACTTGTGAAGAGTAATCGTCCGCAAACCAATGCGCAAATGCTGCATTTTGACCCGAGATGAACACGATACAATGGTCTTGGTAGAGACAGCTCCTGACTTAGTAAGGCTGCAAGTATTTGCCGCCTTTGCTTGGAATTCCAGGCCCACTAAGTGAACTGACCATGTTTTGGACTGCCTCTGACACGGTGTCTCTTCCAGGTCACAGTTCACTACGTTGCGCAGCTGCCAGATGGCCGCATCTTCAACAGGTGAGAAAACTGAAGAGCGATAACCAACTGTCGCAAAGGCAAGTACTATCGACATGAAGGGCATATTTAGAGGAATTAGGCACAAAAGCCAGTCGTTGGGCCTCTACTTCCGAACGCCTTCTGCGCACTGGTAAAGCCTTCACCATGAGGCTCTATCTGTGCATGAAGGGGTCGAACCCATCCACTATAGTGCGCGAGTGTCAGCATCCGCGTACAGCGCTTCAGCCGAAGTATTTGACACTACCTTGTTCGGACGTCCGCAGCTCTCTCGAGAAGGGCTCGCCGTACATTATTCGCGTGGGGGCCGGCCAGGTGTTGAAAGGCCTCGACGAGGGCCTGCTGACGATGAAAACGGGTGGCAAGCGGAGACTATACATCCCGGGAGACGTAAGCCGCCCATCCAGTCGCTCCATTGTTTCCTTTCTCTTCTGCGCAATACATAGCTCTGAGTGAGATGGATCTCAATCGAAGGCAAGATTGAGGATCGCTATAATGTTGCCTGACACGTCTGTAGGAAGCACTCGTCAGAAGCGCCCTTCCTTGTAACCAACTGCCGCTTTCGGGTCTTCATACATCCGACGAGTGGAAAGTTTGTCATGGCAATCATGTCCCGGACTTTGTACGAAGCCTGTGTCACAGGGGTTGGTCTTCGGCTGAAGCGTCTTCATTCCTCCGTTTCAAGATCCACAGTCCCCCGACGTTCCCCATTCACAAATACGACTTTCACATATGGTGGCCGACAGCAGTATATGTCCCCGACTTTCCCCTAAATACGGTATATACGACGTTCACCATACATATATGATTCTCTGACTTTCTTCTCCTCTCGTACGTCCACAGCTCGCATTCCCGAAGGGCCTCGGCGCGGCGGCAGGGCGGCCGCGGGTGCCGCCCAGCAGCCCCGTCGTGTTTGACGTCCAGTTGCTGTACATCCCTGGCATTTCGGACGACCTTGCTTCGGAGGAAGAGGCTTCAGCGTAAAAGGAGGAAGCTTCTCCGTCTGAGGAAGCGTGATGATGTTCTAGACGGCTGCAGATTTGCGTTTGGTTAGCCTGGTGTGACTACCATTTTTGACCTGGTAAAGCTGCCGCCAAGTGGCAGTTTCGTGTTGCAACGTTTTCTTTTCGAGTGGTTGATCAATCTGCGGCGCCTAAAACTAGAGGGCCCGACATCGTCAAGTTGGGTCTAGTGCTCTTGGCATTCTGCCCTGAACTTTGTGTACTTAATTGTGTGATGGCAGTGCGTAGAGTGCCGCGCGGATCCACTGCTTTACGTCATTCTAATGATACAGTATGTCAGAAGGTGTGCTGGCCAAATGTAGATCATGTACCGCCTAGTGCAAGACGTTGGTCATGCACAAAGTCGGCCATGCCAATTGGAGACCGGACACTTGCATGTGCACTTGGCATGCAGAATCGTGTCTACATAAGAAATCCATGGTATGGCTGAACATCAGCTCGCACAGTATTGCAACAGTCACCGTCAACTGAAGTACAAGCCCTAGCTGGTAATTTAAGCGGAGCTCCGGTGACCCCGATAGAAGTCATAGCAGTATTTCTAAATGAAACTAGAAGGCCGCGCATGATACTAACACCAACCATGATGAAAGTCAGCACTGAGCAGAGGTCAAACCTAGATACTGTACAGTCTGCAAATGACTTCCGTCTACTTGAGTCATCGCTCACAGGTCCCTTTCCACTATACAATCGAACCATGCAGTCGACTTCTAGCAGCATAGTATTTACATAATTAGGGGGCAGTCTAGAAATTCTTAAGGACGTCGTGTCATCTCCTGCGGTTCTCAGAGTCGTCAAAGACTCTCGACACCTCGCTCCAGACGTCGCTCAGGAAGTCCTCCAGATCCCCGGACCTGCATCGCGTACACTTTTTCTAAGCCCAAGCAGATTGTAAGAACGCCCACTTCCTCTATGAGAATCGTGGATCCCGACTGAACTTGTTTCACTTCCATTTGACAAACCAGCGCAAAATGCGAGCAGCTAGCATAGCGCCATGGAGCAGCTTGCGTTTCTGACAAACGCCCGAAACTACTTTAGGCAGTGGTTCTTGGCCACTGATCGTCAGAGATCCTAAACTGATTGTCTTATGACGTTTCAAAAAAGTGCTGACTCAAGTAGGTAGATTTGCTCACTCATAGTCTCCACCGTTCAGACGGGGTGGAGACAAATTCGAGACCACAATGGAAACCTCCTCCATAAGCCCTGGCATAGACCGTGCGTATTTCCCGTTTGCGACAAAAGAGCGAACAATCATCTTCGGCACTCACCCCCGTGGCAGTTGCCGCCAGCTCTTTCTCAGTCTACTGGCTTTGGGGTTGGCTAGGTTGCTGTGCTTGCCCCTCCGATCCCAACCATGGCCTCTCCCAGTTCCGTACCCGAAACCCAAACCTATCCCGCATCCGGCGCCTGGAAGGTGGATATCATTGCTTGACTAGAAAGTGAAGCAGCGGGGAAACAAAATCCAAAAACCTCAGCAGCAATTTTTGGTTTCATATTGCTCTGTTCCTTTTCGCTGATGCCTCAACTCTCGTTTGCAGTACGTGTGAGAGCTCTGGGGGTTGACTTTCCCCGTTTAGTCACGATGACCAATTTGTAATCAGATAAGAGACCATCGACTATGCAAAAACTTGCCCTTTCAATGAATGCAGGGGCTTACAGGTGGCGACAAAGGGGGGTTGCAGAATCTTTCCTTGTCAAGCCCAGTACAACTTGAAAAGAACCAACCGGATAACCCGTATTATTGGTGTGGAAGCTATCACTGTTTGTACATTGTCCACCTGGGCAGCCAATCAGTTTTGAGTGCATTCAAGTATGGCTGCCTTGACATCAATCTTCTCAAATACGCAAAGGCAAACCCCGATCCTATCCCACACCTGGCGCCTGGGTGATTGATATCATTGCTCGGATCAGAGGAAGGAAGTAGTGCCATTGAGCTGAAAAGTACAATGCGCAACTTGCTCTTCCAGACTGCTCCGTTGACTTCCAGCAATTACATTAGCTTTTGGGGTCCAGTACATTTTCAAATCTTTGGGGGTTGTGATTGACCATGTCAAACATTTGGGAGAGAATCAAATGTCCAGAAGTGTAAGCATTGTTCTTATTAGAGGCAGATTGTGGGAACGGAGGGAGAATGCAGTGTCTTGCTTCATCAAGCCCACTTGAATCTGACTGCATCTTCATTTGAAGCCTTGCATTCCTGACTCCCTATAGTGACTTGATTATTGCACAGCCCAGCAACGTCCAGTTACAGAATGCAACCAATGGATTACTGCCACTGGAAGTAACTTAGTAGAAACTTACCTGCGCCAAACCCGACGCTCATCATGGGCAACCCCACCCCCAATCCAAGCCCTGCGCATGCGCAGATTGTGATCAGCGATTCATCTGCTTTGAATTGCCTCCTTGTAGCTTCCTTCCTAAATGCAGCAAATGCATACTTCTTCTGATGAAATTCTGGGGCAGTTTATCGTCTGCTACACGGGCTGTGCGAGGACAATCGCATGCAATCAAAGGCCTCGATAACCAGCAGAAACTTTCAAAGCCCACTGAATTCGTATCCCAAGTAGAGTGGCAGCAAAGTCCCTTTCTTTGTTGACAATTCTATTGAAGCCCAATTTGCAGATTGGAGTAGTGAGAGCTTCCATGGTTTTCCTGACAAATGGAAGAGCACAATACAACAATAACGACAGTGCAAACAATTGAGGAACAGAACTTACCACCCACAAGCCCTAGTCCAACTCCCACCCCGCACCCCACTCCCAAACCGAACCCGGGGCCCAGCCTGCCCCAATTGGCCAGATTAACCTCCGGCAGCCGCCAGATTGGAGCTAGCTCGTTGTTGTGGCCCATTCCTTCGTTCTTCAAGTCCGAAGGAGATAGCTCTGAGGGCGGCTGCTCCAAGCCGCTGACGCTCCTCGCTTTCTCCCTCAAGGTGCCTGGTGCTCAATGACAGGAGGCACACGCAATGGGGCAATGGAACTTGAAAGGAAGCACCCCTTGCATGAAGCAGACTGATCGATGAAGCAGGTTTTACATATTATTCTTCATATAAATTCAGAGATTTCTGGCGTTGAGGCCCGATGGTCGGTAGCGATCTGGCTTGCCACCTGTTGAGAAGCACGAGCCCAATTCTTTGTCAAATTCTACATGGAAACCCAAAAATCACACGGTATTCCTTCTTGTGGAAAGCAATCTTGCAGAATATTCACTAGGAACGACGCGCATAAGCAGGGAGATCAAATACCGCATCTTCACTCTAGATTAGCAGCTCAAAATTGAAGGTTCATGAACGCTTGATCAGCTTGGCGGCATAACCATTTCTGATTTCAGCTTGGCGGCCTGCTTCTATATGTCGAAAGTTTGCTGCTCTGACTGAGCATCTTCCATCCTTCACGGGAGGATCTGGTCTGCGTTTGATTTGTCGTCGAGCACGGAGGATCAGGGTGCGCCGAATCAGCAAGATGAGCTACTATCCACCAGGGAATACGTGGCAGACCCCAGGGATGGGCCCTGGGGGAGGGTACGAGGAGTTTGGCGCTCAACCAGGGATGCAGCGGCCGGCAGCAGGACCTTCCGGGTCGAGTCCTTTTAACAACATGTTCTCTGGAGCGACATCTGCTATGGCACAGCACGGCCTGGCTGCTTATGGCGGCAAGTTCCTGGGGTCGGGGCGGGAATACGTGCAGAGCAATATAAGCAAACTGGGGAACATGCACTATTACTTCCAGGTCAATTCGCAGTATGTAAAGAACAAGCTGAAGATCCTCCTGTTTCCATTTTTGCACAAGGGCCACTGGACGCGCATTGCGGAGCAGGTTGGGGGGGATAAGCTGACGTATAAGCCGCCGAACGAGGACATCAACGCGCCCGACTTGTACCTCCCATTCATGGCTTTTGGCACATACATGATCCTGTGTGGCATTTTTCTGGGGATGAAGGGGCAGTTTGGGCCTGAGGTTCTCAGCAGTCGGTGCACGAGGGGCTTGGTAGCCTGGGGTGCTCAGGTGAGATGTCAATCCTGCAAGGAGTGAACGGATTACCTGTTTTTGAATTATGCTGGTGATCTTGCAGCTTCTCTTAGGATTTAAGGAAGAATTCTGAGCTGATTCAGAATCCTTCAGCCTTCGCAGTTGATTGACTGCATGAATTTCAGCTCTTCTTTAGCCCCAGGAACCGGCACAGGGACCTTCAAGTAGTCACGAACATGTCAATCTGCTGCTTGATCAATTGCCGCCTTATGAGGGAAGTCCATTGCCGTGTGATGATACAAGCCACTTGGCCTTTCAATGTCAGGAATGAAGCTAACACACAGCTCACTTGATGAAGTGGGACCTTTTGCAATTGTCCGTTTTGGGATGGCTAAAGAATCTTATTCTGGTGATTGAGCTCAAGTGTCAGCTCTTACTAAGGGCCCAGCCATCAATAGGTAGTTCAAAATTTGGCCATGTGAATGTCTGCTGATGGCTCTCGAGAAACATCTCTCCTTTCGTCCGTAATCTGGAGTTGTTCAAAACGGAATGCTTTATCGGCTCCGATCAAGGGGAGATGTTCGAAGATGGTCCTTCTGCCGACTTTGAGTCTATTTTTACCTTTCTTTGTCCTCCTCATATATTTGTTCGATGAGGGTCTGCTGGCAAACGTTTTGGTCGATTGTGGGCTTCCTGATCCTGGCTGGGGTCTTAGGTTTTGTTGGGTTTGCTGTATTACACGGCGATTTGAATTGCACTCTCTGTATCTCGTTCTGAGGAATGTGACCCACTTTATCCTTGAAGCCGTTTACCACTGTTTTGTTTGACAAACCGAATCACCCAAGTGGACGAGACAACATGAACTTTCGGAACAATCAAGACCTGCCATCACATCGCCACTGCTCGTGTCCTTGTTAGCCAAGCAATTCATTAGGCTCCCAAACTTCCATCTTGGATTTTTACTTGTCATCTCAAGTTACTCCTCTCCTTTCTTCAGATCCTACTGATGCGGTCGATACTCTACACCCTCGGATCCGGCAACTCCCCTCTTCTCGACATCACCGCGTATACGGGCTACTCGTTTGTTGGGGTCAGCATCAACATCTTGGCCAGGATGGGATCACTTTGGGTGTACTATGGGGTATTAGCGTGGACCACGATCAGTCTAGACGTGTTCTTGGTCCGGACGCTGAAACGGATCCTGTTTGCGGAGGCCCGGAGTTATGACAGAGACTCGAGCCGGCATCACTACATGCTGCTACTGATTGCACTGTTTCAGTTCCCGGTGGCGATTGGGCTCGGCCTCCTATGAGCGCGACTGCTTAGTCTCCCGTCAGAAGACTGGCCGCTTTCAAAGCAGCTTCGTCAAGCCAGGGATCCGAAACAAACAGATATAGCCCTTGCGATTCTAAAGATATCCATTGGTTCGCAGCCCACGGAGCTGTATTCATTATTTGTTACTGTCGCTGCTAGCTTTGCATGTGCCTAACCTCATCATTCAAGATGCTATATGCCTAACCTCATCACTCATGATGCTAAATTCCACGAAGTGGGGTTGGTTGATTCCGACTCATGATCGTTTGTGGCGATGCATTCATAATTAGCCGCATGTTGGCGCGGCTGGTATCAATCGTCCCTCGATCCGCTCTCCAACATCAGATTGTTTCATCCACAACGGTACTAATGCATGCATGTGCATGCTCATGATCGTGCATCTCGCACCGCACATATGAAGCATGAGCTGCCAAACTCGAACATGGATTTGCAGCCGCTAAGTTAAATATGCATAAGTATGTAGACGCAGAAGCGATGCGCCATGTGCTTGATGTGATTCATATCACGATATGCATGAGCCTCGCATATCAATACAGCTTCTTTCCACAATGCACTGAGGTTGCGAACAAACCCAGGAAACCTCTCAAGAAATGTGGCCAGGTTAATCGACACGAAAGCCGAGCAGGACATGAAGTGGCCCAGACTTGTTCGAAGGACTCAATATCTGGCCCGAGCCAAGTCGACCAACCTTTTGAAAGGGCCTTTCAACTCTTCTGAAACTTTCCGCCCAGGGATTGGACTCAGAGATCTCCCCGTTTTTGGTTTCATTTGCAGGTTGGTCGAAAGAAGCTGTATTGAAAAACGTTGAATCGATTCTGTACCATAAAGTGATGTCGATTGCCCACAGACTACCTAGCTCTGCAAGTCCCATCCGGCCAGCCCAACCCTGAGATCGGATTAGGTATATCTACGTACAGTCTTTCATGATTGAGCGCTTGTAATAAAGGTAACTCGTATGGAGATCCTTAACCAGAAAGAGTCAAGCCATTGCGCCTTTGGATCTCTTTTCAGTGGCTGCTTACTTTCCAGTGGCCATGAGGCACTCATCCCTTCAAAGGAGTCCTAAAAGTGCATAGGCCTGTGCTTTGCAGCTGTAACCCTGATAACTTGCTTCATGAGCATGCCACACCCTCGCACGTACAGCCGAATGCCTCACACCGACCCCGCAGGGCGTGGAACGTGCTTGACATCTCGCTAATGATCATCGAAACTTACGATGGGCCCGAGCCCCGCACGTGTCCCGTCCGCTTTCTAAGTGCTCCGGACAGGAGAGCGTCTAGCCGTTCGGACGGAGCGTCCAGCTCCAGGCTCCCGATCAGTGCAAAACAGTCGGCGTCAAAGAGAACGTCCTCGAGCACGCGCGAGCAACGGGCGAAGTCCTGGGGGAGAATGTCGATAAGTTAGGGAGTGACGTCAGACGGGTGCGTGAGGTGCTTAATAGCGTGAATTGCCCTATAACCAGCCTCGGCGCCGAAGCGACCTTCCTTCAAAGCCTGTTCAATACCGGTCGTCTTCCGTGTTTCGTTTTCTAGCTGGATAGCTCGAGAATCACTTGTGAGTACGAATCCCAAGCATAAGGCGGCAGGTGTGAGTAGAAAGAGAAGCTTGTCACGTGGTCTCGAGATGACCCAAGATGACCAGATTGGCGCGGCAGCTGAGAAGCGGAATGACGTCATCAAGTGTGCTTAGCTCAGAACATCAACAGGGGCATGTCAAGAGAGAGACGAAACCGCACAAAATGCCTTTCTGCGTCGCCTCTCACCTTTTCGGTCGTGATAACGAGGCAGCGAGAGTATTGGCGCGAATCCTGTAGCCCCCGGAGTAGCGTCAGAGTGGACATAAGGTCCTGCGAGCAGAAACAGCGGTGCAGATTCGGACTCCCACTCAAGCAAACCAAAGCGTCAGGGCGGCGACATTGACTTTTCTTCCTGCTGGAATTGTCAAAAGCGGCAGACCTCGGAAGCATACGATTCATCGACAGGCGTTCGGATTGCCTGCAAAACGTGGCGCTTCCGTGAAGCGGTAGCCATTTATTCAATTGCAAGACGGACCGACCTTGCTTATCAACGAAGCTGTCCAAAGTCCGTCGTACTCGGAGGGCACTCCAGCCGTTTCTTTTCCCATTTTCTCCTCTAATTGTCTATTCCCCATAGTGACAAACATGATTCCGCTCGATTGAGAGGTGGACAGGCACAACCTTTTCCGCTCACTTTAATCTAAGTGGGACCGTCCAAGCCGCGTCCGTCAACTCCACACGAGCCATGCGGAACTTACATCAGAAAGCAACCGGATCGAAGCAAAGGACAACAAAGAGAAGCGGACCCAACATTAAGCAGGTTGAAGGAGGTGGAGAAGAGCAATCCTATTAAGTTAAGCGGAGCAAGATGTTTACATTGAGTTCCCCACCTTTTCAAAAAAGACATGGTGGTCGCCGAAAGCCCGGCTCTCCACGCGCTTCGCTCCTAACTGCAAAGCGTGGACGCGAATTCAATTCAGGCGACCAGGGAAAAGGCAACCGGATTGATGGGGAAAGGGAGGTTATGACGGCAAGTACACAGCCGTTCCGTAGCCCGGGTCGAGGCTAAGGAGTCAAAAGGGACCAGATGAAGGCAAAGTTGATCGGATGAGAATGAACCAAGCCAAGAGACCCGGGATAAAGCGACCGGTCTTGAACGCCTAACTCAAAGGTAAGCGAGATGAAACAGAAGGCAGCAAAAGAAAGTGAACAGTCGCAGCCTCCTTGTCAAAAAACGATTTTGATTGGAAGGTCGCGTCTCGATGCCTCGACTTATCTTGTTGCACAATGCTCAGGCAATGCACATTTTGAGTACAACAAAAGCAACCCCGAAAGCGAAAGCAGACCGATTTCTTGCGCCGAAAGCCAAGAGAAGGACTGTGGGGACCGAAAGCATTCGCGGGCACCTTAGACTCGCACCCAAGATGTTGCGCGGCCAGTCTGCAATTCATGGATTTCCGTAATTTACGAAAATCGACGATATATCATACTCCCCGCCCTTGTGGGAGCTATCGAAAGACTCCGTCGGAAACAACTTTTTGGGTGCGAGGTTAAGGGGCCCGAAATTGGCTCACCTTGTAAAGCAGGAGTTCGAGCGACCGAGGGCACCCAATCCCTGACAGGGCAACCACGGCGACCCCGCTGACTGCATCCAGGCTTTCTTGTCGCCCTCGCTTCGGCCCGGAGATCCGTAGAAGGTGCTTGGGAGCAAAGTGGGCGGGAAAGACGGGAATGCTCGGACGTACGTGGCGGTGCAGATCGGACGTCAGACAGAGGCGCCGGTCTTCGGAAACCTGTGGACACGAACGGGATTATGAATGCTCCTTTGAGTATTGGATGCACTGCTTCGACGGTTCGACAAATGAGCACGAACTACGGATGGGAAGCGCGAAGCTCGCTGAAGCTCGGTGAAATTCAAAGAAGCAAAAATATGCAACTGTTTTGCAAGAATTGTTGATGAAGACAGTAAGACGGGAAGCACGGCGAGGTGGAACAACAATAGAACCAGGGAGGAGCCTTAGCGTGATTTCTGACCAAGCGGTAAATGGCAGGAATCTCGGCGCAGGGAGGGAGGAGAGTCAGGACAGACGGACCAAAATCGCACGGAACGAAACCAGTAAAATGGACTCAAAGGGACAGCAATGAATGAGGCTGACGAGAACCGCGTGATGAAAGTATCATAGTCTTCCAGCAAACGGAATGTACAGTCACCTAGATATAGGGTCAGTGAAGGGAAAAGAGACGATAAGGCATCCAACCTAAGTCGTACGGAGGTCTGCATGATACATAAAGATGCCCCCAGCTCTTGCGTTGCAGTTGGTTGCTTCTGGACTGTGTTTCGGGCAACGAGACGGCCATCGTCGAAGTAGGAAATGGAAGAGGGGTAAGAGAGTGGATTGCAAGGATAGATTCGAAACGTCCAAACTTACGAGGTCTGCATGGTAGAGCACGACAGCGTCAGCTCGCTGCAGCGCAGAGATGGGCTCTCGTAGTGGTCCTCAAAGATCGAATGAGGAATGTCAATCCAGACAGGAAAAAAGAAAGACAAGGAAGATGCGCAAGTAAAGGGGGCAAACAGAATCAAAAGCGTTGAGCTCCGCACAATGGAGGATGACGGGATCGGCTCGCTGCAGTAGAGCGCGAGCGAAGAAGAAGGCAAAGATATATAAACAGAAGGAAACAAATACGTGGAAGAAGAGGGGGCAAGGAAGAGAAAAAACACTTGTACTCACGAGGTCCGCATGATGGAGGATGACTGCATCGGCTCGCTGCAGCGCAGAGAGGGGCTCTCGCAATGGTCCGGAGGGGATGAGGTGGCCATTGCCGAAATAAGAGACGGCGCTGACCATCACGATCTCGAGGTCGCGGTCGAGGGCGAGGTGCTGCGAAAATTTGGAAGACGCGGTCAAAACGGCTGAGAAATCTGAACGTTTTCAGTATTTGCAACACCACCTTTCACCGTCTACTTTCCGGGACTCGAGATCTGCGGGTTCAAGAGGCTCCTCGAGGAAATGGGGTAACGCATCAGTGGAACCTTTCACTGAAGCTGATGGATCGTCGTTGCATCAGGGGATCACAATAGAAAGGTACCGATTCCCTTGAAGTGTGTGGGCTCACCGCTTAGACAAAGGGAGACGACATTGATCGAGACATAACGCTGTGACACTTTTGGGTCGCGGCTGAATTGAGCTATGAAAGGTATTGGGTACAGGCTTCGTCCTTCTTTACGGACGCCTAGGGATAGAAGGGGATGCCTCCTTCGTTTCAAACGTCCATGAGACGCAAACTTTCTCCCTTACTCTCGAACTCGACGTGCCTGGATTTGGTTTTCGAGAATGGGACCCAGAGTACCTTCCCGCATCATCATCTAACCAACCTCGGTCAGCTTTTGGCTCACTGCAAGGTAAGTAACCCCCTGAAGATCACGGGCTCTTACTGATCCGTTTCGGAAGAACCACTCTTCAGGCTCCACTCAATTCAGCGAACAGTAAACCCCGTGGATAGGGACGTGGATGAGGGGGGGGGTCAATAAGGTTGTTAGTGTTAGTACGGATGCGCGCTCAGCACATAGACTCTTTGGTTCGGAGTCGATTGGAACCCGTTAAACCCAAAAGCCTACTGCGCATTGAGCTTACATTCCACCAGTTTGAGGGATCATCCTTCTTCCGGACCCTCACCTGCATGCCATCGTCCACTATGACCACCCCCACGGGCCCGTTCACACCGCCCTCCCCGCCCTTGGTCCCAACCACCTCCCAGTCTAGTTCCTCCTTAGCGATTGCCAGGCTCATCGCCGCCCTCCGCACGCTTTCTGACGGTGCAGCCCCGTGCCTTGTGAAGATCGTCCGGGCAGCCTTTGACCGGTTCCGACCGGAGCCGATAACAGCGCTCGTGTCGCGCAGCCGCTGAGTCAGCATGGACGCCTCGTCGCTGTAGGGGCCTCCCTGTACGAGGGAGGAGGTCCAGAGGTTTTGGAAGCTTATCTTTTGAAAGTCGTGGTTTTTGCTTGATAACAGGTGGTTGACAGATGATCGATAGGTGGTGATGAATCAAGATATCGAGCATGATACAAAGAATGGACCTGGCAGTTGGTGGGTATGGCTTGAAGTCTTCAAAAGCCAGGCTTACCTTGCTTTTCATGTTGTCAGAAACGAGGTTAGGTCGAAATTTTGTTTTGTTTGTTTTATTTGTCCGAGAACATGCGGATTGAGGTAAGTAGGAATCTGCAACCCTGGAGTTGTTGTCAGGGAGCATTTCAGAAAAAAAGCCTTGAAATCAGATCCTCGCTCCCTGGCCTGAAGTTGGATGTCTATTCCGTTTCGTTACATGTATGAGGGGACGCATGGATCATCAGGGAATCAGGCATAATGTCGAGCTTGGCAGTGTACAACCAGATTTCAATTGCTTTAACGGGTCATGTAGACATGTCTGAATAGATGTTGCAGGGACAGACCAGTTGTTGGCCACTTCAAAGTGCCCCTTCCTTGTTTGTTTGAACAAAAGCTTTTTCTAGACAATGCCCGCTTGCACCACTTAAAACAGCGCTGGAAGGATCACTCCAAGTACAACGGTTGCATGATGGATAGACTTCTTTTGACCAATTGAGGTGGACAATTGATCAACAGGTCAGGCTATCAAATTGTGCCACAGTAGCCCCTTGCAAGCTACAGTTAGTTGAGTCCACATTTCCCCTGTTCTCCAGCCCTTTTATTGGATCAAACTAACCGGAACGTGCATTAGAAGAAGTAAATCAGAGTATGCCAACGAGAACCAAGCTGGCACTCTTCAGGGCTTGACCAGATAGCAGAGCAACGAATTCCTGGCCAGCAGATTCTCAAGAACAACAAGGGAAGCAGTGAAGTATAGATTGCCAGGCAAACAGTCTTACCCTGACTAGGACCACTGGTCTCAGCCCCACGCTCAGCATGCGCCTGGCTATAAACTCCACCATTGGAGTTTTCCCGTTGCCCCCCCAGCTGATGTTCCCAACACTTATCACAGGAACAGGGAGAGACTCCCTTTTGCACACCCCCACTTTGTAAAGCCACATTCTTAGCTGGTACACCCCCCCATAGAGGACGCTGCTAGCACGGAGGACAGGAAAGAGGGCGCCCTCTAGGGACCATCTGAAAGGGGGGTCTTCTTGCTGGGCGGACTCCCGCAAGAAGACGCTCAGGGAGTCACACCAGCTTTCCAGCATTCTGTGTCTCGTCCTTTGCAGCTGGATTGAGATAAGTGATCCAAAAGATTGGGCAATTGAGGTTGTTGTGAGCTCAAAGGACGTCCTGACAATGAATGGGAAAATTTTGGATGAGATAAACCTCAGCTCTTTGTGAAATGGCCGTCACGAGAGGCTCCCATTCCCAGCAAAGTAGTCGCAACTCCGCCGCAGTCGCCAGCATTTTGTTAGCTGCTAGTCAACCCAATTGCGCTCTTCTCAGCCTCTCTGGCACTTTCTTATCAATGTCAGACCTGAGAATCAGAACTTGAAGAGCCCAGAAAGTTGGAGTTGCGCATGACTTGGACTGGCGGCTTGGCAGGGAGAATGAGGCGTCCTGCACGGCAGAGAAAGTGTTTGGAGTTGAGCTGGACATTGCTTGGTCAAACTACTTTCAGCCCAGTTTGTCGCCTTGGATTTAATGACACCGAATACGATCCGATCCCATGCGCATTCCTTCCTTCTTTTAACAGTGTCATGATGCTGGCGTCGCATTCTGAGGGTTTTCTTCCCTCTTCGCTTCCTCTCGAGTGCTCAAACCAGCCAGTGCAATGCGGGCAGAATGGCGCCGAAGAAGAGCCCCGCTTCCTCCTCCGGCATCAACCATGCCGCCATTCTCCTTCTCACCATCATTCACCAGCTTCTAGGCGGCCTCTGGTATGGCCAGCTCTTCAAAGACCCCTGGCTTCATGGGGTTGGCAAATCGCTGCAGGACGTCGAACCGAAAAAGCACCCCGCTCTGTTTCTCATTCCGTTGGTGGCAGGCCTTCTGCTGAATTACGTCCTGGCCGGCATCCTGGCCCTGGGGCCTGGGCCGAGCGTAAAGAGGGGGGTGGTGTGGGCTCTCATTCTGTGGGGGGGGGTCATCTTGCCAGACACGCTGACGCACCATGCTTTCATCGGGGCACCGCTGATGCTGACGGTGAGATGCTTGTCTGCGTGTTCAAAGTGAATCAACGAAACTGTAATCTATGTAGGTTTGTCGGAGGGGATAATGTGGTCTAACCAAGGGCTAATGTTCGCTTGGGTTTCCGTCAAACTTGACATATCAGAGGTCTGTCCACAATTCCAAGCAGAGAATGTGATCAGGTGCCTGTAAGTTGTTTGCGTTCCGGGAGAAACAGAAGGTGTGTTGGTGGTAGGACTTTATCAGTCTGGCTTCTTGGACCAGGGCGTACTCTTCTGCATCTGAAGATAAGATGGTACCATTCTGGCATCAGGCACTCTGGTTGTTTAATGGCAGCCCCCCTGTCGCAACCTCATGCATCATCATTTTACATAGAATGAGGGATGATGATTTGTGCACAAGACAACCAATTCAGAAAGCCCTTTCAGCGCACTTGTTTAAAGTGGCTGATGAGACAAATGTGCTCAGCTTATACCCGGCATTTACACATTGAAGTGGCGTTTGTAAAGCACCTGTGTAAGGTTAGAGTGACGGTGGAGAGTCCGACATTCAAATATGCTCCTTAAACATAGTTTTCATCACTAACTTGCAGGCCATTGACACCAGCAAGGAACTCGTGGGGCTTCTCATCTCCGGTGTGATCCTGGGGTCTTGGACGGCAAACAAGACGAAGGCCGCCTAGCAGAACGTCGACGTCTACGAGTCGGTGTCGTCAAGTGGCGCTGTAAGGGAAGGAGGTTGTTGTTTTGATTGTTAGAAAGCCATTATTTGGAGCAAAGGACTGCCTGTGAAACTAAAGATCGCCGGCTTCCCACACGAGCGATGATTGGACTAGTAAAAGACAGGGAGGATGGATGTGGGCGCAGTCCAAGGTATGCACTGACACGAGCGAAGGAGAGCCACTAACGAAAGTCTGGGTTACCAGCTAGGTACTCCCATTGCAGCCTTTGTATAAACGGAGTGTACGTTTGCAGGCGGTAGAAAAGAAGGGCTGTTGGGAAGCGTAAATGGTACATGTAAATAAGTGCAGCTTAATGACTCAAAGAGCACATGGTCTTCCGTGTAGACATGGCAGCTTTCTGCCCAAGCTTTTCATGCTGGCATCACTTGAGCATGGCCGTATGATGTGCATCGTACAATGCAGGCATGCAAAACTCTAATTTTACGTACTAGGCATTATACTATACGTAAGCCCGTAAGTCGGTATACTCAGGTGTGTAAGTTAAGTTCATACCTTGCGTCCTTCCGGTCGTTGTATTAGTATGCGGACACATCAGTATACAGCATGCAGTGGATTTATGACCGGGCATACCTAGGCGATCATGCATTGGCATCAGTAACGACACAAATGCTCCGACTGTTCATCGAACAAGCTTGCCTATGTTGCAAGAGGTAAGGGACATCTGATGGAGCTTCACTGATCGATCCAATTGTACGCGACACATCGTCTGGCAGAATCCAGAGACATCATTTATTGGAATTGATAAACGGGCAGTGATTCAAAAGTTGCCATACACCGCCTTGGCCTCCACTTCAAGCGTGCCGGGGCTTCCTACACCCCATTCAGCCATTTTAGATGGGCTAATTTGCACCGTCGGAACAGAGCGAGGTTACGCCTTTGCACACACAAACTCATCAGGGCTGATCAGACTCGCGACACATCCGTATGTAAACCACATCACGCATCCGCATATGGCACCTTTCGCTTGCCGTCTTCCATGACGTATATAGCCGACTCCGGAATCTGCACAGCCACGTCAACCATTTAGTCGTATCACAGGCACAAAGAAGATCGTTTCAAGGTAACCTGCCTTTTGGTCCAAGCCAAGCCACAGGCATTGACCAAAAGGCAACGCGACTTTTACCAACGGAGACGAGTCGGGCAGCTTTAGAAACGAAGAGCATGAGTTGCGGGGCCGCTTCCTTTTGGATCAATGCTGTTCTGAATTCAAGTTCTGCGTGCAGTAATTGCAAGGAGCAACCAACGGGTCGAAGACTGGATCAAACAGGTTTCACTTTCGAAAGTAAGATCCAGATCGTCCGACTCCAGTCTCCAAGCAATGTCGGCGTAAACCTCTGTTGGACGGAGGTTCAAAGGCAGACGCAAAAGATAGAGAAACAAAGAGAGACCCTGCAGATCGGACACTGCCCGGTCATCCGAAATTCCGGAAGCTGTTACGAAACAAGGCGCGGAGTTCCCCCCGCTCCACTGGCTCGACAGCAGTGAAGCTGGGGTTGTCGTTGCACAAATATGGTGCTTTTAACTCCAAACAGACGCGCATACTGCAGGTCTGGTCAAACCTGGCCGCCTGACCCGGATCCGGATTGAGCCAGTCGCAGATTTTTTCTCGAGCCGCAGAACTTGGGCCGTTCGATGAGAGGCATGCGGGTAATCGCAGGGTCCGAATTCTGCGCATTGGGCATAGTTCTGCGTCCGGCTCAATCAGGACTCTGGCCAGGCGGCCAGGTGTCACCATATGTGTGGTAAAGGAAGATGAAATTCCAAGGGCTGACAAAGCGACCGTACCTCCTTCCATGTCTCCGTGATGAACTCGCAGATGTCGTACAAAAAGTCGCCCTGGACGTCGATCTGCTCCTTCTCCGTGGGGCCCTGTCGCCACAGCCGGAGCAGTCCATTAGTGGGAGTTTGGCGCCAATCGCCGTCCTCACAAGGCCTTTTAGAATCCAGTGGTGCAAGGTTAAGGGTCCCGAGTTGCGATTTTCGAACGGGCTGTTTAGAGAGGTTCAGAGAAATGCACGGTGCTCATGCGGTCACGTTGCGAGCAAACAAGGGAGACGGAACAAAGAAGGCTCGTTTCGAATCCGACCGCGCAAGAAGCGGTGGTTAAAGGAGCTGTCGGAACAAATGAAAGGTCCAGACTCGCTCTTTCTCAAAGCGCCAGCCACGTTGTTCAAGCGATCGTGCTCAATAAAGTAGCGAGGCAATCCAAAGAAAGTGAGCAACCAGTTCAAGGACGACGAAAACTTGGGGACCATCTTAGGGGAGGGCTCAGATGTCTGTTGCTCAAACCCGTTTTGTTCCAAGTGTTTCTACTTAATCTGCAATAGTAACAAAGTGACCGGCCTGATACTCGCTAAGAAACCGTGGATGGGACTCGCGGGGACTGGATAAAGACCACACAAGAAAAAATCAAGGGATGGCAAAAGTGTTTTTCCCGTTCATCCGCAGAACGACTCTTGATTTTATTCTCTAAGCTTTGATGACTTTGTTAATTCTTGTTGGGGATAACTTCGAGAGACTTCCGTCTCCCAACCCGTATGAGTAGCAGCAGTCCCCCTAACAAAGCTGGGGGCGGTAGACGATGGGACGGGCGCCCTTTACAGCGTAGCACGAGTGGAGAAAAGGCAAGTACGGATCGCGGAGCTGACCTTGACGACTGACGACCCGCTGGCAAACTTTTTGCCGAACTTCTTGGACGCGTCCCCTAGTTTCACGCCTGCGCAGACACAAGCTCTGCTGAGTGTGTGGAGTGGAGAGGGCATGCAGCAGTGCTCCCGTGCAAACGCGGGGTCCTGGCACTTGTCTCGATTTCATGTTGACTAAGGGCCATGTTGACTAAAGAAAGCGCCCGGGGGACGGGTAGGGTTGGTACGGGGGTTAGGGTGGATACGGGTGCGGAGCGGGTGTCATTCATCGGTTTAGGTTTTTAGTTTTGTTCGTGCCCCCGAGCACTATCCTTAGTCAACATGCGCTTAGTCAACATGAAATCGAGAAGTATTGTGTGGAGTGGGGTCGTTAGAGGGCATGCAGCAAAACTCTCGTGCAAACGAGGGTTCCTAGCCGATGCCGCTGTTGCAACAGACAATAAGTATCGGCTTCTTATGATCCTCACTGCATGAAACCTCCACCAGCCCCTTTACACTGTGGTTTCGAAACCGACAGTTACATGAATCGCGACGAAGCCTCTCAGCGGAGGATACGCTGGTTGCTGGCATCCCGCAGTCACTCGTTTATAGTGAAGCAAGAAAGGATGCCTTTCTTATACACAAATGGAGAGAAAGTAGCTTGTTAGCAGAGGCAGGGAAAGCAACGGATCCTGGATTGCAGCCTGATTGCGACCCATTTCTGTTCGGAGCCGGATCTTTTGAAGAGTTGGAGGACGCTGCAGCCCAGACGCGAGGAACGACACTGTCGTCTCTTGCACACTTCGCGTAGGGGTATGGAAACCTAGGAAGCCCGCTCACCGAACAACTCCATGCCCTTTACTGTCGTGATCGCCTTCCGCTTATTTCGAGTCGCCTTCTCCACAAGGATCTCCTGCTTCTCCTGCAAGCGAGCAAGGCGAACAGGTCAACTTTCAAAACAGTCTCATATCAAGGATGCAAAACGCAGTCTTCAGCTTCAGGGTATCCAGTAGACTTTCTTAGGCTCCCCTTGGAAATGTCCCTCAAAGATCAGGACAGTCAACCCGAGAAGAAACAAACGTCAAGAGCCCACTTCACGTGATGGGATCTGACATTACGGCACAGGTCACACGTGACAGTTTGAGAGTGTCAACCAAACGGGACCCATTATAGTCTGCAAATATAAATGGATCACGCATCCCTCTAGCTTTTGATTCTAGCCTTGTACGCTTTCGCGTCGGCCAAGCGTTTAGGTTCTTCTCTGCGGATACCCTGTAGATGAGGAGGCTACAGGACCATCTGGGTCACAAAGTACAGAGCTCGTGCGCTTTCTAGCTGTCGGAACCAATCCTGCGTTTCTTTGAAGCAATGATGCAAGAACGGGAACTCGAGACAGTTTTGGTTCTCAAGATATCGTATGCAAGTTAAGAAGCCCCTCATACGGACCTCGACTCTTGCGACGAACAGACAAAAGCGATGGTGTCGAGTTAGAGCACGTGCCACCCCAATCGGCTACCTACTTTTCTCTTGACCTTGCCACCCGGTAGTTTCTTTACGATCTCGTCCTCTGGCTTGCTCGTGCTAGCCTCCCCGTCAGCACCATCTTCCCCGCCGAGCCGCAGATCCCCCAGCTTTGCCTCGGCTTCATCGGCCGCTGTCGAAGAAGGATCATGGCCGTCAGATTTTCAGGTGACTTTGGCAGAATTTGCTGTTCTTTAAGAAAAGGACTTTTGAATCAACGAATCGGTACAAGGAACCTCCGTTGTATGTGGCTCTGCCAGGTGCCACCGGAATGGATCACACACTCCACAATGGGCTTGGCTTCATTAACCGCTGCATGGAAACGGCAATGCTGTTCTGGAAGTGCAACTTCTGCATCAGAGATCTTTGTAAGTGCTGAGCTATGCTCTGAAGCTTGAGGCAACAGGATCGAAAACCCCGACAATTCAAGAAGGCCCTTGCAATAGTCGGACTCAAGGATGAACCCTGTCAAAGAAACTCTCAAGAGGTACACTCTGAAAAGACTCAGGTCGAACTATTCGGCCCCGACCTGGCTTTGACATGGACTATGTATTCCATTGCAGCTGCTGTCGCTCATGCTTTCAATTGGAGTTGGTGGAGATGATCGCCTTTGAGAAGGATGTTACCAACATGCTGTCCCAAAGATACGACAGAAGCACAGGCTATTCTCGCTGAGTCAAGGAACAGTGCGGCAAGCGGCTGGGGCCCGTACCTTTCTTCGTCAGTTCGGGGTACGCCCCCGGGGCGTTCTTTATGAGCCAGGGCTTGCACTTCTCAAAGTCTGGCCCAAACTCGCAGAACTCTGGAGGCAAGCCACACACTGCACAGGACAGGAAGCCCACTCTTTCAGGTTCAAAGAACGCAATCGCTGCCAGACAGTTGAAGTTGTCTTCCCTGGGCTTTTGAGAGAAAAGATCTGGTGGACTCTTGGCTCAGGTCTTCCTCTGTGAGTAAGCATAACAGTGGCATGAGCGAGTGCCTGCTACCCAACAGGGGGCTCCAGCATGGGAAACACAGTACGATGGACTTGTCTAATTATTGCATAGGTAACATCTGAACGGGCAGGTTATTCAAGGACGTCGGCACTCAGAAGTTGTAGTACTTTACACCACTGATGCTGCGGCTGATGCTATCATCTGGTCACACTCTCTCATGCAACTGTTGTAACAACCATCAAGTGTTTTAGACTCGATTGCCTGACACGTGTACCCTCTGCATGTTGTCGGCCATCGCTGCTTCAAAGGAGATTTTCACAATAGTAAAGAACCTGAGTTTTGTCAAGGTTAAAAACTACTGAACAGAGAAAAAATCCGAACATCTAATTGCGAGAAGCTTTTCTTTTCAAAAGCCCAGGCAACTGGCCCCATTGTTTTTTAAATTTAACCCATTGCCGCCAACTCCAATGTGCCTTCCATCACAAGCGGAACCGACAGCAAAGTCCCCGGGGATACCAACATAAATACCAATCAGAGACAGAGTAACTCCCAAGCGTCGTCTGAACCTGGAGGCTCCGAAAGCAGTTGACAACTTCCTTCTCACCGCCACAATACAGCACCGTCTGCGGTTGCAATTTGTCATGCGCCATGTTGCTGCCTTCTTCCGTTCTCCTGCACAAGCTGGCTCGAAGATGGTGTTCTCCCTGTGTCGATATCAGGTGCACTCCGGCGGCAAAAGCGCCCCTTCAATGATCAATCCTCTTGAGCTCGCTGCCAGTGCTGTGCTCAGCATTCAGAACCTCGTGTGGGAGAGATTACGAAAGGTGCAGGTTGGTGCAGGGGAATTAGTCTCGAGGACTTTTTCGGGATTTAGTCGACGGCCTATGCATGTATATGAAAGACCCTTATACCTATATGATAGGTCAAACATTAGCTGTAGCCTGTAATACACTTCGGCCGATCGACCATTGCACTGTTTCCTGAATGCTCGTGGAGTACTTAAAATATTGAGCTCAGAACACCGATATTAAATGAACAAATATACAAAGATGCCCTCTGGATTTCTGCTGCCTCAGGCTCCTGCAGGAGGTTCCTCAAGAGAGATGCATGAGAGAACGACCTGGCTAAAAATTGAGTTAAAGCCACGACGCTCAAATGCGCTTTTTGAGTCTTTTGGTGTCTTCTTGGACCAAGCTCTATGAAGGGAAGAGTGGTTTTTTTGCCAATGATTATCACTTCCATGCAAGCATGCAAGCTTGAGTGCACTGCAGGGCGACACGCCTTATTGTGAACCTGAGGATAGAGCATTAAGCTCTTCCGACTAGCGGAAGCTGAACGGACGGCGAGACATAAGCTGGGCAAGAGAATGCTCATCGCTCATCATCTGCTCAAATATACTGATTTGTATTCACAATAATGAACTTTGGCGCCCCCATAAACACTCAACTTCAATTCTCAACACACAGTGAATCAAGTAAATGAGAAGCACCGCAAAAGTGTAGCTAACAAAGATTTAGCAAGCACCGCAGAAGTGTAGCTAAGAAATATCTAGCAGCTCTCTGAAAGAATGCGCTCTCGCCTTGGCTGCTAAGTGTCGAAACTGCCTGCTGAGTCTTTGTGTCGGTACGGTGGTGGCAACAAGCCGTAGATCCTTTTTCCTGTACCACCAAGTAAAAGTCATTGTCTCTACAATGAAGATCATTCACCGGGACAAAGATTTGCGTGATGGGGTCGGCGGTTCCATCAAGGTAGGCAGTCTGTGGTCTATCTTGTGCATGAGCAATCTATCTTTCTGAAGGGGGGGGCTTTCCGAGTCAAGTTCTACTGGCGAAATGCTGCTCAATGGACAGCGAGCATTTTGGAGGCCAAGAGTTTCTGAATGTCACAGCGATTCTGAGGATAACTTTTCTTGGATTTCAAAACTTTAGAAGAGTCTGGAGGGAATGCCATAATATGGCTATGTGGCCACCCATCGTCTTCAGACTGCATGATCTGGAGTGAGATCAATCACTTTAGGCAGATCAACGTTTTCCTTTTCTCAAGTCTGTACCTCTTCAATGCTTGCTGTCCTCCCTTTCACCTTCTACCTCTCAATAAGCGAATCAAATGTGCACTCCTTGTCGGAAGGCTCTCCATTGAACATAAGTAAGAGGAAAAGTGTCCACCTTTGAGCAAGGAACCTCTTGTGGGGGCTGAAATGACCGTCAAGAGCCAAGCTTGCAGATTCTCAAAATCGTTATGGTAAGTACCTCTCCCTCAAATCTGTCTCCTTCCCGTTGGTAAGGTTGTCCAATCGTTCAAGTCCTTCTGTGGAAACACTCAGCCATCACTCGTCTATTTGTTTCCTGTCTCTCAAAAGCTCCCTGTGAGTATTTCTAACTTCTTTATCGCAACACTCCTCCCTCACCCCTGATTGTCATACTTGCACATAATCACTTGGTTGATAGCCTAACTTTCAATCAACCCCGCCATTGAATTTTCCATTTGGATGTATCTTATGCAGATGGTTCCAGAAGAGGCGGAAGACCTGTGGCATGCATACAACCTCATTCTGGTGGGAGATCAAGTTACCGCCACCACAGTCAGGTAAGCAGACAACTTTAGTTCAGAGACGAATTGAGAAACGCTTCTTAGCTGCTGAAGAGACCAGCAGTGTGCGTAACAGTAGATGCTTGCCTCACGAGCTGGTTGCTTGACACTCCCACCAAAGGCCAGGCAATGATTTGATGTCCAGAGTCTCTGATTTGACAGTGGCTGCTGACTGACAAGGAGGATTGTGAACCACATCTCTTACAATTTTTTCTTCTGTCAAGGCCTGGTCGCATCAAGAAGTTAAGATGGAAAGTAATGTTTGCGGCAACTAGCTTCAGAAGAAATCAAACGTCTATATAGGACCAAACGTGGAAAAAGGTTCGCCGCTCAAGGTTGAGGCACACCTCAGAAGAAAGCCTCAAATCTGAAGCGTTATCCAAATACTTGGACGATTGAGGATCCTCGTTCTTCCTTGGTCTCATGTCTGGTTTTGATCGCCAAACCGCCCAGCGTCTTCGACTCTCTCTCGACAGGAAAGTACAAAAGGAAAGCGCCTCTGGTTCGAGTGACTCAGAGCGCGTTCGGATGAAATTGTGCATACAGGTCGAGGTGGGTTTGCGGAAGCCTGCCTCTCTTGAAGTAACCTTATGTCAGATTCTAGATTCAAGCGAGTCCATGTTATGAACGTCACATTGCTGTTCAGAGGTTTTAAAGGCTTGGGGCTGGTCTTTAGTAAGGAAGTGACTTTGTATCGGGGCTGTTCATGCGCGTTTCGATCGGGGCCTCTGCCAATTGGAGCAACGAACCTGCTATCTCCATTGCTTTCCCGTACGTAGAACCCGATTGAAGCGGGCTCGCATCTTGTCAATCGTGCAAGCTGTTGCCCATAATATTCTAATTGATATACGATTTTTTGCTCTCTTTTCCTTTGTACGGCTCTCTTCTATTCCTATATCTTGGCTTATGCTAAAAGCAAGGCCGGTTTGAGGCCCCCTCAACTTTGCCAGCCGCAATGAAAACGCCGATCTGGAGCGGTTTCTTGAGCAGAAAATCGGTGGTTCTCTATGTTTCCCGTCGGAGACGAGAAAGTGCTTTACTTCTCGCAGGCCGTCGACTTCGACGCGACTGCCTCCGTGTTACGGCTGCGAGGGAAGAATACCACCGAGACTGAGTATGTCAAAGTGAGCCCTCATAACCTGCAACAGCAATGAACAAAGCCCGGGTGGACGCAACCCTCTGCAGATTGCTTAGTACGAGGTCGTGGCTTCGATCGCTTTTGTTGACGATATCTCTCAGAAGGGATCGAGAAGTGCGGGATTCGTGCTTTTCCTGCTGCTAACTTTTAGCCCTTGATTGTGCGTCGAATCGATCTTAGAAGAAAGTTTTCTAAGTTGAATAGTGTGGTTGGAATAAAGTATGCCTTCTAGAGAACACAAGTCTCAGCCCGGAATGTTGAAAGGTTTCCGCTTGTCGCCCTCTGGGTCCCCTCTATGCTTGTTCCGTCCATTTGATATCGAGCGAGTGCGATTCTAAGGCCGTAAAAGAAAGGCCGTGCACGAGCTCCGTGTTGTTGGCAGATTTTCCAGAGACGTTGCCCTTGCGACTCCTCCCTTCCTTAGAGACCAATCAACACGCTAAAGAAACTCGTAATTTTAATCAATGCAACAACGTGCTACCGTTGCTGTGTCCCCTCTCATATTGGAAGACAAGGTACCTGTCACATCAAAAGTCACAGGAAGTCTGTGAACAGCACAGGAGGCGCTTGTCGGCCTCTTTGTGTGCTGACGTAGCAATCGACGAACTCATTCAACTGCTGACGTCTGCAGCTAGGGGCGTACCACACGTTAGAGCTAGACCTTCAGCGCGCGTTTACAATAACAAAGGTGAGCCTACGGCTCCCAGCTCTCGATGCGCGCCTCTTTTATTGAACTAGGATCTCGGGTGACAGAAGGATGATGACTCAATTTTAGGCAAACTCTTCTTTGAAGTATCACCGCCGCTGTAGGCTTACCATCGTTTAACGGTCAGGTCAAAAGCGATTTTTGGCAACAGCAAAGTCTTGCACGACATACCGCTTTGAAGCTGATACTGCAACAGTTGGAATCGCGTTTGTGGCCTAACGCTAGGCGTCGGGGTTCCGGCGGCCGTCGCTTGCTGGTCACGACGACATCCGGAGCCCGGCAATCACGTTTCTGGTCGGGGATCCGACAAGGCACCGTATAATCCCAGAAGGACTTGCACGTCTCACTCCCCCTTCTGATGGCTTGCTTAACGCTCAATTGTGCAGGAGTCGTGGGACTCCTTAGCTCTCGACAGGGTTAAGCAGGCCTCGGGTTAGTCCACTTACCCTCTTTGCATCGTATGAGTTGCTCTGATCGTTGGCTGCCCCATCAACCTCAACTTTTTGCCGCTTCCCGCTTCTCCGTATCCCTGCTCTCCTGTTGGCGCAGTTTTTTGACGTTGCTTGTGTCGCAGCTTTGACAACCTGAGCTTACTTGTATTGATGATTCCTTTCCTATATTGCTGAACATCACAACGTCGACAAAGGCTCTCAGAGAAGCTTTCTGACGTCTTCGGTCTCTCTGCTCGCGCAGATCCCACAGCAAACGCCGACCTAGTTGTTATCATGATGCAAGAGGGGCTCGCGCACATTTGCTCAATAGGGGGGAGGTAAGCCGCTGACCCGCCGCCCAGAACGTAACCTGGCCCCGTAAGCTGCCCCTTACGAGCGCCATAATCTCCCTCAACGTGATGAACCTGCCTCTTAATCTGTCGCGACTCTCTTGTGGCAACGGGCGGCCGGTGACAACGTGCTTCGACGTGATACACGAAGTGTTCTTCAGCCAAACCTACTGAGTTCCTACTTCTATGGTTCAAGGTGACGAGAAATTCGAGGTTACGAAGCAACGACGGCTTTTGTGATCTATGAAGGTGATACTCTTTCTTCGAAAACGTACAAAGCGGTTGGAAGCGAGCCCTCTCTCCACCACATCACGATACGACTTAAGAGACACTGAAAGGTTTGCCGTTTACTCCTTTCTATGACCACGATACGAAATGGGGACTCATGATATCAGGCTCTTTGGTCCTCGATTTCCGGTTAGCGTCAGAGCCGTCCACTCGAAGATCTCCAAAGCGGCAACGTTTCTAAGCATGGTTTTACCCATGCTTTTTTAGATTTTTTTTGATGCGGTGCCAATTGACACCAACTCTCGCTTCTCTACCAGCGTCACGGCCGTACGCGCAAAGATCGAGACGTCCATACCACGGAAACGAGGGCCCGCGATTGCCGGCTATGACAAGGCAATCAACCGCTTCTTCGAAAATGTGCTACAGGTGACGTCAGCTTGCCCCTTCTGGAATTCTGTCCGTGCTGGTTGGCGAGTTGAAGCCGAAACATTTAGTCACAGTCCAAGGTGTTTCCACAGTCATTCAGATTTACTGTGTCCAATACCTAGACTGCAGGTTGTTCCCCGGACTGCCGCTCTGAGATCGGCTCCTTGTAATAAGGGGCTTTAAAACCTGGCTGATCGACATTCCGTAGACGGATCTTTCCTTGGAACTTCCTGCTCCTTGCATGTTCTTTTCTCAAAAAGGATGCTCGTTCGAGTCCGAACAGAATTGTGTGAACGTGTGAAATTCAAACACGTTCTGAAATTGACGTTGCCTCACCGAACGGATTTGGAACGCGTTCCAATCCAAAAGGACGTGCATTCGTTCACTTGTTCTCCCCCTGAAGATTCTTCTTGCATCATCGTTCCGGGTACTCACCTCTGCCCTTTCATCGCAAGCAGTGATGTCGGTTGTCATGTTTGCGGTCGCAGACCTTCAGCATCGGATCAGTCCGGCACCCCTGTGTCAAAAGTATGTTGCATGTGTTTTCTCTGAGACGTTCCCGTCGTTGTTTCCACAGGCCGTGATTCGGCATGTTGACTTTGCCGTCGTGCGGTGTCTCATCATAGCAAGCCCAGGCTTCACGAAAGACCAGTTTCTGGAGTACATGAATCTTGAAGCGGTCCGGAAAGACATTCGGCCCATCATAGAAAACAAGCAGCGGATCATTCTCGCGCATTCCTCCTCCGGCTACAAGTGAGCCACTTTTGTCCCTCTCTTTCCAAGAAGGCTCCAGTTGTCATACATATTGGATGTTACTTGCGATACAAAAAATAACCAGAAAGCGTGTGACCAATCTTTTGGGTCTCCATAGTTTTCCAAGGTCTGGACGTCAGCTTACATATTCAGATTGGTGGTTCGATGGAGGTAGAAGAAGTTCTGCAATTCGTTCCGGACTGATGCTTCACTCCTTCCGGCTTTTCGAGTATCCGTTTCCTTTTCAAGCTTGCTCGTTACCCTGCGTGCGGTTAACAACGAGGTGTAACAGCACTAACGTGATTGATGACATCTGTTGATGCAATAGAACCTCCAAAATGTCATTTCTATGAGGTACCGTGAGAAAGTATTCTGAACGCATCAAAGATTCTAAAGTTGAGTAAAGGTGGTAAGTTTTTCCTTCGTCGTACTTTCGTACACTTGTCCGAGAAAGGCGAAACGATCTCAGTTTCGCGATTCAGGCACCTGTTCCGTCACCGTGCACCGTGCTGCATTGTTGCTACAAATTCTTTTCACCCTCACCTCGTCCTCACTAGAAAAAACAATTTGGGCTCATTATGCGAATTTGATTAGTCTTTTCCACCTCCATCTCGTCCTCACAAAACAAACGGTTTGGTGCTCACCATGTGAGGCAAGCTTCATCCACTTCAAAAATTCGTTCTTTTCTCCTCAACTCAACAAACCCGCTTTACAACCCGACTTCAATACTCATCAGTTCGTCCCACGTAATGGCGACCAACTTCGCGGGGCTCAAGCAGTGACTGTCGCCCTTGTCTGGCAGGCACTCTCTGAAAGAGGTCCTGACGAACCCCGCCGTGGTCACCCAAATGAAGGACACTAAATCCTACAAGGAGGTCCGAGCTCTCGAGGACTTTTTTGCCATGCTTTCAAGTGTGAGTGGGCGCGCTTCTGCTTCCCTTCTCCTAGCTTGAACCTTTCTCTCCTCCGCGGACTTGTGTCGTGTTTTGGAAAAAGCTGCGCTCCTGTCCCTGCCCCGTCTCCCCTGATCTTTCAGTTTCCACAATCAATGATTTGTCTTTTCAAAAGTGACCGTCGGTTTCCGAGGGAAAGCTTCTGTCGGTGTTGTGCATCTTTCTTTTTCCCAGGGAAAAAAGGGGATTTCCAATTCACTGACAGAGGATCTGAAGTATTGAAATCCTACGGGTTTCAAAAGTGACGGCCGACGCTGGCTAGTAGGACACGGGTAAACGCCTGAGAACTGTTTAGCATTCCCGTAATCAACGGCTCTGAGCCGTCGCCTTTGCAGGACCCTGCGCGCGCATTTTACGGGCCACGCCACGTGGAGGCCGCCCATGAGCGGCTAGCAATTCAAACACTGCTACTAACGGACGAGCTCTTTAGGTGAGGCACCCGTTTTCCCTTCCATCTGGGCCTCACCCTTTGGGGTTTGATGCGAAAGAGTTCGTACGAAGCATGGGTGATTTGTCATACTATCGTAATTCTCTTACTCCGACTCCTCTCTTCCCCCTTTTTATCATATATCATCCATTCTCCGCTCCGCTCTTGGTCGTTCTCAGATCCGCGGACGCCAAATCGTGCTGTTGCTTCATAGTCCTTCTGTCTCCATTGTTATGCACTTTCACTTCAGTTTGTCTTCTCGCCTCTCTGCCTTGTTTTAACCATCTTATCCTCAGCTCCGCCTCGCTCTTTGGTTTCTCAGAAATGCGGACGTCCAGCAACGACGGCGGTACGTCGAGCTCGTTGACAGCGTCAAGGACAGCGGGGGGGACGTGCACATTTTCTCGTCAATGCACGTGTCAGGCGAACGTGAGCGCCACGTGTCTCTTTCTTTCCTATCTTATATCCTAAGGCAACGCGTCAATATCTTGCTCAGCAACTTCAAATGGCGTCGTCTAGCACTTAACGGAGGTTCGCTGTCCGCTGTATGCAAGGATGATTACTGCCAGCTTTCGGGTCCTGAAGTATTGTTTTTTCGTATTCTCTCCTTCCTTACTCGTAAACTGTCATGCCTCCTCTGACCACGTTCGTGGGTACTTGAAAGCCAATAAACGTCTCTTTTGTTCGTGACAACAAGGGACTCAAATCCGGATGTTGGTACTTAATACGGAAAGTGGACTCGATGTAACAGCCTGCTTCGTAGCAAGAATGTTTTGCAGCTGAACGCTGGAAGACGCTTGGAAAGAAATCAATCTTCGTGCAGTCTGACCATCAGTGTCGATTGTGATTGCATGCTGATGTGCTGTGCTTGTGTGACTGCAGAACTCACGCAAATGACCGGGATAGCGGCAATCTTGCGGTTTCCCTTGCCAGACCTCGAGGACATGGAGCTATAACGCTTGCTGTTGCAGTCCTTATTGCAATAAGACCATTCAAACCCGCTGTCAAATCTTCGAAACCGTCGATGATCGAGCCAAAGCTCTTGGGAGCCTGTCCTTGAAACAGGATCGGTCGACTTCACAAGCGGCATCCATTTACTCGTTGCAATTGCACGGTTGTGTAACATTGACCTCTTTATTACCGGCTTTGCCGCAAAGAGGAGATTGCAGGCCATGTTAAAACATGATCATTGAAGCCTAGGGCCACGTACGAGCTGATCTGGTGGAAGGGTGATGGTCTTGCGTTCATGTAAGCATGTGCGGGGACAGAGCTTTGTGGAGCTTTCAACCTTGCACACTGTTGTAAGCTGGCACAGCCTCGTACAGTGTGCTGGAATTAGTGACATTGTGGTAGTCCTACTCGAACACATCATGCATTCGGCCGGAGTCTCTTAAAGGCCAAATGCATGCACCCTGTGCTCAATGATAGCGATTGAGGATCGCGATTGCTAGGGAATTATGTGGAATGATTTGCATGAGGATAAGACCGCGGCGCGGTTTGGGTACCATCCGGCCGGCCTGCACACGTCCCGGCAAACAATGAGCTATTGTTTGTATATAGACCCTTTAGCTACCTATATGTCATGTTCAAGGTACGTATAGCGAGGCAGCGCTGGCATGTACTTGTAGCCGCGCGGCACGCGGGGCGGCCCATGGGATCAGCGTGCACAGGCTCAGTGTGCGCGGCCGCGTGATGCCGGAGGGATCCCTCTTGATGGCCCAAACGAGCGACCGCAATGTGGTTTAACATCCACGTGGTCACACTCTCACGGTCAGGATCTGCGCACTGATCCAAATTGCGAAGACGAGGGGCCTAGCCAGACCTAGCCTGGAGGAGAGAGTAGAGAAGAGCCCTGGGCCTGGGTTTCCTCCAGCTCCACAACAGATGCCACAAACGTCATTCACTTCAAAACTATAACATCTGTTGAGTCGTTCGACTACACCACTTGGGCCGCTCGCTGCTGCATATTCAGCCAATTTGGTAGTGAAGCCTGCAGTGGGAAGCGCTGTGACTTGGATGCTTGTCTATTTATTATAGCTATTCCATCAAGTGCGAAGATTTCTGGAAGGGCTCCACAACTTACAGCTGCACCTACTGTGCGATTGCATCTGTGAAACCGTGCGGCACCTTCGCTGTCGTTGTCTTTCTTAAAAGTCTGGTTGTCTTTGAAGCGTCACCAAGTGAGCCATATGTTGAAAGACGCTGTTGGTCCGCTCTATAAGCAACAGCTCTGTTCACCTTTTCTCAGCTGTAGAGGACTGCCAGCTCACTGAGGTTGCTGTGGCTTCAACCGGCTGACGCCAAGTGTCCCCTCCTGGTTGGTAATTTTTCATTCGCCAGAGCGTTGAAAATGCAGGAAGCGCAGCACGTTTTTGTGCCCCGGGAGACATTGCCAGACAGTCTGAGCTCACTCTCCACAAGCTCGGAGAAGGCGTCACTGCTCGGCGCTCGCCTCTACGTTCACACGGTAAGTGTGCTGGCATTGAATTACGTGTTTGAGCATCAGTAAAGGGCGGGGGTTTTGAAAGTTTGCCCCCCGGTTGACCCTGGCGATGGACAGTCCAAGGTCTTCAAATGTTAGGGGAATGCAGTGGAGATTTGTTCTGACTCAGAGGGCCTTGCTGTTAGCTGAAGTAAGCATTGTACCCTCCTGGAGACTTGAGTTGCTTCACCGACTTTCATTGCTAAAAGTCTTGCGTTGGCGGGTATTGGGTGTGTGCTTTGCATAACGCTTTAGTAAAGCTGAGGACAGACACATGCCGAGCCTCAAGTGCTCCCAAAGAAGCTCACCACAATGGGCAAATAGGAAGGCATTGCCCGTTAGGGCTGACTGACTCGTGTCCGCCAGTAGGCTTTTAAGCATTTTTGACACTCCATCTACTAAAAGGCTCTAAGCTGCCAAAGAGATGTCCAGGAGATTGCCCGACAAACGCCAACGAAACAGCCCCTAACCACAAAGTCTTGAACTTTCCAGGCACTTCCAGACTGCAGAGTTCCATGTGCAGGAGAATGGGGTGCAATGCCCGGCTGTAAAGCTGGGGGAGAGAGGCTACCACGTACAGGGTCATCTCGTGTCCGCAGGGGCAGACGTCGGTAAACTCCTAGAAAAGGCCGACGCGCTTGAAAACTTCCCAGCCCGCTCCGAGAAGGATGTTGTCAAGGTGAGAGCTGCGCCAGAACTGCACTTTCTGACTGATCTGCTTTTCTTATCTCTGATGCTTTCTTTTAGAAACGAACAGGAACAAATGCCCTCAATCAGCTCAAGTAGCTTGATTCGTTTACTTATAAAACCTCCCTACACCGTATGGATTTTGGAATGGGCGGAAGTTGAGATCCTGGGTAAGTGCAAAAATATTGCATCTCCAAGTACCGCAGCAACTTCGTTGCACTTTCCCAATGGTCCAATCGAGCTGGGGGGCGCATGAATTGCTTGTCATAGTTTCAAAGACCATGAACAGAGAGGTGTCAGTCTTTTCAATTGAACATGTGGAAGTGCAACCATTTAGATGGTTCTCTAACCATTTGTGCCCCTGCACAGGTTGTCACAGAGAGTGGAAAGAGAGTGAACGCATACGTCTACCATATGGACGAGGTTGATAAGCAGCAAGTAGTACCTGAGAACGTCTGGAAAGCTTCTTAGATTGTTTGGAAACTTGAGAAAAGTGAAGTGTGTACATGTCGAGTCAGAAACAGGAGTCTCTGTTTCAAAAGGTGTTGAAGAAGCTATATGCTTGAGTGGCCCTTTTCTACCATAAAAGCAGAATACCATCTAGATTGTTTGTTCTGCGGACTTGAATGCAGTGCTCAAGTCTGTTAAAAGATTCTGGCCAAGCACTGGAACATCTCCGCTCTTCTTGTGACTATCCTTGAGATCGTTCCGGTCGTCTTTGATATCAAAAGACCCTTTTTGACTGCGTCTTACGAGCATCAATATATCCCGCTGTAATCAACCATGCTTCCGTGAATTTCTGTTGCCTGACATGCATGTTGCAGCTTAAACGTGGTCAGCCTTTTGGAAAGGTGGCGCAGCGCAGCCTGACAATAGCAGTGGAGTGTTGAGTGTACCGTCCTGAGCGTTGCAAAGGTAGTGCACGACTATGAATTCAGTGCATTTAATAGATCAACGAATCTGAAATTACCAGGACGGTAGCTTTACAAACCCAACTTGTTAGCTCTACAGGCTGATGATTTCAAGCTTCATGTCACGCGTACTTGCTTTGTACTGCATGCAAGCTGAATATCTGGAGGCCGGAGTAGCTACTGACATACTAACACGACATGTGCCTGATCACAATAGGGAGCTATCTAGGCGTTTGCAGAACTGGTCATGTTCGGTAATTGGTCCGGCATGATTGGTGTAGTATATTTGAACCTGGCCGGCAGGTCGGATGTATGTCATGCAAATAATGCAGATGAAGACTCACATGACCTTAGGCGAGGTGCCCTCATAGTACGCATGGGTCAATTACACCGACGCCCTTGAAGAACGTAACGTAACTTAAATAAAATACCTTCGAAGATGATCAGTGCACAAGAAAACGCCCGCCTTGTGATCACAGAAGCCGCCGAGCCACTTGGATGTTGCGAAACAACAGACTTTCAGGACAACTTCGATACTCAAAGCATCAAAACCCTCCGTGTGCTGGTGTACAGACTTTTCGATTGTCCAGTCTTGTGTGTTTCCGGTTAATGGCGAGAAACTTCATATGAAAACATGTCCAAGTGCAATATCAGTGCCGCTTCACCTCCTGGACATGCTTCTCCCTTCCGGATCAGTTGCAATCACCAACCAACTTGATGCTTACAGAATCATATACAAGCTTGTGATGGATAGACTTTTACTCGGAGTCGTCCTTCTTCGGTGGTGAAGGAGGAAGAGGAGTAAAGCTGATGCCACCCCTCTTCTTCCCGTTCTTTGGTCGGGACTGCAAAGAAGATATGCAACTTCAGACGACCAGACAAGGCAACCGATTCGTCGCTGTTCGCATCCGATTAGACTGAGCCAAGAAACGGTAGCTGTATAATCTGATATGCGACCCCATGATCCTTGAGCGGGATACAGACAGTGCAACGTTTCAAAGAAATTACAGTCTAATTCTGTGTGCCCTGGCTTCGAAAAGCAGCCCCCCAAAGCAAGGAGTGTGATGCCTTCTACGAACTGCGAGTGTAAGCAATGAGCTACGGAGGGCGAGAGCTTTGTGGGCATACGGAGGGCGAGAGCATGTGAGCATCACTAGACCAACTGTTCACAGTCAAATTCCTTCTCAAGATTTGCTAAGCAGTAGTATGTCCATAAAAGATTGAGGAGCACGTGGTGCTGATATGTGAGAAGAAAAACTCACGTTTCCGAACGACCCAGCGAAGATTTTCCCCTTCCGTGTCCGCTTATCGCCCCGTCCCATCAACTCTGCATCATTTGGAAGAGAAATCCTCTAAGGGCGCCATAACTTCTCGGCGATCAGATTCGAGCATCCCAATCATAGCGGCGCAGCGGAGCGCACTTGGGAAACCTCTACAAAAGATTGCTCGATTGCCTTCAAACGTAGCCTCTGCCTTGCCACTGTGTCAGCAACAAGTCGCAGCTGTTACAGAGTCTATCTAGTGCAGATGCAATGTGATGCTTAGTCCGACTTTGACCGCAAATCCTCAGAAGTGAAAGCTCCTCAGAAGGCGGCTGCCACTTACTGCCACTTTTTCATAACCCTAATGTACACCTTGAGCTTTTACGTCAACTCCTTCGCATCGTGCCCACGTTTTTGGCTAATGCCCTATTGAATGCACACCTACGGCCACCAGGCTTGGCAATGGTACAGAATAGACAAGCTGCCAGAAAGAAACTCAACCCAGGCGCAGCAAAGCCTCTCCATCAGATGGTAATGATCCTGAACCACATTACAGCTCCATAACTCGTGCTTACCTGTTTCGTTCTCCTGATGCCTTTTCGCTTCTTCCATCACAGAGTAACCGGCGGGATTTCTAGGCAATGCGGAGCAGGTGACGGTTCTGCAATGAGCCGCCTCGGTGGCGGCAGTCATGCCCGGCATTGCCATCGGCCGCAGGACCAAGGCAGCTGCGTGGCGCTGCAGAGCGAGTGCCGCGGCCGCCATGGTGGATAGCAGGGAAGACTGAAAGGCCAGGCCTCTAAGTAGAAGGATGACACTTCCTGTACCTACTTTCAGATTGCTTCAATGGTGGAGTCCTCTCTCCCAACGAAGTACCGCAGAAATGCTTGATCAGAAATGCCCAGACTCTAAAATTCTGGCTCCTAGCGAAGAAACTAGGTAAGGCTTGTTTTGCAGGCAGCACTGACTTCCGAGGCCGGCTGAGGCGATCGGACGGTCTTCAACCAGCTTCGATCCGCATGAGGTTGGTTTCGTCGATTTATAGAGTCTATCATCTGACCGCCCCGATGTCTCCACGCTTCCGGTCGCCAGGGAGCGTTTGTCCACTTGTCAACGTATACCTACCTATGCTGCACCTCAGCTAGGCCTTGGTAGCTGTAGCCTTCGGTCTTCGGCTTCGGCTGCTTCGTTCACGCACCTCTCTTCCCTCCCTCTTCCAACTCGCGCTCTACAGCAGCCGATTGGCCGATTGTCGCAGCTTCTGTAGAAAGGTTGCTTTGCGTTCACAACTTTTAAAGTACAATTGTAGTACGTCGTTTACACAGGGGTATACACAAGTTCAGCAAACGACGGTGGTCTTTGAGGAAGGAAAAGCAAGCACAGCATGCAGTGTGCGTTAGCGCAAGCTTCTGGAGCAACGAGGATGGCCGCAGCGAGGTCTGTCGTCAACAGGCCCGCACCTTACTCAGCGGGCATTACGCAGTCCAGTTTCTGCCCTGGAGTTTCAATGCTGAATGCAGCCGCAATTGCTAAACCAATTATGGCTGCCCGGCCAAAGTTCACAAGAGCACAGGCAAGTGTTCTTTAATGCAATTGACAATCTTTCTGTCCTTTTATATGCACATACAGTGTATTTTAGAAAGACATGTTGCAGCATAGATCTATGCAGGCGCGGAGTCCCCATGGAGGATGCTTTCTTTTCAGTCACGGCGACACCCCAGCAATCGATGGTGGTAAATGATTTCCGCAGATTTACCAACTCAACCACTGTAGACAATTGCTTGAGTGTATGCATCTTTTTGAGAGCTTGGTGCCCATGACGATCCTTCTTCTTATTCTTGATCCGGGGCTGGCAGCTTCTACAGCTTGCATTCTTACGCCTTTTGACCTGGTAAGGGGCTGAGTATTCTGCACGCCATTCCCTTCGAGATCTTATCTTACACTGTGAATGTGATCCCCTAGAAGTTGTGTACCGATAGAATAAGGAGAAGAGGGTTTGTCAGACTTCCAAATGTTGTAGTGTGTTTTGGCCCTTGCATGCAATTGGGCAGAATTTCATTGTTGAGAAGTTTGCAAATGAAGACAAAGTCTCTTTTTCCTTTTCAGGCTGCTGGTCCGGAGTTGGCCACCGTGTCGTCTGCGGAGGAGACGCGGGACAAGTACACTCTGATCAAAAGGCCTGGAAAGTCAAGATATGAGGTTGCCCCTGGAATGCAGTGGGAGGTGAGGACCCTGGAACCAGTCACAACAAGTTTGTTTGTATCTGTTTACCCCATCACTTTTTCTTTCAATCAAACAGAGACATGTCTTTTCAATCAAACAGAGCCACTGATCTGTTCGATTGAGGCGAAAGTTTGAAATTGCGATAGAAGGCATAGCCACTATCAAGCTGGCTCTATAGCTCTCCGAAAAGTCAGAGCCCGAAGATCTCATCAAGAATTGAATCTGTCTGGCTGGTTGATCAATGTCTTGAGGTCTAGACGGTATCATTACTTAATCATCCAATGCATCCTGTTTCAGAACTCTTACTGACAACATATGTCCTCTGAAAGGCGCGGTATGCGGGAGGGAGGGATCTGAAGATGCACTTTGAAGTTAAGGAAAGAGGGTTTTGAATGGATTTTCAGGAGCACACTCGAAAGCATATGTTGTGTTTACCTGCTGGTGGTCAAATGGAAGACAGGGGCCAGATGTTTGGCAGCAGCGCTTGAATCAGGACGACAAGGAGTGGTGAAATTCAATTAGGCGAAAGAATGGGGCCACGAGCATCATTCCTCAGTCATCAGTGCAAGAAAGAGGGTTAAAGGCTGAATTGCTCCTCAACGCTGTCTTAGGATTTTATACTGACTGTTGTTTGAACCGCATTGCTTCACATGATAGCTTATCGCCTCCCTTCCACTCCCTGCAGTTTTTCACAGCTGGAGCCCAGGCGCTGACCAGATTCGGCAGCGCCGCATTTGTGTCCGGCAACCTGAGCAACTTTCGAGCCCGGCCTGCCAAGCCTATCGAGTTGTACGAGTTTGAGGGCTGCCCGTTCTGCAGGAAGGTGAGTGTTGCGCACGTCTTCTGTAAGCAAGTGCTTGGACCTCATGGACTCCGGCGTTTGGCTGTAATCTCGAAGAGCAAATGGAGGGGCCTTTCTGTTGCATCCCACCCCCGTCGCTCCTATGCTTCCTCGTTGGCCCGCAAAGGCGCGACGAATAGATAAAGCGATTGCCTTGATCTATCAACCGAAGCGCCAGCGATTAGTCCTACCCAAATGGTTGGTAATTTCTCACCTCTCTCACGTCAATGCTATCCATTGTGTCGTCCCCTCATCGAATTCATGAAGCTGGAACAATACTGGTCGTTGATTCCATCCCTGCCCCCGCAACCGGTCGACCCATTACCCACTCCCACTAGTTGCCGACTTTCCTCGTTCTCCCTCACAGGTTCGTGAAGCCGTTACTATCCTGGTCATCGATGTGATCTTCTTCACGTGCCCCACGTCGGGTCGACGTATACTTCCACTCCAACTTGTTGCTAACACTCTCTCTTCCCACAGGTCCGTGAAGCCGTCACGATTTTGGATATCGACTCAATGTTCCCCTACTTCCACGGCGAGCGATTTTATGCACTCATGTACCTGTTGCTGAAAGCTTCCCCTCTTCTCGCAGGTCTGTGAAGCCGTCACAATTTTGGACATCGACGCGATCTTCTACTCGTGCCCCAGGTCGAGCCGACCTTATATTCCCCTCTCATCCGTTGCCAAGTTCTTTCCTTCGTCCTCACCGTAGCTGAAGTTTCTCTTTCTCCCTCTCAGGTTCGTGAAGCCGTCACGATTCTGGACATCGACGCCATCTTCTACCCGTGCCCCCAAGGTGGCCCGACCTACCGGCCCAAGGCCAAGGAGCTGAGCGGCAAGAGCCAGTTCCCGTTCATGATCGACCCCAACACGGGGACGTCCATGCTCGAGTCGGACGACATCATCAAGTACCTGTTCGACAAATATGGCGACGGGAATGTGAGCGATCAGATTCTTCATTTTGCTCGTTGCGTCCCCACTTTGGGGCTGCTAGCTTCCTTGCTTTGGGGCTCTGGGAGTGCGGCTGGAAGCAAGGTTTCGTCTAAGTTGCGTCTGAAAGACATTTGAACAATTCTTTTGATTCTGCCCGGAAGTCCGCTTTTATGCTTTTGCCTCGAGCAGTGAAAACATCAAGCCAGCTCGGTAGAACGCAGTAAGTAGAGAGTAGACTTAGGGTAAAGGCCGATAACAGTACTGCCATATGCAATTAAGCGAGAGTCTCTTAGCGGGTAAGCGGCAGAGGGACCAGGCGGAGCCCGAATAATTTCAGCTGCCGGAGACAAGTTGTTGCCTAAACGTTCACGTCATGCAACACGTGGAACAACGAAGACAGATCACAAAATTGACACCCTGCCGACCTCGGGCTCGATGCGGCATCTGTGTTGGATTGCAGAGGGGCAGCTTTGTATTGCTGAAGACGACCCTTGCGTCGATGCCTAAGAAGGTTGAAAGAAAACGAAGAGGCGTACACCTTATCTCCTGTGCGGATCTTATTTGCACTGCCGAGGGGCAATTCGTTCGCTGACGGGATTTCCGTGTCTTACAGTGTTCTGTGAACGAACGTCAGGGAAAGTAAAGTGACAATGTGCAGATCAGAGCGAGAGCGAACCAAGTCCCCTTCCGTGCAGATTCCGCTTCCGCTGCAGCTCGGCGCCGTGACGACGCTCACCGCAGGCATCGGTCTCGCGCCTCGCATGGGCGCCGGCTCGCGTTACCGCGCGGCCAAGAAGCCAGACAAGATCCTGGAGCTGTGGGCGTATGAGGCGTCGCCCTTCTGCAAGTTGGTCCGCGAGGTAAGCGTTTCATGCGGCAAAGATGAAGCCTCACGCGACTAGTGCAGTCTTAAAAGTCGGTACAAACGGATCTTAGCTCGGTTTGCAATGAGCGGGTCAGCGTTGGCGGACGGACTCGGTCAGTTTGTAACCCGCTTGCGAGGTGCGGGAAGGAGGTTTTGTTATTCAGACAAATATTCGCTTTCGTTTTCGGACCTTCGAGATCCCGGGCAGAAAATCTTGCTGTCGGGGATCTTATAGCCAGACCGGTAGTCATTCGAAGAGACGGCTGCCAAATGTTTTCGTCGTTTCCGGATTGAGACGTTTGTCCGGAGGAAAGGCCTTGACGGGTTTGGACGTTTGCATCTGCGATTGCTGGTTTGCGTTGAAACGCATCCAGGATACGGGCACCTGTGTTATTCACGCTTTCCGCCTTTCTGGGAGTTTGTGTTGATTCTCTGAAGATCCGCGAGAAAAACATGCTCGAGCATTCCGGGTCTCCATAAATAGTCTAGAACCAACTTCCTGGCGCCTACTCAAAGCCTCTCTTTCCTCGTCTATGAGATGGAGATGTGTGAACGTGACTGCAGCAACGCTGAGCAGTGCAGAAGCGGCAGTTTTCGTGTTTGACAAAAAGCTCTTGTCAAGGCATAGTGCCCTCTGCAGTATGCTCTTCATTGGACCGCTCTTTGTCCGGTCGGAACACTACATGTCTTCGGGCTTTGAAATGGAAGAATCATGCTCGGTCTCTTGGGAGTATGTCCGACAAGAGGGGTCTTCTGATCGCAATGCTGACATGAGCCAACCATTGTGTCCATTCCGCAGGGCGGGCTAGCCCAGTCTGAAAAGGTCATCTGCTTTCAGGTCCTATTAGACAGGACACTTCGTCATTACGGCCGCCGAAATTCAACTTCTTGGTTGGCTTAAGAGTCTGTAAGCTAATATCAAGGTTGGGTAGCTAATTCGGTACTTTTGCTAAGCTTATGATTTTCTGTCTGCAGAAATTGGTAGAACTGGAGCTTCCCCACCTGTACCATTCCGTTGCACGGAACAGCCCGAAACGGAAGGAGTTGACGGACAAGTGGAATACCGACTTCCAAGTCCCGTACCTTGAAGATCCGAACACAGGAACTGCCCTGTTCGAAACAGATGACATCAACAAGTACCTTGAGAGGACATATGCGCTGTAGATAGAAAAGCACCAAGGACATTGAAGCCGGTAGCCAACTGGCGCATGGTCTGATTAAGGATCAATTTTGACGTATATGCTTCTTGGCTCTTTTGTTAGCAAAAAATCGTTTCCGATAGGCGCATTTCCTGTGACATGAGTGTTGGGGACCAGCTGGCGATCCCCTTCAACATCTGACGCTTGTGGTGGATGCTCGCTGGCTCAGTTCTTTTGTGCAGGTGCTTCAAGTGTGTTGACAGATGCTCAATGAGACCGAGGGTGCACCAAAATCACCCTCGATTTTTGGTGCTTGCGCCATAAAGGACGCGCTTCATGCACGTGGTTCAGCCGCCATGTGTATTCAACTTGCTGCACGGCTGATCCGCATTTACCTCTAATGTTACACCACGGACAAACCTGGACATATTGACTATGATAGTATGGTCTTTCTCATGAGCAAGTCTGACATGTGGTCTGTCCATAGATGCAACCCTCGATGCATTTGTGGACAGACAGAGAGCTGGCCGTAAGGCAGCTATCGGGCATGTGAAATTGCGCATGAACTTTGAGGTATATCTGAGTCATGGGTCGCCGCGCCTCCTAGAATCCACATCTTCCTGAATTTATGCTTGATCATTTGGAAAGGCGCAACCACATAAGACCTCTGCTTCCAACGAAGTAGTTGCATATATCTTATGATGCATTTAGCAACCGCCTGTGCATGGGATGGTCAGTATCGTTACGCATGATGCTGTACCGGGTCATTAGAATTTCTTCAGTACATATCATTGCACCGAAGCCCTAATCGACTTTTCATGCAAGGAGGGTTGAAAGGACTGCAAACCAAACACCATCATTATGTGTAAGATTGGTACTGAAGATCTTCCTATACAATTCTATTGACTTCTATAGAAGCTCGGATGGATGGTAACAGAATCAACAGCATGCATGCATTATAGCCGGTAGTCTGATCAGTCCTTGTTTGGTAAGAGCTTCGCAAACCTTCAACAAGCGATTGTGCATTAACAGTGGAAGTTCGATCAGCTGTACAAAGGTCCGCGCTGAACAACGTGATCAATCGGCCTTTACGTACGTGACAGGCTGGGCCTCTATCTTTTCAGAATGACTTACTGTGTAGAACGAACGCGTAGATTGCAGTGCTGAAAGAAACTTAGCAATGGCCCTTGAACATGCCTAGCGGCGAATGAAGCTTTCCTTGGCTGGCTGGCCCAGATAGTAGTCCTTCTCCACGAACTGGCTGATTGCGACCTTTGGGAAACGTCTTTGCAGCTGAAATAGGGATCTGCTGAAGTCCTTGAACCGGAACTGTGTATCTTCTCTGTCCCACACGTACACCTCTAACGATTGTAACTGAGTACAAGCCTTCAAAACTTTCAGCAGTGTCTGGTGCACACTAAAGTTGACTGTTCCGTTCTCCTCTAAAGGCACCCACAGTACCAGATGTCTCAAATTGTCCAAGTTAGTCGAGGCTTCTGGATCCGAAAAGATTGGGTTCAAGATATCCGAATCAAGTTCAAGGCTAACCAGGGACGTAGAGCACTGCTTGGTCAAATCCAAAATGCCGTTGGAAAGCTCATCGAGTCCAATGTGGCTGCCGACTGCTAGATGCTTCAAGCCACTGGCCGTCTCAAGAATGGTTGCAGTCCTTGCCAAGACAGCAGCACCCTCACAAAGTGTGACCAAGCTCAGATTAGGAAACGGGCCTCCCAGCAGATGCCAAAACTTCCTATCATCCCCTGCAAACGCACTCTGATAGGGAATGCTGAGCTCGAGAACCTTTAGCCTTGCAGCAGTGTTGTCATCTATTAGGATATCTCTGGTGGAGCTAGTCATCCAGACTTTGAGGCTTTTCAGGCTATCTGAAGAAATGACAAGGGGCATGTCATCTCGAATCTCATACTCGCACTTGTTTAATTCAAGAGCTTCGAGTTTCTTGGCAGAAAACAGGAGCATTCCTATAGATGAGGATTCTAGATAGACGTTCGTGAGACCGAGGCATCTCAAGCTTTTGAAACCAGACGCGTTGAAGCCCATGGATGGGAAGGCAAATGTGTAAACTTCAAGTTCCTCGAGCCTTTCCATCAAGTTGATTTCTTGGAAAAAAACTTCCGCTGCCTGAGGATAGGCGATCGACTCGTCCCGTCTCTGCTTGTCATCTGTCGATTCTTGATGCGCAGGTCCCCACCACAGAGTCTCTATAGTAGGTCGGAGATGCCTTAGGAGTCCCAGAAGTCCGCTGGCAGGGAAAATGCCACCAATCAGCCCCGCCACCTTCAAGGCTCTAAGCCGATTCGTTCCCAAGACTAGCCTGCAGACATCAACGTCGTCGAGAAATCCCTGGCTAGCTTCCTGTGAACCCTCGATGCTGAGAAATTGTACAGAAGGAAGTGCCTCCAGGAATCTCTTGCATACTGACGCTGCCCTCACGACGTCTCCTGCAGTTGGCAGCTTCGATAAGATGCTTCCCACCACGTTCAAAGGAAGATCCGACCAGCTGGTAGACTGAATATCGTCATCTCTGTTCAAGTCAGCGTTGCATGGGAGCTTTGCCATTCGAGCGATTGAACAATCACGGCCGATGGCGATACTTTGACGTTTGAAGCTTCCAGATGCTTTTTCCACTGTCCTTCTCAGCCTGTTTTGCCGCCAGAAAATGCACGGTTGAAGCAAACGGCCTTCGCAACTTCTTGCCAAAATCACAGCCACCTCACAGCGCAGGGCGTTTCGTGGTTCTAGCTTCAAGTCAATCTGATGCCAAGATCGAGGATTCAAGAGGCACTTTTGTTCATCCTGTTCAAAAATAAGACCGTCTTCTCGAAGTGACTTGTCCCCTTTTTTCCGCTCTTAAGCCTTACATGCATCGCGTCGTGCATGTCCGATCGTCAGTGTGTGGAGGCCGGGCTGGTTGCTTCTTCTTGCGAAGAAACCAAATTTTCAAATCCTGGAAATCTAAAACCCTGCGACACTGAGTACAGATCGGCGTCGCGGCCGCCCGGCGTCCCAACCCGGCGCCGTGCACTGAGGACTATCGAACGGTTTCCGCGAGATTCAAAAGTTATCGACGCTTCACAATGCTTGAAAGAACTTTGCGCGCGCGAAACGTAACTGGACGGAGCCTGCTACAGTAGCCTAGTCGGAGAGTTCAGTTCGTGCATTGTTGGTTTTCTGGAACCGGCCGTGATGGTATTAGTTGACCTCATGCTATTATGACCGCGTAGGATTTATTTCTCGTCACATCTCAAACTGCACCGGCTACTGTAGCTTTCCGGCGGACGGAGCCGGCATTTGTGTCGCCGTGATAATACAGCAGCCCACTGAAGCTGCATAACAGAAATCAATTTTCTAGAATCAGAAATCGTAACCCACTGGGTATACAGGTTATTCCAGTCTTCTTACCTCATGCAAATGGATCTACCTACCTATCTAGGGAGCTCGTTCCCGGGGAGCTTGTCATGCGCTGCAGATTGAAAGCATTTTCATGGACCTGGCACCAGTCAGCTAGGTCTGGGCGTCTTGAGACGCATACACGTCAGCCTGCCTTCACGACGTTATAATCCGTCCAGCTAGTTGTAACAGCGCAGGGGGGCAGATTCAAGTTCAGCCAGTAATTGCAGCACAGGGAGCCCTCAAAGGGCGCGACAAAGCCCAAAAGCTGCCCGCTGCGTTTTACCAGGCAACCGTCCCGTGAGCAGCCTCAAGCCATACATGGCTGCATCAGCGCTTAGCAATCCTCAGCTAAGACCACCCAAACGTACGTCAGGCGAAGACGTGTGCTTTCAACACCCTGACCTCATCCTGGATTGAAAAGATGGACGCGGGGCGGCCCTCCTCAGCTGGTCCCGAGCTCTCGCGCCCCACTTCGAGGGCGGCCTCCGAGCGCTCCGTTTCCGAACGAGTGTCAAATAGGCCCAGCACCGCCAGCAGTCGTCTCAGTCTGGAAGATTCAGCGGGGCTTGACACTGAGCTGAAAATGAGTCAAGAGGAGGTAATCCGCTTGAAGATGGAATGCATCCGGTGGGAGAGCTCGGCGGCGGAGAGTCGGGTGGCGGAGGAGGATGCAAAGTACCAGACGCAGCTAAAGGAGTTGGAAATCCAGGTAGAACCAGCATTCAGGCGCTCAAGCAAGATCTCAGCATTTTAATGCAAGCGTCAACTCATACACATAACTGCAAAAAGGTCGTTTGAGGATGGTGGTATGGGCAGATGCTGGTTGAAATCAGTGTTTGTAAAGCAGGCGTGAAATTCAGGGTCAGAGATGTCTTTGAGAGAGAGGCACAAGTCAAAGCTTATGAGGGGAGTCGTCTATCCTCTCTGAGAAGAAGTGAGTACTTGGCCTGTATCACACAGCTCTGTGATTGAAACGTAAATGGTATTCTGCTTTTTGATCTTGGCAAGGTCTACCAACCTGGGCGGGTGAGCGAAAAAGCATCGCAATGGCTGGGGTCGCCTTCAGAGCCAAGTTGCAATGGTGGTGGAGATTGAGTGGTCTGGTTTCAGAAGTGGGTAGACTGAACCTACAACAGTGCAGCGACAGCACAAAGCTGGGCGGTATTCTGCTCTATCCTATGAATGTCGTTGTTGAGGAGTACTTTGGTTATGAAGCGTCTTCGGAAGATAAACGAATGCAAATCGCGATTCAAGGCCTCCAAACAAGATGGGCAGTCGAATGAGCAGTTATCCCTCAAGGTTGATACCTTCGACCCAAAGCGTTCCAAATCGTGAGCAGTGTTCTCCAGATAGTTGACCAAGCCACAATCTCAAGTGCGCTGCTTCTTCGAAGCGCAGTCAACTTACCGCCGCGGTCCCTCGGATATCCGCTCTACAGAGATTTTGGGCCGGGTGACATTTGACATGTCACCTTTCTCAATTCAAAAAATGATCGCATACAGCTTATTGCAGTACTCTGGAAGCTTAAGCAAAGGCGAACGGAGGCTAGACCTGACTGGATTCTGATGCGGACTGAGTGTAGCGAAGACTATTTCGCAGGCGCAGTCAAACAGTGGGGCAAAATTGCTCAATCGGGCACCGAACGATCCGTGTAATTCGCAATAAGCACGAGCAGTGGAGAACGCCCATCTGTGACAGCTTCTGTTCAACAATTGCCAATTCTTACTGCATCTGATCGGTCCATCCAGATTTGCTCATGAGGCCACCTTCCTCGCAGGCGCTGAAGGAGCGGTTGGCGGTTTTCGACCCTGTTCTTGTCGAGGAGCGCAACCGGGCGTTGCGCCTCCGGATTCAGGAGTTGCAGGAGGAGATTGTGGAGCTGAAAGAAGGGAAGTACGAGGAGGCGGTACACTTGCAGCATCATTCGTTTCAGGTGGGGAATGCTTTCCCAGCAAAAACATGTTTCTTATGAGCATTATTGTGAAGACAGATTGGAAGCAGACTTGTTGCATTGAAACTGGAAGCAGACTGATGGCAGTGACGCTGGTTTTTGGAGCGGGCGCGTTCTCGTGAACGAAAGTTGCACCACATACAGCAGCTTCAATGAGCCACTCACTAAGCTGTTGTGTTTTGCAATAAGCTGCTCCCCGAAGAAGATAGGGAAAGATTCTCGCAGACATCGTGGTTCTCGTAAGCCCAAAGAATTCTTCCATCGACTTCCAGATCAAGCTGAACCTCACATAGCACGCCCTTCGTGTCGGTTGAGTTTACGCGAAAGCCCTTCAGCCGACTTCACTGCAAACCCGCCGAGGCCCCCGTTGCGCAGATCCGCGCGCACATGGAGGCGGAATTCCGGCGGAGAGTGTCCGAGAACGAGGCTCGGCTGACGGAACAGCTCCGAGCGGAGCTGCCCGCGGACGCGCGCCAGGCGCTGGTCGACCGGGACAGGCTCCGGGGAGAACTGCAGGCGCTGCAGGAGAGCGTCGGCTCAGGTGGGTCAGGTTTGGGATAATGAAGAAAATGTGACAAAAACGAAGAAAAACAAAACTAAAATTGGAAAAAGGAAAAGCGCGCTGGTCGACCGGAACAGGCTCCGGGGAGAACTGCAGGCGTTGCAAGAGATCCGGATCAGGTAAGTTCGAAGCATAGAGGGTTTGAGGATTTGAGGGTTCAAGGGGTTAAGGGTTTGAAATTTCCATGCATAAGGATTTTAGGGATTTGAGAATTTTAGGTGTTCAAAAGGTCGGATTGAGGAAGGGAGAGGCTCCGGAAGGAGCTGCAGGTTCTGCGGGGAGCGTCCGATGTCGGCTCGGGTGCATTTTCTCCGCGGCCCAGAAGAGATTGTTGGACCGAATCCAACATGATCATTGGCTCAAGTAGTTTAGGATCGCAGTTCCGAGAAGCGAAGAGAAAGGAAGAAGACTTGGCGCAGAGGGGTTAGGACCGCGGATTGTTGAAGGGGAGTAAGAAAAAACAACAGACCAAGTCGGCTCAGGTTGTTTAAGGACAACAGTCCGGAGAAGAAACAAAAGAAAGATTCGGCGCAGGTGGGCAGCGCCAGGGGGTACTTTCGTCGTCGATTTGTCACCGTATTCCGTTATTCTGTCATCCCGTTATTCCGTTATTCCGTATCCGCTCTCGACATTAATCATTCGCAGTCACGAGCAACTCCGTAACCCGTCTCATTCGTCGTTTCCTCATCCGCAGTCACGAGTCGCTCTCGCCTGGGCGAAACTCGCCAGAAGCAGTCAAGTGTTCTTCTTCTCTCGACCTCTTTCCGTTGTCCTTCTTCCGGTTTTGCTTCTTAAACCCAGTCATTCCTCAAATGCAAAGGAGCCGCTAACGCTCTGTGGAGACGCGCCAAAGTCATTCCGTCATTTTACAACACTTCCTCACTCTTCAATCTGTTTCGTTTGACCTCTTTTTCTTATATATGCCTGCAAATCCATATCCTTCTGACCTCTTCTCTTATTCCTCCTAACCCGTATCCCTTTTTAACCCTGTCATTCGCAGTCACGAGCCGTTCCCGCCTCGCCAAGACTGGCCAGAAACACTTCTTCTTTTTACCATTCCCTCATCGTTCTTTCGACCCCTTTTCCTTCCAACGATATCACTCCCGTGTCAACATACTGGGTTTCATTTATAGTCACGAGCCGCTCCCGCCTCGCCGAGACTCGCCAGAAGCAGTCGTCCGTGAGCGAGGCCCTCAGCCGGAGCCTCGCGGAAGAGCAGGCGAAAGCAGCGGTGCAGCTCCGGAAGCGGTGCGAAGCCGCGGAAGAGAAGCAACTAGAGGCGGAGCAAAAGCTCGCGGCCGCGCTGCGCGCGATCGAGGAACTGCGGGCGCGACCGGAGGAAGCGCGAGGGGGCGGAGGCGGAACCGGAAGCGGGAGCGGAACCGGAACTGGGGCTAGAAACGGGAGCGGAAGCGGAAGCCCACATGGAGGCGGCAGCGGAAACGGAAGCGCAAGCGGAAGCGCAAGCGGAAACGGAAGCGGAGTCCGGCCGGAACTTGGACGGTCGAACGGCGTGGCGGAAGTGGGGACAACTAGTGCGGGGGGAAAAGAGAACGCGGGAGGCGGAGCTGAGTCCAATTTTCAGATTGGGGTGGGGAAAAAGAATGCGGTGGGCGCGAGCAGGCTGCGGCCCGCGAGTGCGCACCCCCGTCTGCAGGTGACGCTTCCGCCGGAAGTGGAGGCGAACGGAACGGAACGGGAGCGGCAGGCGGATAATCCAAGGGAAGCTGAACGTGCGAAAGAGGTAAGAGTACTGGGGCTACGAAGCTGAGACGGCGCCAAGCGACCGGGCCAAAGTGCTTTTTTCCAATCGAGAAGTTCAGAAGTAGAGCGGGAACAATCGTCTCAACAGCCAGCTTGTTAAACCTTAACACATCGCTGCCTCAGATTGAAGAATCTTGCAGACAGCATTTGGCAGAGAAGAGCTCAGAATAAGAACGGATCACATTCTCGTTCCGGTGATTGGCTGGCAATCAAAGTCTGATTCAGGATCTGGGATCTTAAGTTGAACCGACTCGCCTCGAAAATTCAAATCTAAAAGAACAACGCTTCGAGAGTCGCTTCCCTTTGGCCGTTTCGCAGATCGCGGAGATCGTCACATCCGACGTCGTAATCCTTGATTTGACATCTTTTTTTAAACGCATGTTTTCCGTTCCGTTCCGCAGCCTTGTCCAACGGAACGAGCGGACCTGGCCATCAAGCTGCTGGAGGCGCAGCAGTCGGAGGCCAAGTGGCGGCGCCGAGCGAAAATTCTGCAGGAGACGAACGCGCGGCTGGAGGCGACGCTGCTGCAGCAGAAGACGGGGAACGTGAGGCTTTTTAACCTTTAAACAGCGCTATCGTTCGAATTGAATATAAGGACTCCAGTCTGCAAAGTTTGGCAAGGGGGGTTGGAAAGTTTGACAGGACATATTCTGATATCAGGGTTTCGGACAAAGCGTGCCTAATCAAAGGAAAGTTCTGGAGCGTTTTTTTCTCAACTTCAGAATCTCGACGGCAGTGGTCCGATTTGTGGTCGTCTCCCGGCCATTTTGCCTCCTGCGGGCCGCCTGTAGACGAAAGTATGGACGGGGACGAAAGTAGGCCGTGTTATATGGATTGCAAGCTGGGGGACGTGTAGCAGTGACTTGGGTTTTACGCCTCCTAGGCTGACGGAAGCGATGGGTTTGAGCCAGATATCTCTGCGCCAGGTCGCGTTCCTTGTGACTTGACACTTGGCCCAGTAGATTAAATCAACATTGCTATGTTGATCAGATCCTTGGAACGGCTGCTAGCCGTTCTGCTAGCCCGTCTCAGTGAAGTACTGGATTCCTTCACTCAATAAAATCTTAGATTGACACTCTCTGAACGCCCTAAACCATAACCCGATCGATATAGTGAACAGCAACAGCCAGTGAACAGTAACGGAGACGGGTAGGGTTAGTTTGGGGGTTAGGGTGGCTACGGGTGCGGAGCGGGTGAACCTTTGGGTTAGGGTTTTTAGTAACCCCAAAATGCTTACTGTTCACTGGGCTTGCTGTTCACTAGATCGAGAAACACCTAAACCATCGGACCTTGCAGGATCGGACGGACGGACCGGTCGCTTCGCTGGACGGGTTCAACAAGGAAGCGCGGGAGCGTCCGAAGACGGCCAAGCCGTTCAAGTCGAAACCGTTCTTTTGACCGCGATCGAGCTTGCCTGTTCCTTGAGTTGCCATGGGCGCAGGACGTACAGAAGAATTGGGGTGTGACGATCTAATCGGACTCAGCCTGCAGGAGCTGCTGCGTCAGCTTTTGGGGGGGAGAGGAGGGAAAGGCTTCCCTTGTGATCGTGGTCGGGTGCACGTTTCATCAAGCCCCGCTGTTCTGAAGAAAGCATTGGCTTTCAACATGCAGTCATATAGTCTGGACACGTTCGCTGTCGCATTGCGGATGCACTCGGCAGATCATCCGTCAATTGCCGTTAATGCCTCCGGCCGTTCATCCAGATATATGGATATCAGATCAAGGCCAGCCGTAGTAATTTCATGCAAGGAATAATTACAGTAGATCTACATGCATGTTCTGCACGAAACACGACTTACGCGTGCATCGATCACACGGCATGAGTTCGATGCACCTTTTATAGGAAGCTTGCAGCTAGTGAGAAATCAAAACCCACAATCGAATCTAGATGTGCGGTACGCGTTTTGCGGGTTAGTACGGCCGCCAGAACGCCTAGCGCTCGCCAATCATTTCAGCAGCTAGTAAGCTGAATAATTTCTATTTGCACACTGTACGTGACGGCCGCCAGCGCCAGCACCAAACCGCGCCAATATAAGAACTCTACCATAAGTGCAGCTATGTGGGGTCGATCCAAGCACGGCGCAAATAGTCTGAGTAGGTAGACTGGCAAAATTAATCAGCTGGTCAGTCTGCACACACATGCACGCGTGTACACTGTACAGCGGGATCATATCAGTCTTGAGAAAGACGGCCTAGCTTCAGCGCAGCGCCGCTCACGACCATGCATTGAATCAGCGGTTACTGTTGCCCATTAAAGCGCGCGCTCAGATATCCAGATCGTCGTCCGGGTCCTCGTCCGAGTCCGGCGGCTCTTCATCCGAGTCTCTCATGTACAGAATGTGCCCTTGACCAGACTCGATAACCTCCCCGTTCTTCAGCTTATCGTTGTGCGCTGCAACCGTGCTTTCGTCGCCACTCTCATAGCCTATGCGCCCGTCCCTCTTTCCTCTCGCTTGGACGCCGGACAACGCAGGTCGGCCGTCGTATATCTTGACTTCGTGACCGTCACCTGGAGGTGTAACGCGGTTGGTTGAGATTGTGCCGCAAAGGAGGTAAGTCAAGGATCATTAGGAGGTCACGTTTCTCTTATGTTCTCCAGTTTAGTGGTAGAACAGTCTAATTATACTTTTGAGGCAGATCCGAGGACAATTCAAGCGCAGGGCCGGGAAACCACCAGGAACCAACGCAGCAGTCTCTACGGGCAATCAAAGAACAGTCGCTTGTTGAAGTTGCATATGTTTTCTAAAGCAACCCGCCGCCTGAAAGGTTAATTTCTTCAAGGCGAAAATGAACAGCGAGCGGCAACCACAAGCTTGGCTCTTTTGTGGCGGAAACGAGTTTTGAACGCGACGGTTCCACAATTGCCCGCTCGGAGCAGCTTCACCAAGTCGCGAGCAATGCGTCTTTGAAAAAGGGGTCAAACGTGGATTTTGCGCGATAGACACGAGCTTTCAAGGTTACTGCAACTTCGCTCAATCCTGGCCGCCTGAGCCAAGTTGGATCCGAATCGATTGCAGGATTTGGCTGATGCTCAGAACTTCGGCCGTTCGATGAATAGCCTTTGGGTCATCGCACAGCCCAGGTTCTGGCATCGGGCAAAGTTTTGCGATCGGTTCGGATATAGGACTTGGGTCAGGCGGCCAGGTTTGACCGCACCTGCAACATTGGTGAAATGTGTCGACTAAAAAAGTGATGCCTAAATTGCTCAAAGCTCACCTTGGTGCTCGTATGGAAGCACGACGCGGGCTCTGCTCTGCTTCTCCGCTTCCGACAGCTCAAGATTGAAAGGCACCTGGGGCATGAATAGAAGGAGATTTGTCCCAGAAGCCAGGAAAAGTGGATCATGAGAAGGAGTGTGGAATGGCGGTACCAAAATAGGCTCAGCCTTAGTTTCGTAAGTCGTTAGGCTTTGTGGACGAGATTATACAGCTCGTTCATCAAGCCCTTCCTTATAGTTTATGTTTAGCTCGTTGAGGCAGTCTGCGAGAAACACGTGGTCTTGAGAAACGCAACACGCGAGAGATACGAGGGCTAGAGCACCAGCTTGCAGCCTGGCTGGGCTAGGAGGAAAGTTACGGCCCGTACCACTCCGTCAAGCCGTTCATTGCGACATACCGCAAATCCGTACTGTTGTTCAGCAGGCGACACTGAGAGTTCAACGGTTTCGAATCTGACACAAAGTCACCGATTTACAAGAAAGCAGAGACAAGCAGGGCATCGTTGACGGCATCCGTTCCTTCTCCAAAGCTTCGGACCAATCCTGAAGACTGCACGAGCGACACTTATGATCGGACGGATTTGATCTGACGCAAAACCCACTTGAGTAGAGAAACAAGAATTCCTCGCCTCCGGAGAGGTCGCCGTTTTTGGGGGTGGCGCTCTGTCCGACTGCATACTCGTCGAATTTCCGGCGACCAGTTCGATGTGACGTATCGAACCGTTCAATAGCCAGCAACAGCATTAACGCTACGATCCAATCACGCACAAAAGCAGGTTCTTACCTCCGGAGTTGTCGCCGTCTTTGCCGAGGGTGGCGCTCTGCCCGACTGCATGCTCGTCGACTTTTCGGCGACCAGCTCGGCGACGGACGCCGTCCGCTCGATGGGGCCGAAGCGGACGCCCGAAGTCTCCAGCCAAAACTGCTCCCGCTGCAAAAGCAATGGCCGGACGAGGATTAGGCCGTCCGTGAATCCCCGCTCTTGAAGGGAAAGCTCAGGTCGGGTAAAAGAGCAAAACGGGCAACTCATAGCGAATTCCTCCAAGAAAAGAGTTTCGGAAACGGAATGAACTGTATATGCCCACCTCGTGACGGACTTTGCCCTTATTCGTCTTGTGCCGTACGTGGATCCTGCCGTCCGTGGAACCCAACTCGTGAAAAGAATCCCATGCTCAAACAAAAACTCAGAACGGGCAACTTCTACCAAGAATAATCAGAACATTTTCCGCAAACAAGTACTCTGCAAATCCCCACCTCGTGTCGAACTTTGCCCTTTTTCGTCTTGTGCCGTACGTGGATCCTGCCGTCCGCGGACCCCCGCTCGTCCAGCAGCGGGGGCGCCTGCACGTCGACGACCGTGCTTGCGAGGCGCTCGAACGCCGCGTTTGTGCGCGCGTCGTGGAGGTCGGCGTGCAACAGTGTCAGAACCGTCGATATGCGACCTGCATATATAGCCTGATAATCATGAATTTTCCCATGTACCATTCTTTATTTTCGAACGTATTTGATGCTTCACGTAAAACCTCGGTGCTGGTGAAGTTAGAAATAAGAAGCAGACGGCACGTCCATCAAAGTGCTCGCGGGGCGCTCAAAGGCCGCGGTTGTGCGCGCGCCGCGGAGGATTGCATGGAGGAGCGCCAGAACTGTCGACATGCTGCCTGCACTTGAGAAGACGTCTTCGTTATCAGGCTCCTTGATGCTTAGCGCGTGAGAGTCCCGGAGCTCAGCGAAGTTGAAATAAAACGTGTCGGTCCTTTGACGACTGTGCTCGCAAGGGGCTCAAGGGCGGCGGTCTTGCGCTGTCTGTGAAATATCGCGGGCAAACGCGTCAGATTGGTTGATATGCGGCCTGCATGACTGGACTAGGGCTCTGAGTCTTCAAGCTGCCGTTCGACGGGGTGTTGACTTCGTCAATGTATTGGCATCGTGTGAGGTTATTTTTCGGGGAGGGGCTGAAAGGGCCGACCGTGCACCATTGTAGATTTCAGCCCGCGGGAGCGTAACAGGAATATTGTGGTACATATCAAGGTTCGACGAAAGATACAAGCATCAATGGCCTTCGCATCGCTTCTAATACGAAAGACACAGTGTTGAAGGTCTTCAAGGACTTTGAGTCGAGCAATTTAAGTCGCAAGGATGTTGAGTATCCAGGATGTGGCATTTGGAGAGCCTGAAAAGAAGCTCCGACATATGCTGAGAACCATTCAGGAACCCCTACTCACACGGGCCGGCCATGTGTTGAGGTAACGCGTTCAGGATACAAATTTCTCGTGCCAGAGCGATATTGCAAGGTCATATCCTGGTTTCACAACAATAGACTCGCATCTGAACGTCTTTCAGAACGAACGGCAACACTCACCGCTCCATCGCAGCCACTCCAGAAAAGCCAGGACCTTCGAAGTAGCGCAGTATTGGAGCAGAGTTGACATCTGCAGCAAGAGAATTTTCTCGTCAATGATAGGTTTCATGGACCTCTGAGCCACACGGGCAAAACTTGCTGAGTGGTTCGTCGCTCTCGACATACGCAACTTTGCAGTCGAGCATCTGGTAAGGATAAGTGGATGGCGGTGGCGAAACAGGACGTGCTACAATAGGACGTTGTGCAGACTTCCAAGTACCTCGGAATCTGCTTAACCAAGAACGAGGGCCCCACGTTAGGAGCCGACGAGAACTCCAAACGCTCGGTCCAAATCGAGGGCGAACGCCTTCTTTATGAATCTCGTCAGGACTTGAGCTGAAGAAAGTGAACACATGCGCATAGAAAGCCTTATCGAACAGACTCCCAAGTCGGCAGACCCAAGTGGCAAATGACGTGAGCGTTGAAGAGGCGAGACACGGTGATCTCAAGTTATCGTGACTTCCATAGACTCACCGAGTCAATGACAAGAGCGAGCCGGCCCCCTTCGACTGCATCCTTCAACAAGGCTGCCAAGAAACAGGGACAAACAAATCAGAAAGGACCTGTTATCCTCGTTGGATGATCTTTCAAAATGACAACGCGTGCTTCAATTATGCTTCTAACATGCCATACTTTGATTGCTGGGAAGCTGGAAAGCAGGTAGCAGTCTAACAGACATATATCAGGTATCTGACTAAGAAGAAAGGCTGTATCCTCATCATTCCTTCTGTACAACGAGTGTTAGCTTTGTCGGCGAGGCGTGATTCGCCTGGACCTCATTTTTGGACAGCTTTCAGAAAACCCCAGTCCTTTGTTTTTCTTGCCAAACCACTTCTGTGACTTGTTCAAGCACGAAGCGCTCTGAGCGGGCTCACCTTCGCCAGCGTTTTGGATACCCACTTTAAGTCCTTCTAAGGATTCGTCATTCTCAAAGTGCACCTTCGAGTACCCTCCTCGCTGGAGCTTCCCGAGAGCCGAACTCATCCGTCGTGACGCGTCTTCCTGACCGCTCGACCCCACTTCTGCTGCACGTTGGCTCTGGTTCCGGGCTCGCACGGAACTGACATCGTTTGTTTCATCTTTTGGAGTTCTGCCTAGGCTGGAGTCTGGCTCGGGGGAAGTTTGCCACCCTAAGGGATCTGAGAAGCAGTCTAGGACTTGCAGCGGCTCCAAGCCCTCTGTTTCAGAACCGCTGCTCTGATTGAGATGGTGTGAATACTCCTCAGGGGCTCGCTCCAGGGCCAGAAGTACAGTGCCTCTGCGGAAAGACACAATTGCATGCTCAGCTGTACTTGCCAGAATGTTGTCAAAGTTTGAGAGCGGTGATTTCAGAGCCTGGCAAGAATACGTAGGTCAAGGGGTTTTTGAGCGCATTCCTAAACAAAACCATGCATTGAGTTACACTCCTTAGTCACCTCTGATGCCTGAAGCAGACCCCATTGGTTTCGGGACAATAAAGCCTCCAGATAGTAAGCTTCCCAGAGCCAAAAGTTTATCTGCTCTGCACCCTGCCCCACCCTAGACCCCCAGTCTATCCCCACCCGTCCCAGGGTGGTTTAGCTGATCGTCCTTGCAGCTTGATGGTTATGAAGTTGACCTTTGTCAACTTCAAAGAAGCACGACTTTCTTTCGCACGCTCTTACCATGAACTAAGAGTCAATGCTAGCCACACCAGCTTTTTCACGATCATATATGACATGTTGTATCTGATCTTTTTCGGTGGCAAGGCCCTCAAGAGGTAAATCCGAAATCTTACGCAATTGAACAGATGGCTGATCTCAAATCACCTCGCAATTTGGCAGACATGTCAGTGCCATACTGTATGGTCGCACGTCCTAAGCACTGCCATTGTTGCGGATTGAACCAGTCTATGGGACTCATCCTGCATCATGAAAGGTGCCCCTCAACCATCATAAATATGTGCCATTACAAAGTACAAAATTTAGTCCTGCTCAAGCAGTCAAGTAATCAGGTGATCCACTCTGTAGTGTGAATGGGGAAGTCTCTCACCTGGCCTGTGCCCTTTCTTTCTTCACCACACTGAGCAACTCTTGTGAAATATGCTGGCAGACTTGAGGGCCCCCTAGAACTTCTGCAGAGTCCCTCACAATAACCACATTGAAGTAGTCGTTCTCGAGCGCCTTGTCCTTGAATGAGCGCACCACATTCTCCATTCTATTCACCGCCAGCTACTGATCGAAAGGCCACCAGAAAGATACTCACCAAGTGCTGCTCTGACCCTGGAATTATTTCAAGATGAAGCGAGCGAGCGAGAACAACTGGCTTCCCTTCAGTAACATGGAATACCTACACGATACCTGTAGGTCTTCAGCTCCGTGTGACGCTGGCAATCGCAGCAGGAACAACAATTTCAACATTAAAAGGTTGCACCATGGGTGAATGGAAGTATGAATGAATGAATGAAGTGCCTTCTGAAGTCAGGAAGCGGGAGCAAATGGTGGTGGTGCAGTACTGGGTGCTGCCAGCCTGGTGGTGGCAAACGGGCCATGGCATTGCAGCAGAGATAATTAGCTTCATCAACGTCATGCATGGGCGGACTGTCACTGTGCCCAGAAATATGGACGGCTGGAAACAGCCCTGTTGTCTTGTGATGTCATCCAAAGCCCTTATCGAACGGCTGAGACTGCGTTCCTGTTGTCTGAAAGTTTCAGAGCTAAATGCCACTAATAATGGAGGTGAAGTCGGTGGCCCTGGGCATGAGGTGAGCCAGCTTGCTTGGTGGAGGGAGAGCAGGTGGCTGGGGTCTGGGACGCAGCAACGCATGCTCCTGAGGTTCTTCGGTGGTGCTTGATGCTGGAGAGTAGGTGAAGTGTGCGCTTAGCTGGATGTCTCTGGTGGGTCTGATTTCTATCAGCAAGCAGCCTTCCGGACGAGGCTGGCACGAGCGCGGGAGATACGGAACCGAAGCTTTCAAGGCGTCCTTATTTTGTCGCACGGAAGAAGCTTGCTGCTTCTCGTTGGGCTTACTCATTTACGCTTCGCGCCTTTTCAGGGCTCGCTGTGCTGCCATCTAACAGAGAAGCGGGGTTGTGTTCCAAAAGCGCCTATAAAAATCTTCAAGCGGGGCCTGGTTCATTCGATCGTAAGGCCGTAGTTGGAAAGCAAGGCCATGGCGCATATGCGCCGGGCTGAGAACTCGGATACTCGCTCACAAGGCTTTGATAGGGGGAGGGGCCACCTGAATCACCATTCGGACCGACCGCGCTATTCCCCACCTTTTGAAGGGGAGCTTGGAGGGCACCTTTTTCTGACAAACCACCAGCAAATAGAAGAAAATTTTGCACGACAGATCTTTGGTGAGTCAACTGAATCATTTGCCAGAGTTTTTTTGTGGTTGTTTGTGCTCTGTGGTGACCTTATCAGTTTCGCTCAAAGTTGGCAGTATGTTCCAGGTATTGCATCTTGCAGCCAGTGGTGATTGTATCCAGTATTGCAAGTGTCCCTTGTCTTTCTTCTGGTAACGAAGTGCTGCTTTTAAGTCTATTAGAGTGCTGTGGAGCAGTTGGTAAAGGTTGGATTTGTTATTGTGCTTCTTATTGTATAGCTGATACCACACATCCCATTATGTCCGCACTCCGAGCTCATTGCATATAAGCTGTCTATTCTGGAGCAACCTCAGTCCATAGAGGAGCAATTTTGTTTGATTATGTTGGCTGCTCTGTGGAGGCTTTTGGGGAAGGTTGCTCCAGTGTTCTGCCTCTTCTTTGCAGTGACCATGGAGAATATGCTGTGTAATTGTTGAGAGGGGTGCCTCGTGCAGCTTCCTCTGATTCCGTGCAGCCTTGCTTAGTAGTCCATTTTGGAATTTTCCATTTGTTGGCGCAATGCCTGCCCCCCAAATCAGAATGCAATCGGTTGGATTTATCTGGTCAGTTGGCTTGCCTCGATATCCGTTTCCTGGATTTTGGATGTCTTCGTGCTGTCTGTTTCCTCTGTTTTTGGTCACCTCGCAATTGCAATGTGTTATGGCTGGAAACTCTGCCTCATGTTGGCGCATCATATATATGGAATTCGAAGCACGTTTGTTTCGATCGTATCTTTCAGACTTGACAGTTGCCTTGGTAAAATTTTGACAACTTCCCCTCTACGCGGCCTGTGGAATGCACAGTAAACAGTCAGAGACCTATGTTTGTGTTCTGAGTCCATCTGATTGCACATTTTTATACAGAAAGTTGTCTTTTGTGCCCTGCAATATCAACTGCGCTTGTTGGTGGTATTCTACTACTGCTTCCGAAGTTGACAGTCTAGTCTTTCGGTCCGTCGGTTCTAATTGTTGTCTGGTCATGTAGTTTTAACCAAGTATCTGGCTGTCCTTTCAAAGCCTGCGGAGGCTCACAACTATATCAGGTCGGGAGTACTGTACAAGATGGGTGGTTTGGAACTGCTTCCATGATGATTGCTGAAGTCAAAGTTTTGAAGTGTGACGCTCCTTGTAGTGAGTGCTGTAACAGGACGACAGTTAACAAGTGGACGTTCTGCCTGAAAGAACCGTATCAAACATTTCATCAATCAACGGGTCAACTGACGTCATTCTGCAATGTCCTGCAGCCACCAGCTTTTCCAGAGAACTCCCCTCAGAGGCTAATTCATTGTGCAGGTCTCCCAAAGCAACACGCGCCAACCGTGCTCCGCATCAAGGAAGGCCTCCCTCTCTTCCTCTACAATACCTCCACACGTGCTCTGCATGGTGTCTTTGAGGCGAGTGTCATTTCATTGTTTTGGTTGACCTTTAAAAAAGGGTTGGTCATCCTCCAGATAGCTCAGATGTTCACAGATGGCTGTCTTACACAAGGTGTTGGAGCAGAAGGGAGCTTTCAACTGAGATGCTGGCAGCGGATGCAGAGAGAACACATCTTCAATCTAGCGAGCACTTAATCATCCGACGTTGCAACCTCAACGCATGTTTCTTTCTGGCAATCTCCGGTTTTGGAAAACATGTGCTTTGCTGTTTGGTAGAGGCGTGTTGTTGGCCAAGCCATATGTATCCTTTTTGAGCCTGACATTGCTGATGCTTAGGCAAAGGCACAGCTCGCCTTTGTGCCCCTATTGTTGAACTGAGGCTGGGGTTCGAATTGACCCAAAATCTGTAGTTTTAGAGACCCAGGAAAGTACTTGAGGCCCTTAGCGGCCGTGCGCAAACATGTGGCAAGCTTTTTGGTCGCTGAATCGGTCTGGAAACAGTTCTTTTTTCTCAATGGTTACTGGATTGTGCGTATGATATCCTTATTCCTTGGTTTTGCAGGCAGCAAGCGACGGTGGACTGAATTTAGAGCCAGACGCCTGGCAAGATCACGCTCTCTCTGCCCAGCTCAAGCAGCCCTTCTCAAAGTTCCCAGCACAGGTGAGAGCAGCTTGAGACAAGCGATTGTTTCCATGTGCATGTTCCTAAGTAGTGATTAGTGCCTCTTGTATGTTGTCTTAGCTGGGAGTGGTTGAGGCATTGTGAGGCATCAATGTGAATGGAGTTCGGGGGAATCTGAATGAAATTTGGTCAGAGGAAGTTGAAGTCAGGGTAGACATGGGGTATTTATTGTGTTTCTTTTCTTCAGGTGCGCTTTCGCGTACGCGCTGACAGGGGAAGGCTCGCTGAGCCAAAGTTTCGGGACATCCTTGACTACCATACCAGCGACTACAACACACATTTCCGTCTCCCACTCTCCATAGAACAGGCAAGCATCCTCTGGTCAAGGTCGCAGGCATGGTGATATTGGCTGCTAATGTAATAGGGGTTCTCTTCTACAAGCAGCCTGCTCAAGTGCTCCAAAATGTTTATCGCAAGTGCTATATACAATCAGCTCGAACGACATATCCAGTTGTAGATGCCGACTCAATGTTACTGCGGAGTCGCCACGGTTCAGCACGCTAATTGTTCTGCTGGGACCGCTCCAGGTGCTGGTCGAACCTTGCTTAGGATCTGTCACATCTGCAATGATGCAGATTGTCACCTTAGAAAGAAGCGGATAAGCAGCAGAGCAGCAAACATGGAAGATTTACGTTCGTCAAATCTCACCTGTTCCACGTAATTTCCATGCAGGCAAACCACCTTTTGGAGCTCTTCAACATGGCCCCCTCAGGACCCCGCCCGGCTCCGCCAACCGCAGAGCAGCCATCCGCCGCTGGTGATGTCATAGACGAAGGGGATTGGGAGCAGGTCAAGACGAAACCGCGCACCAAGCCACTGAAAGTCCAACCGGGCAACTCATATGGCCGGCAAGTAGGGTCTCCGACAGGGCCTTCTACTCCGAGGCGGAGAGCAGAGGGGCCGAGGCCCGGACACCAGGGCCCTGTTGGGAACGGAGACGTTGGTGGTGGTAGAGGGGGCCCTGACAGGTGGCGGCCGGATGGCGGCGACTGGGCAGCGCGAGCGGGGGGAAGGCAGCATACAGGTTCTGTCTGGGGAGCGAGAGAGGGTGCCGCAAAGGAAGGCGGTGCAAAGGAGGGGGCTTTGAAAGAGGATGCCGGTGTGGGGAGAGCTGAAGAGAGGGGCAGCAAGGCGGAGGTTCGTGAGAACGGCATCCTGGAAACAGGGCCTGCGAAGCTCAGTCCGAGGAAGCCTGGAGCGCAGGCGGCGAAGGAGGCCCCGTTTTCGAGCCCGCGAGAGGCGGGGATTTTGGGCAGCGGCAGTGCAGCAGTAGAGCAGGCAGAGGGGAAGGGACAGGTTGCGGAGAGCGTGACCACGGTTGCTGATCCCCCTGCGAAACCGGGAAAAGCGGCAGTTAAGAGCAGCACGTTTTCTTATAGTGCAGCTCTCAAGGTGGGACTCCCAGCCAAAATGGAGGACATTAGCGCGAGCGAGAAAGGCAGGGGAGGGGCATCGGACACAGCGGGAAAAGCAGGGGGGGCGGAGAACGAGAGTGGCGAGGTGTTCCCGGTGCTTAGCAAGAGTAACTCAAAGAACGAGAGGGTTGCGAAGGCGCCAAAGAAGGAGCACGTTGCCGTCGTCGTGAAGAACGAGGATGGGGAGACAAAGGATGCTGACAGGAAGGACACCGAGAAGAAGGACGATGAGAAAGAGGATGCCGTGAAAAAGGATGGCGTTGAGAAAAGCGGTAAGAAAGGAGATGGGGAGAAGAAAGCGGAGGCGTCGAAAGTGGGGGATGATATGAGCGAAAAGAAGGACGGGAAGAAAGTCGAGGCAAAGAAAGACGCGGAGAAAGCTGCGGGGGACAGGAAAGAGGCGCCGAAGAGCAAGGGCGATCCGTTGCAAGCGCCAAAGAGCCCAAAGAGCAAAAGCGAAGCGGGCGAGGCGTTGGTTGGGGCGCAGAAAGCGGAGCCATCGCCGCCGGCTAAGCCCGAGCCCGTCAAAGCTCCTGAAAAGCCGAAGCCGAACCCCTGGGGTAAGCTGCCGACGCCGATCGAGCCGGTGTCTCTCGCGGAAGTGCAGCAAAAGGAACAGGAGCAGCAAGCGGAGCTGTCACACGCCGCCCGAAGGGAGCCTCAGGCGAAGCCCGCGATAGGAGACAGAGAGGGTGCTGTAGACAGGACGAAAGAAGCTGTTGCTTTGCACGAGGGGGGTGAGCGGAGAGAGGCGGCCAAGCCAGTGGGGCGGGGGTGGGAAGCTAAGAAGCCCGAACTCCAGCAACCGGTGGTGCAGGTGCAAGCGCCCCAAAAGGGAGGGGGTGCGTTCGCTCCGCCGCTGCGGCAGAAGACACCCCCCCGGATGCAGCATCCGCAGCCCCTTGCCGCAAGACGGGGGGAGCCGGCGCCTGTAACGGACCTGTCGGCGCTGCCCCCCTCTGCGCCGGAACGGATCCAGCAGCGCAGTATGGGAAACTTGGTGGGGGGCATCCCCGCCAGGAATCGGACCCCCCCCCTCAGTCACCATAGCCACCGGCCGCAGCCAGTGCAGGTCCCGGCCCCCCAGAGCCTCGGCACGGGGGTGCGAATAAGCCCCACCGCAACCCCGTACACCCCCAACTCAGCCGGGTTTACCCCATCCGCGACCCCGTTCACACCGTCGGGCCGGCTCTCCCCGGGCCTCCGAGGATACGGCCCCCCGATGGGGGTGCTCCAAACGCCCCCCCCGATGTTTGCGGCCGACCCTAGCCTGGCGTACGACCAGAGCTGGCGCATGCCTCGGGGGCGCAACGCGCCCCCCCCCTCGTGCAAACGGGGGGGTCGCGCCGCCCATGGTCTACAGCCCCACGACTCCCCCTGACTACGGGTATGCGCTCGCGGCGCTGTCTCCGTCCTCGCAGCCAGGGACGCCGCTGGGGCCCCCGGCGATGGCGACGCTCGTGGGCGGGGGGTTGCTGCCGCCCCCCCCGCCGGAACTGCTGGCGAACGCAGACGCGCTGCACTGGGAGGTGCTGCGGTACGCGGAAAAGGCGCGACGGACGCCCGAGGCGCGCGCGCGTGCGGAGAGCGCGGTGCTGTGCGTGCGGCGGGCGATCCAGGCGCTGTGGCCGGCGGCAGATGTCGAGGTAGGGGCAGAGTTTTGTTGCAAGGCGCGTCCAGGATGATAGGTTCCTGGGTTCGGAACATAGGGGTTCAAGAACTAACACACTCTGGATTTGGGTCTTAGGGGTTCAATGTTTGGCCCGGAGTTACGGTTCGAGGCGACTCCGCCCGTGGCTTGAGTTGATCAGCTTCAAAGTTGTTTGTTTTTCATCCTGAGGCCGTATCCTCGCAATGGCACAGCTTCTATCCGCAAATGTTTGGCTCCTCGTCCACTGGCCTCTGCCTCCCTCACAGCAATTTGACTGCTTGGCCGTGTTGTTGCCTTTCACCAACTAGTCTGCCGGCTGAAGCTCAGGCTGCTTTTCATCAGCTTCGAGATAGTCGTTTAGTTCCTGATGGTTGTTCTACCGCACCGTCAAGATTTCCTCTTCGCGAAGGTTTCGGTTCCTTGTCACCACATTTTTGTGGTACATCTCCTCCTCACATGTCGGCCCCTTCTCTCCACAGATTTTCGGCTCCTTCTCCACCGGCCTCTGCCTTCCCCACAGCGACGTCGACCTGGCAGTCGTCGGCGCCCCTCCCCCTCCCATAGAGCTCGCCAACGTTCCCGGGGGCCGCCCGCTGGTGCCGCTCATTAGAGAGCTGGCCGCGGTGCTTCGAACCAGCCCCTGGCTCGACACCCTCACGACCATCGAAACCGCGTCCATGCCCGTGATCAAGCTCCGATGCAAGCCCGGGTGGGAAAACGATTCCGCTCCGGGGGGTTCGGAAGAGAGCGGATCGACGGGGGGTACCGAGACGGACGCATCGAAGGGGGGTGCGGAGGAGAGCCAATCTCAGGGGGATGCGGAGAAGAGCCAATCGACAGGGAGTCCGGAGGAAGGCGAATCGGTCTCGGGGGCTGCGAAGGAGAACGAGGAAGCGCCGGGGAAAGAGAGCGACGCTGAAGAGCGTCAGAGCGAAGCTTCGGGGGGGGAAAGGAGCCCCAGCCAGGCGCCCCCCGTTGCGATTGATATCACGATCATGGGCAGGAGGGGTCAGCCGATGGGGACGGACGGGAAGGAGGGGCCGCCGCCAAAGAGCCAGCACAACGGCGCGTCGGCGCGCCAGTTTGTGATTGAGCGGTTGCAGAGGCTGCCGGCGCTTGCCCCACTCGTGAGTATTCGAGAGCGCTAGTTCCAGCTCTGGCTTGTGTGGTTTAGATTGTTTTACCGTCACATTCTCTCTGAGATGCAACCTTAGCAGAGCGCCACATATTCCTCGGTCATCTTTGCGGTCAGTTTCAGATCTTCTGCTGTTGGTCGCGGAAGAGATCCACAGAGCAGCCTCAGAAGCAGCGGAAATCATCGGAGGCAGCAATCTGCCCACGTTCTCTCGATAAAGTCCTCAACAGAGCTCAAGGAATGCCTTGCAGAACGAGACTGGTGCTCTGTCTTACAGACGGGTTAGCTCGGAGGTTTCGATTCGTGGCAGTTCTCTTTCGTGATATTTCCTCCTCTTTGACTTCACTGTCGCCCCAGGTTTCACATGCTCTTTGCTTCGGGCGAGTGGATACTGGTTTTGGACCTTTTATCCAATCAATGAGAGAGAATGCGCGTGCCCTTTGCTGGTAGCTTGTGTTGTGGCTCGCGCGATGAATTGGCTGACCCGGGGACTTTTCAGACCACAATTTTCTCTTTTAGTCTGCTCTTCTCTCTTTGGGTCAGCCATGCCGCATAGCAGCATAAGTCAGCGTTCAGTCGTGCATTCATGTCGCAAAGATGGCGAAGATATACGGCCTCTCTTCTGCAGGTGTTGCTGCTCAAGTCCTACCTCCACCACCGAGGCCTCAACGACGTTTACACGGGCGGTCTCGGCTCCTTCTCCCTCACATTAATGCTAGTGTTCTACTTAGAGGTGGGCTCCTAACTTGCACCAGCAATGCTGCGCTTTTGGGGCTTTCAAAAACTCCCATCTTTCTTGGCGATGTACACCCAATTGGGGGCAAAATGTGTCCTCCTGACCTTTCAAGTTGCGCAGAACGTGCAAGATTTCTCCGCTCTGTGTTCGTTGCTAAACAACTTTTTACAGGGTGGCTTCTTCGCTCTGAAGCTTGGTCAGTGTGGCAACTTGATAGCAATGCTTAGATGGTTTGACATTCGGAAGCAAAAAATGGTGATTGAATGTTCCAAAAAATGGCCTCAACAAGATGACCTTCCGACATGGTACTTTTGCAGCCCTTCCGATCCTCGTCACAGCACGTGCTCATTGGAGACAGGACAATGTTTGCTGTTGTGAAGTGAGAATGGCTTGGGTAATTATCGCCGTCTTTTGTTGGTGCATAGGTTCTGCAACTCAAGAAACTCTAAATTTTCTCCCCGAAGTCATGTTTTGTTCAGAGTATTTCCGTTCAAAAAAGCAGTGCAACGCTCTGGTCCCCCCTTTCAGCTCCTAAGAATAATCAGTCTGCGATTACGCCGTGTTCGTCTGACGTTCCTGTTTTTCCATCTGCAGCGAGTAGCCTTCATACCCATGGAGGCTCCCCCGGTTCCGGTTGCGTCCACGAGCGGTAACGATGCTTCGGCCGGCGTTAATGCTTCTGCCCCAGCAGCAACTAGAGCGGCCGCCGAAATCCCGGGCAAAGAATCCAGTGATCCAACGACTGCGCCCGAAACGAGTTCAATCAGCGAGGAGACAGACCAAAAGAGCGTAGGTACTGCAGACGAAGACCCCAGCAATGCGGCGAAAACAACTAGCGTGAGCGGAAACGACGAGGAGCCAGAGAGTATACGGGGGACAACGAGAGCGGGGGGAAAAGTCGTGGGGATGACGGAGCCCGCGGACTGGCTCACGTCGGGGCCGATGCCGAACCTGGGGGCGCTGCTGATCGGGTTTTTGCACCTGTTTGGGAACGAATTAGATCTAGCGACCGTGCGTTTAGTGCTGAAGGTAAGTGCTGCTTTGTCTGTGCCGTCAGAACGCTGATTAGAAGGGGCTCATCTGGAAACATTTTGAAAGGGCGTTGGAGATCCGGCGGCAATCTGGAAGCTGACGAACCACGTTTGCAGTTTACGCTCGCAGTTTTGTCGTAGGGACCACCCGTGAATCATGACCCAGCCTCTATGCAAACCTGGAACGTAACCCCGAATCTGAGATGCTGTTGCTTCTGATAGTTGTTCACAAATGCATGATTTCGGCTGTTGCGTCAGTGAGCTTCTCTGAATTACCTCTGCGGGGACGAGCTTGATGCGGAGATTGAGCTCACAAGTGGGTTCTGAGGACGGCTCAGAAATGTGGTTTTGACGAGAGAAACAGGATCCAGAATACCTTGATTGCATATGCTGATAGCTAGTAGTCGGCTTTCCGACGAAGTAAGGTTGCGCGTTGACTGAAAACCTACTTGGCCTCCAGTGTTGCCTTTCAGTACCGGCAGGTAGGAGGTACGGTACCTTTCAGGCCATAGTACCCTTCTGGTATGTACCTTGGTTTACCACGTGGATCGAACAAGCCATCCGATTGGCTGCAAAATCTGGAAAGCTTTTTGCAGCTTTTCGGTCGACGGCACCCTAAATTCTTCAACAACCAAAAGGCAGACTGCTGAGCGTTTCGGCTGCGTGTTGCAGAGTAACGGCCAGAACGGGGGCATCTTCTACCACGACAAGCTGACGCGGCCGGTGGCGCTGTGGATCGACGACCCGCTGCGGCCGGGGGCCAATATCGGGGCGGGCTCGTTCGCTATGTACAACGTGCAAGTGAGTCTACGGTTTGCTGTTTGACTTTTTCGTATCGCGTTCTGCCGTCACTTTTCTCGTGTCTTCGTTGGGTACCTGGTGTCCCGTATCTATCTCGTGGGATCCGCAGAGGGTTTGGCGGTTTCCTGTCACCTCATGTCCCCTCACTTGCATCGCTTTCTGTCGTTACGTCTCTTTCGTGTTTATTTGATAATTAGTCTCCCGTAGCCATGTTGTGGGATCCGCAGAGGGTTTGGCGGTCTTAGGGTGCTCTTGTTTGGGCACTTGTTCTCGTTTGCATTTTCCTCAGGCAGATTTTAACAGTGATTTCGCTCTAGGTTGCAGTCGCTTTGCTCTCGGCACCTAAGATCGTTGGCCCTTTTTTCGAAGCATCCGTCTTTTTTCGGACTCCAGCACGTCATTGAAAGCGTCCGCTGCCTCAGAAAGCCTCTCTATCATCTGTGCTTTGCAAATTCTCTGCACTTTTTGGGCGACGCAGCAAACAGCAGCGCTGACACGTGCCGCCCCTCTGTTGGCCCAGGCCGCCCTTCGAGAGATGCTGAAATTCCTGTCGACTCCCCGGGTGGCGCCTCCGCGGTTTACGGACGAGTCGTCTCTGATAGAGCAGCTATTCAGCCAGGTATACCCGGAGCGAGTTTTGAGCCGGACGTAGTTTGCGGAGGCATTCGAATCGTACATCTCTTAATGTACAGTAGAGGGAAAACTTTGCAAGCCCCCCTATTGTCGATGCTTGTGCAGCGAGTGGAAACGCACTGAAATGCAGAGTCCAGGTCGAAGCCTCTTTTGTCTTCCTTGATCCTCTCCAAAGCAGATTTGAGCCTCTGCTAGGAAAGAGCCGCAGATTGCCCTACTGATCAGACGGGTTCAGTAGTAGTGAGGTCGTTTACGACGGGACCATGGGGACCATGCCATGGCTACTAAAGACAGGTTGCTGAATTGCATGGCTCTATTGGCAGCCTGACCCGAACCACCTGCGTTGCGGGAAGCTACATTGACACGAACTGATCTTAGGAGTGATAAATATGACGCCATGTGGAGCACTTATCGGAACGGATCGTAGATAGGGGTGGGTATTTAGAGATAGTTGGGCCCTGTGTTAGCTGTCCTATCACGCACTCCTAGGAGGTCAAGGAATTTTGGAACACTGCCTCTGCTTCGCCCTCGGAAAGCCATGAAGAAGGTGCTTAAGATTCAAGCATTTGAGTCCTGTGTATAGTGTACTTCTGGCTATGAGCTGGTTGGGTTAGCGCAGAGTTGGGATCTGGCTTTTTGTTGCATATGATGTTAGTCCATTGAACCGATCGTCGACGTTCATGTTACAAGTACGTCTGGTCGTATATATTGCAGTCATTTAGAAATCGGAATAATACATGCACGTGAGCTGATATCGCTGCAAGACTGCGCATGACACGCCAATGTACATGCACATGTGTCACGCAAAATTATAAGCTCTGTCACTACATTTTGTTTCGCGAGCTTCCTAGTGGCTAGCGTGCATTTTGATAAAGATTGAATATCTAGCTATACGCGCTGGAGTTGGACCACGATATAATTTGATTGGATTGATCTCAGCTTCACTGGACGTAAGCTAGCTTTGCGCTAGTGGCGTTTATGTAGCCAAGCTCAACTTCGCACAGAGCTGCAAGCAGGGCGGCTAGCTGGCAGTCGTGCGGCTCATGCCTACAAGTGTAAGATGATTTCTCCAACTTCTTTCTTGAGTTGAGCATCTAGAGCTTTGGGATGGATATTTCACCAAACTCGGTTTGAAGGTTGGATCTGATAAAGCTGCCAATGAAGGATGAACAAATGAATTAGTTGCTTGTACCATGCAGCTGCCTTCATGAAAGCAACACGCTTCCTCATATGAACGCGACCTCTGGACCTTTGGCACTGCTTGCACAATGACGCTTAGTTTCAGAGTAGAAGGTCCAAGTAGACTTCCCGTTCTATGATTCCAAGTCTTGACATCATTTCACGTGGTGGAATGGTGCTTGCTGAGACTTGATAAAGTGAGCGAGCGCTATGTCGAGATGAGGCATGCGCGAATGGCGCCCGAGCTCCGTGTGAGTCGCCTCAAAATGCAACGTAAAGCCTCCATTCCAACTTCAAGCAATCCATTACCTTAAGGACTCTGACTTACTCTGAGAAGACAAGAAAGCCTGAATGCTGAATGACATGGGAGAATCGTGGAGCTGTATTTGCAGAAGGCGTTCGACGCGGAGTGATCCCCGGAGGACCCTGAAGAAATTGGATTCCTGTGTGAGAGCATCCGTCGATGCAGAGAAATCGACGCTGCTGAGGATTCGCCTGTCAGCGCAGAGTGGCACACAGATGCCGTTGGATACGACGCGCTCCATAGTCTTTGGATCGGACGGTCAAAGATGGATTTGGCGATCAACCGTCGTCTGATTGGCTGCCGCTCGCCGGAACAAAACTGGGTACGGCCGGGCCAAGCATGTTGTTGAGAGTACCGTCACGTGCGTACAGTTGTACCTTACCTATACCGTAGTGCAGGCATGCAGAAAATCGGAGCTCAGTCTCCAGATTGATGACTCACTAAGTAGTTGGAGCTGAGCTGCTCCACAGAGCCACCTGAGGCAGCGCGGCAGCTCCAGCAAACAAACGTTAATTAAGCTGGCTAGTCACACCAGTTTACTAAACGAGCTCAATGAAGACGGGTGGGGTTAAGGGCCGTGAGCACGGATGCGGGAGCAGGCAAAGATATTTGGGTTTAAGTGTTGCTTTAGTCTTCTTTTGAGTTGGTTCAATCATAATAATCACGAAATCAGCCAAAATCTCGACACGCCTCATTGCCGCAGCCTGAGTGCTTCAGTGCAGTCATTGAGCCAACTAATTGAAGCCTGCAGCTCATAGCTGGCCACTGGTTTTAGATAACACTTGATCCAGTTGAAGCTGACCTTCCTAAACGTGGCTGTTTGCGGGCCTGGGCCGCTGTCACGGATGAGGAAACGTAGGACTGATGACGTCATTGGGATGTCAGGGCTTTCTCCTGGCACCCCTCAGCTAGCACTCCCGTCTTCTCTTCTGCATGAGCAGCCGTTAGCTTCGGAACTTTATATTACAACATCGGCAGTGTCTGAGGGCAAGACTCAATCCGGCCGCTGTTCAATCTGTGTTGACACCGAAACTGGTGACCAAAGGAAGAAACAGCTGGTCTGCTAATGGCGCCCGATTTGATGGAGGGGGCAGCCCGCCAAAGAGCCAAGGGCGAGCTTTCTGCAATTTGCGGATCCAAATGAGCTTACCCGTGAACATAAGGTTATGCTGAGTTGCGAACAAAACGCTATGCTGAGCTACATCATTAGGAAGGTTCCAAAATGACCCCAGGTGAGCTCCGCTAGCTGACGAGATTGCCATACGGAGCTCGTCTGCTACACTCGCTCGAGCGTGTCACACCTTTCTGCTTTCATGAGTCAGATTCTTCCATGCATTTGACACTAGGTGCGAACTGCGAGTTGCAAGTTGAGGTGCCACCTTCAAGTGCATAAATTTACAGAACGGGCAGTCCCTTGGGAAGATTCAAAGGCTGACGTCGCGATCGTGCTGCTCCATGTGCGAACCCCCCTGTTCTGCACATGCAGATGAACAACCCCTGCTAAGCTTGCACCCCCAGAGGGTTTCAGGTGGAACGGCCACCAAAGCAGCGGACCTGCGCACGGCAGCTTGCCCGCACACCATCAGCCCAAGTCTACTTAGGGGCTTTTGACAGGTTGACAATAGATAAGTAGCACCGACCCATCCCGCGTCCGGCAGCTCGTGGGCCAAAACAATCTCTGCTGCCCTTAAGGACTCTGGTTAGGGGCTTAGCAACAGACTGACCGTACTTAGACGACGCGCAAATCAGATACGGAAGCTGCTTCCCCCAAAGGCTAATCTTCTAGCACAAGATGTGTGAGAAGGCAGCTGGCAAAGCTCATCGGGGCGGGGACGGATCCAGGTCGCGGCACCCCCCCAAGTCGGAACCAGATGTCCCTTCCCTCACCAAAATGTCCCCAGCGCTTTGGCGGGCCCTCAGCCGAGGTTTCGGCGACCGCACCGGGACAGTCCCCCTAGTCTTGGCGCTTTTGGTCGCCCTCAGCCTTTTCTCGTCGTGCTTCTCGGAAGTCCAAATCGAGGGGGCCTACTCGGATTACATGCAACGGGTGCTCTCGTCGATAGTCACCCCTCCAAAAGTGTATCCGGGGTTGATTAAACGGCACGGGGTGAAGTTTCCGCGGGTGTCGCATGCGCACGGGGACGGGGATTTGGCTGAGGATGACAAGGGAGGGTTCAGTAGAGAAGCAACGGTTTTCGGGGAAGAACGTGGGGTCTCCGGATCAGCAGTTCGGGAGCTTTCGGAGGCAGTACGCGAGAAGATAGGGATCGTCCAAACAGTGTTCAATCCTGCGCAGGGGGCCTTCCTTGTGACGGCAAATAACTCAAGTCTGGTAGAGGAAGTCGGCAGTTCCGGCCAGCTGGTCAGCGTTGGTAACCTAGTGCTTAACCTCACTAACCCGAGCCTGATCAACCTCACTAATCCGATCATACTCGATCCCCTCGTCCTGCCTAACCCAGTGAACTCGAGCCTGGCTAAACACGAGGGTTTGAGCTTAGTTACGCTGAACCTAAGCTCAGGTCTCAACGTCAGTCGAGTCACGCCGCCCCCGGTCGTTCTCACGTCGACCGGGGGCAAGTCGAGCTCAAAGGGTATGATGCCGACGCCCAAGTTTTGGCCGGCCGCGTTTTACAAGCCCGGGAGCGCCGCTTATGATAAGCGCTGCGACCTCGGGGACGGGGAGTGGGTTCTCGGGCCGAAACGGATGAACATCTCCAACTGTCCGTTTGCGTCGCAAACGAAGGAACGGTGCGCGTGGCGCTTTGCGCGGGAGCCCAACTACCGGGACTTCCGGTGGCAGCCGCGCGGCTGCGCGCTGCCGGAGTTTGACGCCAGGTGAGAGCGGCTGACTGAGGGGCGGTTGCGAATTCCAGATGGTGTCAAGTATGTGGAGCTCTCCCAAGAAGAAAGGGGCCGAGCTTCGATGCCTTAATATAACAGAGACATTTTGGGTGAAGCAGTCACTCTAGGAATATTGTGTGAAGGTGCGCATATTTGACACGTAGTAATTGTATGCAAATTGTGGATAAGAGCCAATGGAAGGCGACTGAACGACTTCTGTAGCAACAGGAAAAAGAGAAATGTGGTCACCCAGGCACCAAGCGAAGCACGCTTATGGAGGAGCCCTTTCAGACCTCCCGAAATTTCAAGCCTTCATCTTTCAACAACCAGCGCTTGAACAATCAAGCTTTCAGGTTTCGGGAAGATCTGAGAATCACTGTTCATCGTCCTGGAGCTTCTTCAAACCAATCGGACATCTCCGTAAGGTCTCCGCACAGGACCTTCTTACTACTCTGGCCCAACAGGACGATTCTCGCAAAGCCAACTCCATCAAAGACTTGCATTGATACGTGTCAATTCTTTCAATGCTGCACCAACAGGACAACATTTGCAGCGCTCCTTGTAATCTCAAGCTCCCTCTAAACATCCAGTCTTTCCGCGCAGCTCCTTCTTACACCGGTGGGCCAACAAGACGATCCTCGTCGCGGGGGACTCGCTCGGCCGCAACTTCTACGGCTCCTTCATGTGCCACCTGTCGCACGGGGGATCCCTCAACTTGGACGCGAACGCGAGCGCGGCCGCGGGGTTCCAGATCTTCCGGAACGAGGAGCACAACATCACGATCGGGCGGGCGATGTCCGAGTTTCTGGTGATGAAAGAAACCAGTCAAGAGGCGTTCTCGCGCCTTAATCAGGTATGGCGTTAACCATTGTTGGTTAGCCCTGTAAGGCCTCTTCGTAACCTCTACTAATAGGGTTTGGGCAGCCTGATAGTCGCGAATCAGGCGTTGAGCTCAGGCGTTGAGCGCATTAGCTAGCAGTTCACTTTCCTGGTGAACAAGAGATTTGTTTTCCAACTTGACTAAGCGCGTCAATTATCGTCGTGTAAACCAACCAGGGTTACTGAGCATGCCGTCAACCATGTTTGTAGGCCGTCGGGTGAAGCAATGTTTCCGGAATCCGCTCGCCAAACCTGCTCTCATTGTGACCGAAATATCTCCCGGCACTTCTCTTGGGGCCGCAGTTGCGGATCTGTCGAGGCTTATCACTCTTTCCGTGCAGACCGCCAAACGGTAACCGGCCTTTTCTAACGTCGGTCGTTCAAAGCTCTTGAACATCAGGAAAAGCTCAGAGTTCTGCGGCAGCCTTCGGAAAGCCGAATAGAGTCCTTTCTCAAGGTCTCAGGACACGTCGCGCCCTTTTCAAACCATCGGGCCAAGCCCTTCCTCTCTCATCTTCGTTCTCATGCCCGCTTCGTTCCGAGCGTCGAGATACGCGCATTAGCAGATTGCCACAAAAAAATCTTTTGCATTCTCACCATCAATTCGGCGTCCGATGTCATTCTGACTGTCGCTCTCGCGCGCTCGCAGACGATTGAAAAGTATCGGTTCGTTCCCAGCTCGAAGAACCGTTTCCGCATTCTCAAAGCTTCGCTTCGATCTGAACCCCGCTCTCCCCGCGCTCGCAGACCGCCGGGAAGAACGGGTTCATCCTCCAGATCGACCGGGCCGACCCGCTGTGGGCCATACTAATCCAA